CCCGGCAAACCCAATCAAATTGGCACACGGGACCATAGCCAAATAACTAAGTACAAATATCGCCAGGTGACTATCCGGACTGGCATACCGCAGCGCAATGGCGGCCGGCACCACGGGCCAGAGGATGTTTACCGCGCGCGAAGCCCATGACGCAGAGCGGAAGATGATGCGCAGGAAGTGCAGAGGGTGAATGCCCGTGCGGCCAGACTCACCGGAGGAACGGACTTGAAAGGCACGCAGGAGGCGTTGGGTGAAACTGAGGTTGGCTGTGTCTTCATGGTCCGGAAGGTCACCTTTGTGCAAGGGGAGAGAAGGTGTACGCTTTTCGTTGGTAGTTGTCTTCTCCGGAGGGGGAGAGGATGTTGTTGGGGGGGACGGAGAGCTGGAAACAGCGTCAGGGGAGCCTGTGTTTGGGGGAGTTTGGTGCCTTTGGAGAGGGCCGCCGTCGGGAGGGGAGGGGGAGGACATTGGTGATGATCTGGATGGTGTTAGTGAATTCCCTCGTCTGGATGAGATATCCTCAAGAGCTATGTCAGTATACCGTCTACCGTGTATCCCAATGATCTGAATAATGCCAATCGATCACGATCGCCTCACAAGTATCATCACAAGCTCGGGTTCAAGGCAAAGTTCAGGATGAAACCCACCCCAGGCTCTTCCAGAAGAAAAGACCAAAACCACGCGAGGCAGCCCGGCCCACAATCTCACGGAGCAGCTACCTCTTGCGTCAATGGGTAGCCGCGGATGGAAACAGATGAACCTTAAATCGAATGGGAGATCCACCTGGGCCGTCGCAACGTGTGATATTTCTTTTCAGCGTCCATGATCAGGCCAAGCAGGAGCCTCTGTTGTAGGGTAGCATCTACAGCTTAGTGCATATACATACATGGCCCAGGAGAACACCAGATTAATTAACCCGCATCCCCTTTTAGCGCCTAGTGCCCCATTTTTTCAGCGCATCCAACAGCGATTCCAGCGATTTGCCAACCACGCGTGGCCAAGCACTGCAACCTCGAAAAAGCTAAACCAGTGGCCGCTAGGGAAGGGAAGCGGCACGGTTCGCTGCGGATGGTTCGTCGCGGACTCGTGGATGCAAGGATGTGCTTCGTCTTGTCTTGGCCCTGATCATCCCCATGTTTCAGAGTCAGGGGCGTTACAGTGGGGGGGAGATGACGCGGAGGGTCGAGTGTGGGGATGCCAAGCCACGGTATTCATGACGTTGTCATTGTCGTTACAACACCAAAATAACGGGGGCAGGTTTTGGTTCTCGAGGGTTTTTGATGGAGAATCGAGATCTTGAAACAATCCGCGCAGGCGCAGGTGGTTCAGCGTGGTGGATGCACTGCAGTGCAGTGTAGGCAAACGCAGGGTAATCGGGCGCACGGATCGGACACTTCAAGAGGCGTCGCATCTGACATATGTAGAACGCTGACAGTTTGTTTCGGAGTAGTTATATCTGCAACTGCCAACCGACGGCGTATATCAGACAGTCAGATGCGCCTCTTCCTCTTGACTGTCAAACATAGTCAAGATCTGCAGTTTGTTGGGCTTCCAAATCGCATACCCTGGCGGGCTGAATGGAACTGGCATGGTGGACACGTGTTGAAGCCAGTATCGGGCCAACGGACGCCGACTTCTCAGCTCTGTTATGCGTCACATAACCGCATGGCTCTTTCCCATAGGCTCAAGCAAACCGTCTATGCAGAGAGAAGGTTAGCGATGATTAGACACTTTGGGCACGGGGCAACAACCGTTGAGGTTGAGGTACTGGGAGAAAAGGAGCATATACATCGAATGGAATCACGTGACTCCAGTTATCTCCAACAAAACCTCAGCATTGGATGGAATGTAGAAAACCGAAAAGGGCTTAGTCACCATCTGCATGCCATTAATCGCAGCTCCATAATCATCCAAACTGTACTTGATATTCATTGAGCATCTAGTTTCTTATCTCGCCTCAAAAACCAAATGCTTCGATGAAAGCTTTGCTAAAATATCCACCCTCACTTCTGCTCCACCACAACACATCCGAGCGAGAGTAATCCGCCCGGCTAGCTCAATCGGTAGAGCGTGAGACTCTTAAGGATACTTCCCTGCGGAATTCTATCCCAGGAGATTCTCCGTCATCTCAAGGTTGTGGGTTCGACCCCCACGTCGGGCTCAATCCCCGTCATACGAAGACTAGCGGTGCTCTCATTTTTTTTCATTCCCCCCCCCCTTCCTTTGCACGTATATTCGTGCTCACGTGTATGTGGAGAGGGGAAATTCAGTCTTTTCACCATTGATGGTGATGGTCATGTCTACTTAAAAGCCCTAACATCACTTTGTATCCATGTAGGATGGAAGTGGAGTCACAGAGTTTAGCGTGTTGGAAAAGGTTCTTCCTTTGACATACATTGTGACCCTCCGATGGTCATATATATATCTAACTGCATTATGCTAAGATTAACGGATAGCAAAACCTGCGTAGGAAAGAACAAGACAATTGAGAGTCATACATGACAATGATAGAAGCTGTTGTCATCTGGCTTAATTTGAATATTGGATTGCTAACTTGCCCGTGCTTTTCACTCGGGGAGAGCGACAGACAGTGTCAAAGCACACTGTTTACCGTCGTTGGTCCAAGTATATTATGCCGTCAAAAGTGATATTTCCGTGTCACCGATTGTAAGATTCTTCAGTGTTTAAGGTAGGCAAATTTTCGAATCCATCCCTACGAGACTAGCCGGTGTATCAGTTTAGCGTTCCCCATTTCTTACACCTTTTGACTATCGTCAATAGTCCCATTATCATTATCTAACCCTCTATATCACCTTCCATCCTGCTGACTCCCACTCCCAGAAGCCATACTCACCTCCCCTGCCAGCACAACCGTCTCCCCCGGCCCCATTCCTTCCTCCCAACTCCCTATGGGCACTTCTTCCTCCCTGACCTCCTCCCCTACGAGCACCTTTAACACCACCTCCGCGCCCACCTTGCTCATAACTTCATTCCCCTCGACGCAAAACTCGCTACACACACACTCCACACACCCCTTTTCCTCGAGACACTCACACCCGCGTACCCTATCCAACGCCATCCGCAGCAAATCATCAACAAACTCAAACGCCTTGGTATTAATCCCAGCCCCTCCCGGTCCCCCTTTAGCATCATACAGCGCTAACCGGGCAGGCCGCTTACGATTCGTCGGGCGACGGGCGAATTCCTTGATAGGGGACTTACACTCTGTGCGAATATCAGCTTGGGTAGAGGACATCACGAAGGTAGGGACCAGTGACGCCAAGGCGTGCTGCGCAGCGTGGATCGCCGCCGCGGGGTTATGTTTCCTCGCCTTGAGGATATCTAGAGCGCAGGCGGGGATGTCGAGCCACATCCCTTTTGAATAGCGGACGACGGGGGGGTTGTGGACGGGAACGGCGTCGAGAATTTTGTTCCCACGGCGGGGGTCGACTTTGAAGAAGCCGAAGACGACTTGAGTGATGCGGATGGTGCCGTAGTAGGCTTTATAAGGGGAACCCTGTAGAGGTTTGATGGCAAGGGTGGCGATGGGGTCGACGTCAGTGAAGTCGCGTTGGGAGGTGAGGTAGTCGACTTTCACCTTCTCAACCCGCGCGATCTTCCGGTCAGGGGAGAAGTCCCTAACTAGATAGGTCGTCCCCTGATGAAGGAAGATGGCGCCGTCGTAGATGGTGAAGGTTGCACGGGAAGCGTCGAGCTCTTCAAGCACGACGTTACGCCCGTTCGTGGTGTCCACGATGGCAAACTTGTCTTCTTCGACGTCGCGTATGGAGACGAAACGCCAGGGGAAGGGACGGAAGTGATCATGGCAGTGGTAGAAGCCTTCGTCGTCAGGGATGAGGCGCTCGGCACAGAGCTGAGGGAGGTCGGGGCCAAAGTATATCTTGTCCTGCTCCGGGTGTATGGGCATCTCGCCAGCGGCACACTGCAGATGGCCTTCTTTGACCAGCAAGTTGTCCAGGTCGATTTGGAGGGCGCAGTTGGGGCGCGAGAAGAGCTCGTCTGGATGCTGCATGTAGTATTGGTCCGTTGCGAACGCATCCCCTACCAATATAGCCAGCGAGTCCTTGTTTCTCCGGCCAGCCCTCCCGCTCTGCTGCCTGAGGTTCGCAATCGTATACGGAAACCCCCAGGTCAACACGCAATCCAGCGTGCCGATATCCACGCCAAGCTCCAGCGCCGTAGTCGCCACGATCCCGACCAACCTCCCCGAAAACATGTCGGCCTCGATCTGCCGCCTATCCTGCGCGGTGTACCCTCCCCGGTAAGCCATCACCCTTCCCGCAACCTCTCCACGGTCAAGACTTTCCAGCTCCTTCTTGACGGCCGCAACCAGCTTCTCACACTGCTCTCGCACGCGACAAAAGGCGATGGTGCGCACGCCGCGCAGGATCAGCTGGCAGAACAGCCGCGAGCACTCGAGCAAAGCATTCCCCCGGCCGCTGGACGGATCCCCGGGGACTTTGTACGGCGTGTTCCAGACGAGGAACTCTTTGCGGCCTGTGCCCAAGTCAGCAACATGCGATACCTTCTGTGAGGAGGATTACCGACCTGACGGCGACCCATCGAAATCAATAACAGTTACGTTATCCTCGATCCCAAAGAGCCGCCTAAAATGCCCCTCCGGATTCGCCACGGTAGCCGAGCATGACACAAACTTCACGTCGCTATTCCCCAGGGCCGCACACACCCTCCTCAACCGCCTCATCACCCACGCCACATGCGACCCCAACAGCCCATTATAATAGTGCAGCTCATCCACAACCACATACCTCAACCCCTTTAGAAACATCCGCCACCCTTCTTCTTGAGGCAAGACCCCTGCGTGCAGCATATCCGGGTTGGTAAAGATCACGCTCGCATTCTCCCGGATGGAGCGGCGATATTCCTGCGGCGTGTCCCCGTCGTAGGTTTCTACGACGATACCTTCCAAGCTGGGCATCCAGCTTATGAGCTCCTGGAGACTGCGCTTCTGGTCTTGCGCGAGGGCCTTCGTGGGGAAGATGTACATCGCCCTGGCATTTTTATCCTCTTCTAACACGTGGAGGACCGGAAGTTGATAAACGAGGGATTTGCCCGAGCTGGTGGAGGTCGCGACTACGACGTGGTGACCGGCATGGAGGGCGTTGATGGCCGCGGCTTGGTGGGAGTAGAGACGGTCGGGGGTGATGCCTTTGGAGTTATATAAAGCATTGACGAGGTCTTGGCCGAGGGGGAAGTTAAGCTCTCCATAGATGGCTTCCTGCGGATCTAGTACTCGGTGTCCATCTGGGACTATTTGTCCCACGTACCAGGAGGAGCACTTCAGTTCTTCGACGATTTCTGAGATAGGCTTCCGTTCTGTCGGGATTGTGAGCGGCAAGGAGTCCGGATTGGGCGGCGTATCCTCCGGGAGACGGGGGATGAACCTCCCCCGGCCCTGCTTCACCACCTCATCAGGGTCTTTCCCGCGCTGTTTGCACGACAGCACGAACAACTCAACCATTTCAGCGAACTTCTCTTCTCGCCGCTCAATCACCTTCGATAGCTGCTTTGCCCCAACGCTGGGCATGCGGATTTTATCTTCCCTCTCTTTACTCCCCCGACCCTTCTCCTTTTCGGGTTTGAGTTGTTTGTCGAGCTCTAAGAACTCAAATACTAGAACTTGTTCCCCTTTGGCGTTGGCGTCGAACTCGTCTTCTGCTTCTTGCGTGACATATTCAAACCTGACACGACTACACCTCTTGACTTGACCTTCCCCCTGAATTTGCCTTCCCCAATTATGCTGGTTACTCCCTCCTCCCTGCTCTTGATCCTCATTCCTCTCCCCTTGAGCCTCTAGCTCTCTAGCTTCCCCCCAAGCATAAACCCACACAACCCCCGCGACATCCTCAACCTCCACCCCAAACCCACACTGCCCCTGTACCGCCTCCTTCACACTTTCCAGTGCCAGCGGAGTAAGATGACTTGCCCTACGCGCAGCAAGAAATGTGGTTACCAGATTGAGGGCGCGGTGCAGTTTGGAGAGGCGGGAGAGGTAGGGCGGCCAGGATGAAGGCTTGGGTTCAGGCCTGGACCTTTCAGATGGCTTCTGCGTCTTTCCTTTGCCATTGGTAGATGTAGATTTTGGAGAGGGGTCTGAGTTATCCTCTTCGGGGGCTGGGTTTTTGGTTTTAGCCTTGGGTTGGTTCCGTCGGCGTGTTGTAGTCGGGTGTTTGCTCGTCTGGTTTTGCGGCCAAGTCTCCTGGGAGCGGGTCTCGACTGAAGCCACGTCACTTGAATTGAGTGGTTCTGTTGCCTCCCCTGAGCCGATCTTATGCAATCCTGATGAATCTATAGATTGTGATGAAGAAGGACTTCCCTTTTCATCAGCCGTCTGCCCTCGTTTCCGTTTGCCCAAGCTTCCGCCACCCCTCGTTCTAGCCCATGGGGCGGCGCCATCGTTGCTGGACACGGGCATTTCCACAGCTCTGGCTTGAAAATTCGATAAGAGCTAGAATCATTGGGAAACAATAAAAAGAGTAGGTCAGAACTGTGGCGTCAAGCGTTTGCTTTGTGATGTTTTCTTCTCGTCGACGCCGAGAGACAGAGGTCGGGCCGCGCCTTGATGTGGGGCAAGGAGCGCGAAAGTGGCGGGAGGTTACATGACCACCTTAAGGTAGCTTCGGGTGGTTTTAACGTTTGTGTGAAAAGAGTCATAGGGTATTGAAAAGAGTTGGACAGCAGAACGGCTGCTGATGAAGCTCATATTAGAATCAAATAACATAAATCAGGTAGTGAATGAGATACTATCTTGCCCCAGCCCAGAGAGTCTCGCCTCCAAGGCCGAACGATGGCCGAAGCCTGCAAAACAGATTCCCATCCAACGCGCGGTGTATATATACACATCTCGAAGTACCTCCATCTAGGTCAGCAAAGAGTTTGGGACCAAGCCCGGAACGCTCAAAGCACAGTGATTCCCCCAAAGAAAAGTCTAGCCGTGACCGATCTCGCAAGCCTCTCATCGAGCAAAATCGCAGAGCTGAAGTCTAGCGCGAGGTAAGTGATTTAGGCAGCCGCCAGCTTCTCCTTGATCTTTTCGACCATATTCGAGAACTGCGTGGCGTTTGCCTGGCTCATCTGCGCAAAGTCAGCGCCATCCCTCCCTGAGTCCCTTCACAGCACTCAAACGTACCTTCATCTGCACCTGCCTAGCTTCGCCCCCCTCAAAAGCCGTGAACAACACGGTCGCTGCCTTGAGCTTATGATTCACCTGGAACTTCATCGCGGGCAGGATGGGCGTGTTGAGAATAACGCGCAGCGTCGAGTCCTGGCGCATAATCAGGCGCACGAGCTTGCGGGCTGCGTCGTCGAGGGCAGCGGGATCGAACGAGTCTGCGTCGGGCTGGTTCCCCTCTTCCACCTCGACCGCCTGCTTCGGCACATTCACCTTGAGCATGCCGGCGCCGCGCTCCTTCCACCCGACGCCCTTTTCCATGACGTACATCTTGGCACGGACTGAAAGAAGAGTGGTTTCGTTGCCTTCGCCGTCGTCGATGTGGACTGCAAGAATCAGCCATGCCCAGGCCGTATGTTTCATTGGGGAGGGGGGAACTCACCTTTCTGTAACTTGAATTTCTTCTTCTCCTCACCGCTAGCCTTCTCTTCCTTCTCCTCTTCCTCCTTCTCTTCACCCTCCCCATTTTCGCTCTTGTTCTCCTCTCCTTCCTCACCCTCACCCTCATCTTCCTCATCACTCTCCGGCGCACCAAACGGCTTCGCGGACTTGCCCGTCTTAAGCGGCTCGCCCGGCTTGCCGAACCCCGTCGCACCCGCAGTCTTCAATGCGCTGCTACCCCCACTGAACGCACTAGCAAACGGGCTTTTGAACAACGACGACATGCCACCAGCCTGTCCATTAAGCGAGGCGAAGGGCGATGCGGCCGAGGCAGAGCCGAAGCTGAGCTTGGGCGGGCCAGCTGGGGCAGCAGAAGCGTCAGCGGACTTCGAGCCAAAGATGTTACTGCTGGTTGCAGGCAGACCGAAGAGGTTGGTTTTGCCGGCTGCAGCGGCGCCGAAGGCGCCGAAGGGGGAGGTGGTTGAGCTAGCGAACTTGGCCATGCTGGAGTTGGCGAAGGCGGAGGAAGAGGTTTGCGGCTTGTCGACCTTGGTGTCCTTGGACTCGTCTTTCTTCTCTTCGATCTTGGGCTTTTCCGCGCTTGAAGGGCGCGACTCCTGGGCAGACAAAGGCTCCTGCTGCCGTTAGCACACATCACATAGACAGAAAACAAATGTGACTTCGACCTACCACTTCCTTCTGCCCATCTCTCTCAACCGACAAACTCGCCTGGCGATCGCGCGGCCTCTTTTTCTCGGGCTCATCGCGCTCAGCCCTGTTCTGCGAAGACGGCTTCTCCCCCTCTTTCTTCTCCTCTTCCTCCTTTCCATCCTGCTCCAGCTCATCATGCGTCCTCTTCTTCGGCGACGCGACCGTCTCCTTGGGAACCTCCTGCTTCGGTGCAGCCAACTGCACCTCAGGGGTCAACCCACGCGAGGTGCGCGGCTTCTTCTTCTCAGGCTCCCCGGCATCGCTCTTGTTGTCATCTTCTTCCGACGCGCTCTTGTCGTCTTCCTGGGACAGCTGAGCCGAGTCGCGCTTCGCCTTGTCAGAGATAGTCGTCTGCTTCAGCTCGCGGCGCGCGGCGGTCGTTTCGGCGTCCTCCTTGACGTTGGCCGCGGAGGGCTCGGTGTTGTCGGGGACGAGCTCCGACACGTCGCTTGTGCTGGTGTTGTGCGGGTCGTCGGCCATGTTGCGATTGGTAAGAGATTGAGGCTGTCGATGCACTTTTTTTTTTTTTTTTCGTTAGCGTGTTTCGTTTCAACTTTTTCGTTCTATCTGGGCATCCGCAACTGCACTGCACCGCACTTCAAATGTTCAGCACGGCAAATCGAATGCGCAGATCGTCCGAAATGACGTCGTCCCAAAAATGAATGCCGGCACCAACTGACGAGGATATCAGCAGATATTGTCGTGAACGTTGGCGTGCCCGGTGTCGGCTTGGGTTGTAACAGGTCGGTTGCAAAGTTGCAAAAGTGCAAGATGCAAAGGTTTGGTTTAGTTGCAAGTTGTGAGTTGCGGGACGATTGGATGGAGATCTTCTCGAGCGAAGCCTCTGGCTCATCGCTCATTCACTGACTGCAACTCTGTTCCCCAGTTGACGGGTGGCCTGGTCTGCGCTGCTTAGGTGTGGGCCTCGCCTGGCAGAAGTCAGCAGCTTGGTCAGGCCAATCGTGCAATCGAGTCCCGGCTCGGTGGGGAGCAGCCGGCTTGGCAGAGTGGAACATGCTTGATGTGCAGGCAGGCACGCGATTGGTTCAGCCGTTAATGCGCTCTTGCGTGCTGTTGGCCGTTTGATAGGGGTGCCCGCAGTGGACAGCTGATGGAGGGGCTTCCACTGCAACTTCATTTTCATATCACAGGGTCTCTTACACTCACAACCAATCACTTCATAACGCATGTCACGCTCGTCTTTGCTGCTGCGGGTTGGGCCTACGTACTTGACATGATGATATGCGTCCTGGACCAGCATTTGATGAGGGTATGTGATTTGTTGCTTGATGAGAAAATACCCTGCAGACTTGCATGGGACAGCGAGGATCAGCAGATGCAGTGGAAATCAGTTAAAATAAAGGTGATTCGGCTGCCGGCATCAAGGCCAGATTCGTCGAGTTCAGCGAGTTCACTTTAATGTCATATCGTAAAGCTGACGAGTTACATAAAAAAGCCCGCCAGGGATAATTCAATTAAACATTATCTGCAGAACAGAGATTCTGAAATATCAGCGAATAAGATCGGTGGCACAGATGGCAGTTGAAGCCGTACCTATCTCCTCTCCCTCCTCGCCTCAGCAGCAACAATCCCATCCACCATGTCTAGCACCTCTCTAAACGATGCCAACTCTTCTCCAAACGACAAACTCTCACCCTCTCTATCCTGACTACCAGTCCCTTGCTGACTGTCATCCTCGCTTTCACTCTCACCACGAACCTCAACCTCAACCATACCCACAATACGCTCATACTCCTCCAGTGCCAACCTCTCCTTCCTACTCACCACATACCCTTCCTCATTCACTGCTTCGCTCTGATCCACCATCTCCAACATGTTCCCCCCTATGTCGATAGAGTACTCTTCCCCGGACCCTCTAAAATCGCCCTGCCCGCCCAACGGCAACGCCCATGACCTGTCATCCTGTTCGGTCATCTCCCTGATAGGCTCATAATCAGGCAGCCTATCCTCCCTCTGGTTCCCTCTTTCATCACCGTGACTGCTCCCATCTCCCTCGTCATCCTGAACAGCCCCCCACGCCAACGTCCCAAGTACCGTCAAAACCAAAAATCCGGCGAACCCAGCCCAATAGGGGTTCATCTCCACCACAATTTCCTCCCCCGCATCGCCATCCTGTCTGGTAGCATTCTCCTCCTGCCATCTCAGGTCTCGTAACCCATTCCCCTCGGAGTCGAACGAGAATGAAGTAGACAGCGTGTGCCGTGCGTGCCGTACCTTGCGGAGGAATATGTCTTTTATGAGGGAGAATCCATCTGCGTCGTAGTTGTGCTCATCATCCTCGCCATCGTCAAACTCATCCACTGGAGTATCGTCATCATTGGGCATGGTTTGGCCGCTGCGTGCGTGATGATTCCTCTGAACCCCCTTTTCCAACTTGGGGAGTTGCTTTCTTAGATGAGTGATTTCTTTTTGTAGGGAATCAACATCCCCTTTATCTTCATCGTGGTTGTGGCTGCCAGGTGCAATGGGGCCAATTAATCTTGTCTGTGCCTGGGACGTTTGTTCATGCGACGAAGGGACTGGGCTAGAGAGGGTTGCTGAGATTGTAAAGGGGGATGTATCTGGTAGGGAGAGTCAGTTATGGGAGAGATATGGCCTGTTAAGGGAAAAATGTGATCCAGCCTGCCTCGACTGGTGGATGGCAAGTAGTTTACCTACTTTTCCCAAGAGGAATTGGTAAAGCGCGTGTAAATCTAACACCCTGTAGCGCAAGGAGGAGAAGGAGGGAATATGCTGTGAAGGTGCGCATTCTTGCGACTAAGGGAGAAGTGCACTGCCGTGAGGGCTAGGCAGCCACTTATTGAAGGGCCGAGGGACTTTGGGGGTCAAATTTTCTGGCTGCTGGTGAAGCGATCAGGTGGTCAATGTTTTGGAGCAGCAAAATCTATGAGGTCTCTGTAGGATACGCGGCTGATCTCGCGGACAGCTTAGTAGAACAGAGACGAGGTTGAGAGTTCAAAATGGTGGCATCACCATCCAAAGGAGGGAGGACGTTAATCGCCTGTAGGGCTGAATGGGGGATAGGTAAGCTGAGCTAGCGAAGGCACTGCCACACTCCCCCACTGCGACCCAACCTGGAATCTTAATGATGCCCTGACACTCTAAAGGATGGAGATCTACACAGGAAGAAGTAGGGGGGTAGGGAGGGGAAAAGAGAGAAAAGCCGACCTCGGTTGACCTGGGAAACCCTTGGGAGTTTATCTTATAAAACCTTGACCTAGGCTTCTTGCCGTGTGGCAGATATTCCTCCGATTCCAAGGCAGTCGTCGTCAGCAATGCTGCTGATGCAAGAAACCCCGCTAGGCTACGCGAGCGGCATGTCTTGTTTGGTTAGCGGAAGACTCACATTAGCGGGGGACTCACTCAATGACCCTTGTCTTGGCCCCTCGTTAATGATGTCCTCAACCAGAGCTCAACCTCCCTACTCAGAAAACTTCCCTCCCTCCCCCCTCTCTTCCTCTCCCTCCTTCTCTCCTACTCCTCCCTCCTCTCTCTCTCTATGAATATATATATATATATACATATATATATATATATATATACGCAATTATATTTGTTTAATTGTTGAACCATCCTGTGACGTTAGCGTAGAAAGAGCACCTAGAGGGCAACACATGTATGCCTTCAGTTTCAACTCTTGATTTATAAACTTGGGTGATCTCAACATTATGATTGAACCATTGAACCATAAGACCCCATTCATAATCTGTAGAACCCCAAGTAGGGGATTGAAACAATCAGTTCTGTTCCTCCCCCAAAAAGTATGAACATAGATATACCTCCTCAACTCTATTCTTACTTTATCCACTTACTCGCTGCCTTGTCAAAGCAATCAAACAGACCAAACAAACGAAACATAAGAGACTCACTCATTCACTATGATTATAGCGGAACCATCAAAGTACTAGTCATGTGAGCTCACCTTCATCACCTTCATCTTGGTCCTCCCGCTCCATACTTTTCTTCTCGGCCTCCATCTTAAAAACTAGACTGAACCAAGAGCATAGAAGGTATACTGATTTCTGTTAACAAGAAACTAACAAACAGCCTCCCAACCACTACCTAACTACCAGCTCCTTGTGTAGAATGTAGACTCTCCCAAACATGCCTATTCTGCTCGCTTGGAAGTCGGTCTCCACTGTAATAGAAAAAGAACAAAAAAAAAAAGGAAGCTGAACTTGATATCATCGTCATCAATGCTATTTGTATCATGTCGTCCCATGTCGTCATGCATTCGTAGCCATGGGCATGCTCATGCTCCGTCTGGTTCTCATAAATAACCCGCTTGCGCCTACTAACCTACTAGCAGGTGTTGAACAGAACACGGCCACTAGCGCAAGCCGGCAGCAAGCAGGCAAAAATCAACAGTGAGAGGGGTATGTCAACGAACAATTCCCTCCCTCTTTTCTCCGCTGGCGAGACGAGAGTCAAATACGATAACGAGCCGTGTCAACCCCTCCCATACCTAAAATGATCTCTCAACCATCCCGTCATCCCCCCACTACCTCCACTATTGTTATTATCTCTCTGCTCCCTCTCCCTCTCCCGTTCCCGTTCACGTTCACGTTCCCTCTCTCTCTCCAACTCCCCAAACCCCCAATTAGTACCCCCCCATCCCCACGCCCCCGCCGCACCACTGCTCCTCGGCCTCGAAGCATCATTCCCACCACTGCCAGGGTTCAAATAACTCCCCGAGGAAGGAGGAGGGGAATCAGCCCTCCTACTCCCTGATGAAGAAGAATGATCACTACTAGGGTCAGCCAATCTACGAATGGCCGCCAGCCGCTCAGCATTCTCCCTCGGCGATCTAGGCGAGCGAGCACGTCGACGACTGCTGCTACTGTTATTATCATTCGGGCTGAGAGTATTACTCGACGAAGTCGACCTGGTATGCTGACTTCCACTCTGACTCTGTTGCTGTGTCCTCCGTAACTGCTCTGGCGACGGGTTATTATAATTATTTGGATTGAGATTATCCGACTCAATCGGCATGCGACATATCGGGCAGGTATTATGTTCGCGTAGCCACATGGTGACACACTCCCCATGGTACCAATGCTTGCAGGGGAGCACGGTCACTTCATCGCCCTTCTTAAGGTCATCCATACAGATCGTGCACTCGGCTTTACCCTCAGGGCCAAGCATCTCATCATCGACCTTCTTCTTTTGCAGCCGATTAATTGCTGCCTCAGACGCGGGGGGCGCAGCGTTGGTTTGTGGGGACATTTCCATCAGCTGGGAGATGATGCGGTCGAGCGCTTCCTGGGTGAAGACTGCGTCGCCATGCACCGCCTCGGCCGGGTTGAATAGGGACTGGAAGAAGGTCTGGAAGGGTCCAAGGAGGGGATCCGGGTGCTGCTGCTGATTATGCTGGGGAGGGATGCCAAAACTAAAAGTGAAGCCGGAGCCTGGGGATGGACTGCCGCGGGAGTGACGACCGCCGCCGTGGCCGGCGTCGTCCGCGGCAGCTGCCAGGATGGGGTTGCCTAGGAGTATGTTGAGTAACCTAGAGTGAACAGGAGGGTTAGTCGATCCGTCTCCGGCCCTAACAGCAATGATGCGTATTCGAGGAAACAGTAGTCGTTGGGGATGACGAGGAGGAGGGATATCAGGGTCCGGTTCCGAAGCTAGTCGGGATGAAGACGACGCGGAGAAATAAGAAGCAGGTGTGGATGGTGCGGAGGGCGAGGAGGAGGAGGAGTAGGAGGAGGAGACGTACTGGTTAGTGTCAAAGAAGTTGGTCGGCATCTGCGGCGGCTCATCGCGAAGAGAGGGGCCACCGGTGCTGAAGCTGAAGGTCGTCCTCGTCGCCGTACCGAATGGGCCAGTATGGTAGGTAGTCTGCTCTATTCTTGCGCCGCCGAGCGGCTCTGGCTCCGGGCTTCCAAACAAACTGGGACCAGGACCACCAAACGGCGAGCCAGACTGCAAGACTCGAGCGGCGCCCAGGTCGTTCATCAGCATATCTGCAAAACGGCGCAAGATAGCCTCACTCTCGGCTACTCTGGCACGGGCCTCGTTCTCAGCCATCCTCTGACGTGCATCCTGAAACAGCCCAGGGAAGAGCATCTCCCATGGAGATAGAGAAGGGCGGCGCCGCAACGGGTCCGGAAAGTCGTCCATATCCATATCATCCGGGTCGGGATCGGAAACGGTTGTGCTGCGATAGCCACCAGGGCCGCTACTGCTGCTTGAAGAAAAGTGCTGCTGGCCTACATCGGGGGGCGTATCGCTGGACGCAGGGAACTAAGCAACGCAGCAAAGCGGTGTGTCAGCCAAGTAGATCCGAAAGAGGGAAGTCATGCGAGTGTGTCATGGGGGCGGGGTCAGCTCTTTAAGGCACTAACAATCTCACAGAAAGTGCTATTACATAGCGGGCAGACTAGTTCCGGGTTGTTTTCACGAGGCCACTCATAGTCGCACGCGTGACAGCGGATGATTTCTCTCTGCCGGTGAGAGGACATGGTGGGAGTAGAAAAACTGAATTGTCAGTGTGCGAAGTCGTCGAGGTCCTCGTCTTGAGCCCGGCGGACGACAGCGAGGACGTTGAGGAGCCCGGCAACGGGGTCGGGGATTGGTCTTCTTGAATCCAGTATGCCGGCGTATGAAACTTGTTGAAAAATTGTAAGTAATCGCAGTAGGTTAACGCCTGCTGTACAGTAGTAGGTCGCGAGATCGCAGTCGAAGTTGAAGAACCGCGGGATATCGAAGGCGCAGCGAAGGAAACCGGCAGAAGCGGGCAGCTGTACAATGCAGGCCTTAACAAGGGCACAAGGCAGTGGGATGGATAAAAAGACTTAGACGGAACACGTAGCGGAAGCTAGAAGCTCAGCCTAAGGGCCAGCGGGTTCTGAGTCTTGGTACGAATAGGAGGTCAGGTTCAGGCTGCAAGGACAAGATGAAGTAATGAAGTGTGTAAGGCGTGAGTGGTAAAGTGGTAAATGGTAATGTACCGAGCTGGCGCTGCGTGCGTGCCCCACCTGTTGTGCTGCGCCCGGCGGCAGAGCTGAATCGAAACTGAAAGTCAGGTAAAAGGCACAGTCCGGCTTTCGGAAAAGCACACGCAGTAGTCGGCCAGCTCTTTCGCCATCGAGGCCCGGAGCTGTTGCTGTTCGGTTGCCGCTTTGATGCGGGGCGCTGACTGTGTGACGCACACTCTCTAGAGAAATTCTGTTGTCTTAATTCAAAAGCATACAAAGTTCCAAAACCTTGGGCAAAGGATTGTTAGGTACCGCAATAAAAATTTTTTTAATGCCTGTCAACCGTGAACAGGTCAGATGCTTCGCAACTGAACAGCATGAACTGTCATGGATCGATGCTTCGGGTGCCCCCCCTCCTCCGCCAGAAAGCGGGATGATGAAGCGATGCCAGCGACTGGCGATTGTTGGGCCACAGCACTCACCCCTGGTCCGCATCGCGTCACAGCCGCTCCAGCACACAGTTTTAAGGACAGCCTGCCCCTGCCCGGCCAGCTTGGCTGACGCCCCGCGATAAGGGAGGGGCACAGGCCTGATAACGTGCCTTACAGCCCAAAAGCACTTTCACTCTTCTACGTTCCCACTAAGACTACCTGAAGACGAAAGCCCAAGGTTCAACAGGACCCGAGCCTTCCACAAGATGAACCCTGAATAACGGGATGGATGGGAGCTAGAACTTGGAAGCTTCTCCTTATTCTCGTGGATTGATCGATTCCAGCTGCGCGTGGAACCTGGAGCCGTGGTTCCTGCGGTTTCCACTCGACGATGTTGGCACTTTTCATCGAGGGGCAGGCTTTGGAGTCCAAGAGTCTCTATGAGTTAGGGCAGACTTCGTGGCATTGCGGACATGCATGAATCGGAATATCTAGCCGCCAAGACAATGGGCTGGTAAGGTGATGAAGCACTCTACGATACGCATCACCTACAGCACTTAGTCTGTTTTTCTTGCAGACGTAGCTGGACATATGACCGCTTTGTTGGCGGGTGGTTTGAATGCCATTCATCAGCGTCTTATGTTCCATGACACTGGCACCTGCCCTGGCAAATGACCCGTCAATGTTCACAACACCAGCGAGGAAATGCTTCATCCGTCAGAGAACCATCGGCAGCTGATCAACCACAATGCATCTGAAACCATTGACATTAACATACCAAACATTCCTCTTAACACTCTCCCCTCCCCATCCCAGCCTTAGAATAAATTCCTTGTCCAACCTCAAGGCTCATCTCTTTATCAACCCTCTTCATCCATTCACAATACACGGGCCTTTCCAGAATCCATCTCCAACCTCCCAGTAACCCCACAAAAACTGCACCTCAACCATTTGAGATTTGAGACAGCTGCTTTGTCATCCCTCCTGCACTGCTCATAGGGCACTTGACCAGCCCGCAGGTACCTGCAGATGCCTGATGAGGGCCCATAATGTGTACCTATGCCCAACAAACTCCGAGTGTTCCCCGCATCGGCTGCGCACCCATTGTAGTAAAATTTTTTTTTTGGTTTTGGAAACTGAGAAAGAGAGAACAAAAATCAGCTTCATCAGCCCTCCCCGGCCCAATCGCGCGGTCGCCCTTTGAGGAAAGGGTAACACAGGGCAGATTTTGGAATATCGCAGTCGAGGGGGAAACCAATAAACGTTCTTATATTAAGCATATCAAGAACACAAGGCAGAAAAGAGGTCGTGGATTTCTAATAGGTAGGACATGTAAGACCTAAGCATATAATTCCCTATCCGAATCGTTTAAAACAAGTCAACGACAATAAGGGAGTGTGCTATTTTAAGAGAGAAAATGGAATGGTATCGTCTTTTGCAAAAAAAAAAAAAAAAAAAAAAGTGTTCTCTAGGTTAAACTACATACGAACAACAACAAAATTTGACCCACCAAAAATGCCATGACGTCGTTAAGGAGCAGTACATGCAGATAGCCATGTAGTCGGTAGTTGCCAAAGACACAATGCCCTCCAGTATCTCGGTAGCCATCCAGGCCTTGCTCTGCAGAATTTGACAATAGCCTCCCTTCTGTTGAAGCCAAAACTCCCTTTTTCCTCACATAGAAGACTTTTTTTCAGCATATACCAGAGCGGATATCAGCTTCCTACCATAAATCAAGAGGCAGCACCATCCCCCAAGCCTTTTTACCTGTGCCTTCCAAACCCCCGGAACATAAGGCTCGCAGCGATGCCAACAACGACCGTAACGCCGCCGACGATCGCCATGCCCACCATGCCCTCCTTGGAGACCTTGTCGTCGATCAGCGTGCGCAGGTTGATCGCCTGGAGGTTCCCCGGTTCTTTCTCAAGGAGCAAATCGTTGTACCGGCGCGCCTCGCCGTAGTTTCCTAGCTTGTAGTTGCCCAACGCGAGGTAGTATAGACATTCACGACGGCGTTCGGGAGAGGAACGGAAAATTTCGGACAGGAGCATGACGCCGAGGTGTTGGTCGGAGCGTTGGTTGGATTTTACGAGGCCCTGGGAAGGTCAGCAAGAAGCTCTTTCACATCAACCTTGCGTAGAGGTAGAGTAAGGGGACATACCCAGGCGTAGTTGAACTTTGTCTGGACGCCAACCATCTCGCCCTCCTTCTCGTATTGAGCCCGGAGTACGGCCAGCTCAGCTGGCGCGAGGGGACTGCAACCGTCAGTCTTCCATCCTCTTCAACTCTCCACATCCGCACCGTATTCCGGCGCACTCACGTTTCAGCATCGATCGCGTCTGGCATCATAGACATATTGTATTAGCGACTGTGCTCGTAACTCTTTCGCAGGGGACTATCTCAAGCGTCCAAAAACAGGAAGATGATGCAGAATAGACGTACAAGGTAGTTGGGTCATGGTGAAATGATTCCTCTGCTACTCTTCTCTTTCACAATGCTAAAAACACCTCGGGTTCGGGGAGCAAAGCTGCTGCTTGGATCGATCGATTAAATGCTTGCGCGCGCCTCTGCCGGGTCAGGTTATCGAAAGGCTGTTCTCCTAAGAGTTCTCTTTCCAGATCCGGCTGCGCTCGAACCCGTGATGCGCCGCGCGGTGATGCAAAAATGTATCGCGACTGAGGTTCTCTACCGGAGAGTGCAGAGCGGACGTTCGCTCGTCGGTGTCGATGGTATACAATGGACGTTCGCAACGGAAGCGGCGGGAGCTGAATGATATTCGTTTCGTTTGAGGGAGAGGACCGAGCTACGCTACGACACGCCAGGTCAAGAGAGGTACACTAGGTCACCTTTGCGAAAGCGGGCGGCGTCTGTTCTCAGTTGAGCGAGCACTTCCCGAGCCTTTTCTGAATTGGGTTGCAGGCGCGGCAGTCGTTGGCACACAGTAACCCGTACGGAGCCCAAACACAGGCCGAGCCTGTTACTTCTTTCGAGAGAAGCAACAAAAAAAAGCTTCTGACGCCGTGCGAGAGGTTCTTCAGAAAGGGCTGGCTGGCTGGCTGGCTGACTGGCTGGCTGTGGCACGAGCGTCCCACCGATGACGAACGAAAGGCTGGGATCACTCTCTTCAATCAGGCTGGCAAACCTGTTCTGCCGGCCGCCAAGGCCAAAGTCGGCTTAGCGATAAGATAAGATAAGACTTGCCCCTCCTTGGTTATCATGTGCTTTTTGCTGGGATCTGTCGTCGGGGTGATGTGCCAAGAATTCTGCATCAACAACTCATCCATCGCGAACCTCGGACGACGCATCATCGCCAAACTGATCAACAACAATTTCTGTGTCGCTGTACATACCAACTTACAACTACGACATTCCCATCTGCATCTCTCAGCGCGTATAGCTAATCTTACGCCTCAATTCATCAAATCAATCACATAAAACTCTTTATATAATCAGTTTATCATCCCCCAAACCGCCAAAATGCTCCTCGAAGAAGATCCCTCGACTGTAAGCGCTCTCTCCAAGACTAGCAATATGTATATATTTTGCTCCCAATGACACGCAGTTACTAAAAAAAAAATCACAGCTAATCTCCCACACCCTCCAAAACTTCAACATCGCCCCCGACAAGCAGGCCATCTCCCGCATAAGTGAGTCCCTCTCGACCCTCCAACAAGCGCGCGACCTGCGCCTGCGCGAAGCCGAGTCCTCCCTGCGCCGGCTTGCCCGCACCCTGTCCACCCTAACCGCCCAACATAACGAGCTCACTTCACAACACAACTCGGCGCACCACGCGTCCGAAATGGCGCGGCTTGACACCCAAAAATTCCGTATCGCGAAGGCCGCATCAGACCTCGAAATGGAGACGGAGCGTCTTCAGGCCCAGTTGGCTGAGTTACACGCCAAATTGCAAGAGTTGGAAATTCAAGGTGTAGAAGGGGGGGTTGAGCCGGGGAATGTCCCTGGAAACGGGGGCGTTGAAGATGAGGTGTTGCTGCGTCTGAAAGTGTACCGGAGTTTGGGGATGGAGCTGGAGAGGGAGGCGGCCGGTGCCGGGGGGGCGGGTGAGTTTAATCGGGTGGTGGTAAGGAATGATCGGAAGGGGGATGTGCATGTGGTGAATATTGATAAGAAGCTGTCGAGGTTTTTTTATGCGAATTATTTTTGGTCGATTTTGTAGGGGACAGGGAGATGGGAGTCTAGGCGTTTGGAGTTGGGTTGGAGGGATTACTTGGACATGGACATACGGATACCCGAGTATACTTGTAATACAATGTGCTGGGTATATGACCTGATGACATGGCACGGCAACTCTTTGGTTTTTTTTTTTTTAGAATTTTTTTTATCTATTTATTGATATGATGCTTCTACAGTTATTCTACGCTATTCCTCCCCGGGAATTTTCTTCGAAGTAAACACAAGACCGCTACAACAACCCGCTTCTTGATATACAGCCATGCAAATACAAAGCCCCAAAGCACATCACTGCTCACCCTTCCACCACCCAGCAACACGATCAACCAGCCCCGAATTCGTTTCACCTTTCGACATGGAGCGCGACCGTCTTAAAGGCGCAGCATGCAGCTGCGTCTCATCAGCTTGAGGCTTCGCATTTCCCGCCTCAGTCCCGTTCGAGCCCCTCGCCTGATCATTCTCCTCCGGCTGGGTCCCATTCACCTCCCCTCCCTCCAGACTCACCCCCCTTTGCTCACTTTCTCTCCCTTCTTTACCCTCCCTTGTCCGACTCCGACTTCTACTCTCCCTCCTCGCCCTCGCCCTCGTCTCAAACACACTCGGTCTCCTGACCTGCTCTTCCTCCCCCTCTTGTTCATGATTGTTCCCCCGTCCCGGCCCATCAATAGGATTCCACTCCAACGGCACCGGGCCCACAGGATTCCTTCCAAACGGCCTATCCAACTCCTCATTCGGCGGTGTCGACGCCGTCGAATCGACTAACACCCCAATGACTTCGTCATCTCCCAAATCGCCATAGGGGTTGCCTCTCGGCTGGCCGTAGCTGTCGCGGCGGGGGTAGAGGGTTTTCCAGCGGTCGGCCACTTGTTCTGGACCGGAGGGCTGGCTGGGGATGCGGCGCTTGAACCAATTCAAGAAGCGGGAGGAGGCGGAGAGTTGGGAGTCGTCAGAGGAGGGGGGGCTAGGTTCACAGGGGTTGGGGGCCTGAGTTTGTGGGGGTTGGGGGCAGGTTGGGGAGGGCGAGGACAATCGGGGGGCCTTTTGCTTGCCTTTTGGGTCACGGTTCTTTTGGTCAGCGGTCTGATTGTCCCTGGGGTTAACGGCTTGGCTCTCTCCGGAGACGAATATTCTCCTCTCGTTTTGAGCAGGTTGCCCATTAGCCTGGTCTCCAGCCTCTTTCGTGACATTTTCTTCCTTTTGTTTCCCCTCCACGTCAACCTTGGACTCAACCTCCGGCTGAGCCAGCTGCTTCCCCTTGTCGTTCACCTGGGACTGCTGTTTTTGGATGACCTTTTGCTTCCCATTTTTCTCCTCCTCTTTTATCTTCTCCACCATCCCCTCCCCACTCTCCATCGATGGCATCTCCAACCGCCTATAATGCGGGTTCCCCAGCACGCCCTGACGCAGGTACTCAATCTCGTGATAATTCCCCGCATTTTCCATCGCCATGAGCCCGTGATGAGTCTTGCGATCCCTCACCTCCATCTCAAAGATATCCCTCTGCTTCTGCTGCAATCTTTCCAACTTCTCCCTCTCGCGCTTCGTTTGCTCCTCCAGTTTCTTACACTCCCTCTCCAGCCGCCTCTGCCTCCTCTGCAGCTTCTCAATCAGTCTTTTCTTGTCCTCTTCCTGCCTCTGTACCAATTTCTGCCTTTCCTCCTCCTCATTGAACGGCGCATCGCGCGGCAGAGACATCAAGCTCGGTGAGACAGACTCGACAGAAGCAGCAGGCCGATGACGGGCAGGACCCGGAATACCAGTAGACCGTACCGACGACGACGACCTTCTCACAATCCCCCTCCGTGAATGATGCCTCGCCGCATGCCTCGCACTAATACGCCCAGTCTCAATACTCGGCCGACGCGGCCTCTCCGGTGTCCACCGGTACAACAACCTGCTCAACGGCTGCGCAAGCCAATAGTCAGGGGGCGTCCTGTCCTCCGGCCAGGACTGCTGTCCCCACCGATCTCTCGGTGCGTCAGGAGCTAAAAAACCCTCATTATTAAATGCCCACGGCTCTGGCGGGATAGCCCGATCATGAGGCACGTGCCTTCGAGAAGGATCCCCAAAGATGAGGTCGCGCAGAGAGAAGAACCAACCGATGGTGAGGAAGTAGATTAGCCGGAAGGGAATGAAGCGCAGGAAGGGGTCGAGGAGGGAGGAGAGGATGGGATAGAAGATGTTTCCGGTGAGCCAGATGAAGACGTAGAAAAGGGCGAGGGGGAAGAGGGCGGCGCCACCGAAGATGAGGATGGGGAAGATGGAGATGGCGAGGAGGGACTCGACGATTTTGGCGGAGTAGCTGGGGAAGAGAAGCTCGAGGAGGGAGAAGAGGATTTTGGTGATCATTTTAGTGGCTTTTTTTTTAAAAAAAAAACCTTTACAGCGGTAAGGATGCTATGAGTGAGATGAAATGTGCTGGTTGGGAGATTCAGGAGAGTCTACTCGACGTTGGGTTGAAGTACCTCGGTAGTCATCTGGACTTGGGCTTCCCTTCCCTCTTACCAACCAAGGCTTTGGGATTTGCCTTGCCCATGCAGAAGGCGCATGTTGCTGCTGTCTGTTTAGAGGGGAAATCGATGGCTCTATCAGGGGTGAATCAAGGGCAGCGACGGGCAGTCCAAGGCTCGAAGTCATCGATCTTCCACCACGGTCAAGCAAGTAAACAGTCGGCCGGCATTTCGCCAAGGATAATATTTCACCTATATTCCGGATTGCCTTTATCCTCTCAGCATCCATCCGTTAGATTAACCAGATCTTTTCCCCTTTAAGAATTTCCATGCCATGAGACTATGGGTTTTGCATGTGATCCAAGGTTGCAAACAATAGAGCAATGGACAAGGGAGGTTGCACTTTTGAGCTTCGCTTGGAGACTAGCGGGATGAACGATGACGTCATTGAAGGGCTGGTTTTCTTGGCGTGGGCTCCCGGGTTGGGTGGGTCTTGTAGGGCCGTCAGGATTGGCCACGCGCTTGTTCAAGTAAGCTTTGCGGAAAGCTGTTGGGCATGACCTAGGGAAATATGAAATTAATCTAGGGATAATCAAGAAGTTAGAAGAGAAACGATCTCAATGCTTGGTAATCTCCTGAATTACATAATTACTAACAGGACTGGAATTTATAACTATCTGATGACCTTGACACTTTCGTCTCTTGTCTCTCGTTACGGCGGTGGAAATGCCATGCTAACATGTTAAGACGATCCATCCAGGGTTCTAACATGGGGAATTCAAACGAAAAAAAACATGCCCAGAATTTCACTGTTTAAAATTCATCATTTTCAAAACCAAAGCCTGCAACGACAAAATCTTCCTTAAAACATTGTGTCGTGTGTAAGGCAGCTGGCTTGAAAAGCAAGAATTTTTTGGCTTTTAACCGACATAATTGTAGACCGCCGTAGCAGACCTTCCACCCCACCCCCCCCAACCCCCTGGTCTTGCTGCCTGGGTGGTCCCTCATTTGCGGGGTAGCTAGACTAACAATATTATTTCCAGCCATTCCTGACATCACCTTGTCAGCAAACACATTGTCCTCTCTTTCTGCTGTTTTCCTTTGCCCAATAGAGAACCAATTTCATTCCAATCCGAGGTTAACATCTCATCCCCGATCAAATCATCAAACCGCCGGGTTTTGATTCTCAAATTGACATCACCTTCTAGGTCCCCAACAAACCCATTGTCCCTCCCACAACACTATTCACTTACGCCAGTCAACAGCTATCGCTCTCTCACCAGTCCCAGCCCTCTCAACCTGACCGACTCCTCTCACTCAACCCAAACCCCAAACCCTCACTAATTTCATCATTCCCTACCATGTGTCCTCCAACCGACTCGTCACCTCCCTCTCCCCCAGGGAACTCCAACACCCCCTTCCCCTGGCACATCGGCCTCTTCGACGCCCACTGCCATGCCACAGACACCATGTCCAGCATCCCTCTCATCCATTCCATGCGCGCCCGCGGCCTAACCATTATGGCGACGCGTTCTCAGGACCAAGCTCTGGTCGCCGAGGTTGCAGCAGAGCATGGCGTTTCCAACAGGGAAGCACTCTCAGCTGAGACAGAGGGAAAGGGGAAGGGAAAGGGAAAAGTGGTTCCCGCGTTTGGCTGGCATCCGTGGTTTAGCTACCAGTTGTATGATGATTCCCTTCCGGAGTGGGCGTCTTCTGCGGGGCCGTTGACGGGGGAGATGAAGGAGAAGCACTATGGTTCTGTGCTGCAGCCTGAGCCGGACAAGAAGTTTATCACTGCGCTTCCGGATCCGATCCCGCTAAGTCAGTTCATTTCTCAGACTAGGGGGTTTGTTCAGTACCTTCAAGCGGCTGGGAAGCCGGTTCTGATTGGAGAGGTTGGGCTCGATAAGGCGTTTAGGATTCCCTGGCCTTGGGGGTTCCATCCTCCTAGTCAGGGGCAAGGCTCCCCTTCTCCAAACAATGAGGATGATGGGAAGGGAGAAGAGGGGACTATGACGCCAGGCGGGAGGGAAGGTCGTATGCTGAGCCCGTACCACGTGCGCATGGGACATCAGCAGGCCGTCTTGCGTGCTCAGTTAAGGTTGGCTGGTGAGCTAGGTGTGCCGGTTAGCGTGCACGGAGTGCAGGTGCACGGGGTGTTGCACGACGTGCTGGCCGGCTTATGGAAGGGGTTTGAAAAGGAGGTGGTGTCGAGGAGGAAGATGAAGATGGTTGCGCCGGGGGCGGAGGATTATTTCAGCTCCTCCGAAGATGAAGATTATGATTACAGTGATGATGACGGGGCCTTGGGCAGGAAAGTCAAGCCAAAGCTCGAGAAGAATCCCAAATCCTACGTCCCCAAACCCTTCCCCCCGCGCATTTGCCTGCATTCTTACTCCTCCTCCCCGCAAATGCTAACCCAATATATCCACCCCGCCGTCCCGGCTGAAGTGTACTTTTCCTTCTCGACAGCAATCAACCTGTCCACAGCCGGCGGCGCGTCAAAATTCCCCGAGGTGGTGCGCGCTTGTCCCGATGACCGGATCCTGGTCGAGAGCGATCTACATGTGGCGGGGGAGGAGATGGACCGAGCGCTGGAGGATATTTGTAGGAGGGTGTGTGAGGTGAAGGGGTGGGAGTTGGAAGATGGGGTGCGGAGGTTAAGGGGGAATTGGGAGAGGTTTGTTTTTGGGTAAACTACATAGATACCTAGTGAAGGCAGAGGGCCCCCCGTGAACGTTTTGGTGTTGGGGGTGGGGGGGGGGCNCGGGGGGGGAAGGAAAGGATAGATATTTGTGATAAGAGGAGCTTCCGGGGGGTAAGGGACTGACTAAACCCTGAACTTGGTCATTGTTAATACATGTGATAGGGTTTGCAAGGCAATGAAATGGCCTGGAAAAAGATAAATTGGCAATAGACTCGACGCTCCTTTCCTCTTGATAAGCAGAAGTCTGCTGCTTGGCTCTTTGGAGGTTAAACCCATCAACTCAAGGTCTCAAGAAGCATTCTGCTCGTCAGTGATGGCCAGTCCAACAAGACAAGCAAAGCCTAGTCTATTTTTATTCCCCTAGCAATCCCTAGTTATTAACAGCACAAGCCAGAGCAACTCAGCAGGTATGTCTGTATGCTTTGTGTAATGTAAAAACCAGAAAAGCTTCAGTAAACATAATACATCGCCTTTTAGGCACTACCAGTAGCCTCGGCAGGTTTCTGCTCTCCTTCAGCCGGCGCATCCGGCACCTCGACATCCCCCGCAACACCAACCCCCTCCTCCTCACCCTTCACGCTCTCCGCCGCATCCGCCTCGGCCTCCTGCTCAACCGCATCCTTCATCTCCTCATCCACCTTCCCTTCCTCAGCAGCCCCCTCCTCCTTCTTTTCCCTCTTGATCCCCATATTAACCAACGGCGTCGTATCATTAAAAATCCTCAACAGCATCGCGGAGCGATCCTCCTTGGGCAGCATCAGATTCAGACTCTGAAAACTCTTCCACAGCGGCAGCGCCATCTCCTCGGCGCCAAAATCCTCACCCTGGTCCGGATCCGGCTCAACCCTCAGCACGCAGCACCCCAGCCCCAGGTCGCGCACGCGTTCGCCGATCTCGTCCATGCGCCGCCACTCGTCGCCGCCAATCTTGGGGAACATCTCCACGAGGAGCTTACGAAGCGTCTCCTTTTTACGCAAGACAACGACCCTCTCAGCGCCTACGTACCCATGCAAAATGGGCATACCCTCGCTCTGGATCCTCCACCTGCAAACCTCGGCACTGGGGGCTTCTTGCTTGACGAACATCTTGACGCCGCCGTGCACAAACTTCACGCCACGGCCTTCGTTGAGCGTTAGTATGTCGCGGACCAGGGACGAGGTGTAGTAGATCGCCTTGGCGGGCTCGCCGAGGGCGTTGCGAACCATGAAGCGGTCGAGGGGGAAGCGAGGGGAGATGGAATAGAAGGTGGCTACGGATTGGATTACGTCGTGGGTCGGCGGGAGGTATTTGAAAGGTTCTTCGTAGGGGCCGTCGGGCTTGCGTTGCTTTGGCTCGGGTTGGGCGGACTGGGAGGTTTGGGCGGCTTCGCCGTTAGTAGGCGCTTCGGCTCCGGGCTTGACTTCTGCTTCGGGGACGGGCTCGACAGGAGTTTCGACCGCCTCAGCTGGTGTCTCAACTGCAGCCTCAACCGGCGTCTCAACTGCAGCGGCCTCTTCCTCAGCCTTCACCGGCTCCTCCGACAACCTCACCTTCTTCACCTCCTGTCCCCCCTCCTCCCCCTCCAGAGGCCTCTTCTCCCCCGCAGCCGCGGCCTTGGCCATAGCCCTCGCCTGCGTAGGCTGCACCCTCCTGGGCTCCTCCGGCTTGGCCTTAAACTCCGCCTTCTTCCTCAGCGCCGTGATAAAGAAACCACCCGTATCCTGCAGATGAGCATACACCCGCATGCATCGCTCAAGCGGCAGATCCTTGCAATCGCTCGTCTCCGGCCGAGGGAACATACTCTCGACCAACCTTCCCGGCGCGATCCCGTCGGGCTGCGAACGAGTATACTCCTCGACCTCATCCCACGAGCTCCACAGCCGACCAGACTTGTCCATGACCTTCCACTGACGCATGCCGGGACGGCGGCGCAGAAGGGGAAGCTCCTCGCTGCAATCGATGATCTCGATCTTATCCGGGCCGCCGCAGCGCTCGATGGCTGCCGCGACGACGGCCTCGTTTTCGACTGGGTTCATGCTGCACGTGGAGTAAACTACACGACCGCCGGGCTTGAGCATTTGTAAAGCGCGGACGAGGATGCGTACTTGCGTGAGGTGCAGACCCAAAGCGTTACCCGGCGTCCAGTCCTTCCAGAGGTTGATGTTCTTGCGCAGGGTGCCGTCGCCCGAGCATGGGACGTCGGCGAGGATGCGGTCGAACTTGAGGTAGGCCGGCTTGTCAGGGTTGGTGGGGTTGGGGATGCGCAGGGAGGGGTACATGGTGGCGTCGTGGTTGGTGACGATCATGTTTGGGGAGGAGAGCCGCTTGAGCTGGTGGATGAGCATGTGGCTGCGCTTGTAATCGGCATCGTTGGCGATAAGGAGGCCCGTGGCGCGGCCGTCGTCGCCGGGGTCGGCGGAGAGGCGGGCCGCGGGATCATCTTCTTCTTCGTCGGAGGGGATCGGCTCGCCCTGGAAGGATTTCATGACCTTGCGGATGCGGGCTTCCTCGCCGCGATGGATCATCTCGAGAAGCTGGGCGGCCTTGCTGCCAGGGGCGGCGCACATGTCGAGGACGGTCATGCCCGGCTTGACGTCCATCAGCAGCGGGGGGATCATGCTAACAACTTCTTGACGGCTAATATTGCCGACGCTGGTCTCGGAGACCAAGAACCGCTGGAAGGCCGCGAAGGGCGGAAACTTCCTGACGACATTCTTCGGCGTTGTCATCCACCAAGCCAACTCATCGGGATACCAGGGGACCGGTTTGGGCGGGTCGACATTCTGTCCCTCATACTGGATGCGCGTGATCTCGGGGATGTAGCGTGTCTGCAGCAGGCGCTTGACGGCCAGGGCGTGGCCCTTGGAGCCGCAGAAGCGGAAGCTGTTGGGCAAGTCGCGACGCAGCGCGGCCCAGAACTCGGCGCGCTCCTCCTCGGGCAGCTGCAGCAGCGTGTCGTAGTACTCCTGCAGCTTCGCATTCTCTCTGATCAGAGTCGGATGAGACTGGTACGGTCTATGGCCACCATCACGGTCGCGGTCGCCGCCGCGGCGACCTTTGCCCTGGGGAGGGGTCAGCGGCTTCATCAAATTATCAATTGGGTCAAAGAGTCAAAAGAAAATACCTTTCTGCCGCGCGCCATGTGGGCAGCGAGTGTGCGATATGAGGCTATTTGTAAACTGAAAGTGGCAGACGAGAGTGCTGTCACGATGCGCCCCAATCGCATGGACCGACTTCGACGTCGAGGGAAGCAGGTTGGCAATGGAAGCAGAGGATGAGAGGCTGAGACGGGAAGCAAAAAAGTTCTGCGACGGGACCGCAGAGCACGGTGGGGGGCGGGAAGAAGACATTTCTGCGACGCTACTCGCCGATTTCTCTTATCTTATCGCGTCCCTGGAGAAGGGGATGGGCGGTGCTAGGCCGAAACGGGAAAAAGGTAAACAGAGATAGGGCAGGTAGGGAGGAGGAAGGTAAGAGATTCCTACCTGAATGTACTCTCTGGTGAAAATAAATAAATAAATAGATAAATAAATAAATAAATAAATAAATAAATAAAGAAACAAAGATCTTGTTCAATTGGGTCAATGGTAGAAATCCGGGACCGAGGATCCATCGTAATTGTCCCAAGAAACAAAAATCATATTTTTACATTGCATGTTGGGTATTGAAGGTTACTCTACCAACACCTTAACAGTACGGACCTTATTATACAGAATGATTTACACATCCATCACATCGCCGACATGCCAGATCCCTAAGGCTTCTAATCCTACCATCTAAATCCCAAATCAAATCAAACACCCTAACCGTCTAACAACCCAACGGCCCAATGAATAACCCGATCACACCCCTGCCCCAAGATGGCACTCACAGGAATCGCCTCAACATTCTTCGTCCAGGCGCCCTCCACCCCACTCGGATGCGGCTCGTCCCCCCTCGTAATGGCATGCACATAATCCCTCAACTCCATGAAGTTCTCCTGCGTCCCCGGCAGATCTCCCTTTGTCGCCACCACAAACCACGGTTTGCCCGCAATATGCAGGCCCCCCGCCCCGGGTTTGTTGGCGCTCACCGAGAAGTCCTCCCCTCCCACTATCATGTGCGAGAACTGGCTCGGCCAGAAGGTATCATCTGTTGCGTCGGTACCGGCCTCGGCGCTCCAGTCGATGACCTTCTGCCTCTCCCTCGCCCGCTCTTCCTCTTCCCTCATCTGCGCATAGAGTCCAACCTCCTTCCATAGCGCCTTGAGCGCTGCCACGGCATTCCCCGCGCTGAGGTCTAAAACAAATGCCAGAACGCCCGCGCGCTCGACATGCCTCAGAAATGCAATCCCCAGTCCCTTGTCCAGATGTGCCCCTTCAATCAGGCCGGGGATATCCGCGATGGTAAACCGCGTGCGCCTCTCCAGCTCTGGCTCTGCCTCGGCACTGGTACCATCGGAAAAGGCGAACGGACCATCCTCTTTGTTGCGCGGTCCGCCGCCGACCCGGCGGTAGCTGGTTAAGAGGGGACGCCCCCGGTTATTGTCTAGCACTACCGTCCCAATGTTAGGCTGCAGTGTGGTAAAGGCCCAATTGCCCACCCGCGTCCGACTATTCGTTACCGCACGGAGGAGGGTACTCTTCCCTGCATTAGGCAACCCAACCAACCCAACATCGGCGAGGAGTTTCAGCTCGAGCTCGATCTCCATCGTCATGCCCGGCTCACCCTTGGTAGCATACATCGGGCGGGGGGTTTCCTTGGTGACGAAGTGCGGATTACCTAGGCCGCCTAAGCCGCCGGGGGCGAGGAGGATGGGGCGCGGCGTTGGGCGCGAGAGGTCTAGATGGATGGGGGGCTGTGGGGCAGCGAAGAGGCGGTCGCGCCAGGGGAGACGAGGAAGTTCGATGCGCTTGCGATCGGAGGAGGACATGCCTGGGTAGAGGAGCCAACGGTCGCGTTCGGGGTCTTCCATTTCTTCGGGGTCTTCGGCTAGCTGTTGCTGTTCTTCCTGCTTCCGCTTCTTCCAGCGCTTGCGTAGGAACCGGAACTCAGCCTCGGGGTCATAGCGGCTCAATTCCCTTACAACAGTGCCAACTGGCACGGAAATAATCACATCCTCCCCCCTCGTCCCGCCCCTCGAACTCCCCTGCCCCGCTTTCCCCCTCCCCGCGCGAATGGTCCTCATCCGCGCCAGTTTATGCAGCGATGTCTCGCCGTGCACAGCTTGGATGTATATATTCCCTCCATGCCCGCCATCCCCTCCATTCGGTGGCCCCTCGGGCAGGAAGAGCTCGCGCAAAAAGGAGATACACCCATTCCCGCCGTCACCGGCCTGGAGTTTCAGCCGGGCCTTATCGGCGAAGTGTGGAGTCGAGTAGTCGTCTGGATCGGGGTTCAGTCGGGAGGGCGCATAGTCCGGTGAAGAAGGGTTGCTTTTTGTGCTGCGGCTGTTGTGGCGCTTTTGTTGGCTGTCGATGATGGTGAGGGTTAAGATGGGGACGGCGGACGCATTGGGGTTGCTGGTTGGGGAAAACAAGGCGGGGTAGAGGAAGGGTAGGAATACCCGCGAGCTACGGGCGCAGCGGTAGGTCATGATGGGCGTGGACGGCGTCGTGGTCGTCGCCGCGTCGAGAGAGCGTCATTGTGGTACAGAGAGAGGAACCGATTCAACTGTGTTAGGGGGATGAAAAATGGGACAGGCATGTGATAAGATAAGGAGGTACCTTTGTACTCCTTGTACCGGCGGGTCTGGGTTGCCCCGCTCAACGTTTTTCCGATCCTTGGAGATCCGTAACGGAGGTGGGTCAAAATTTTTGGCTTAACTTTCATCTGTACGACCCTCCTAAACTTCGAGTTCCTCGAGAGTCGGATGGAAAAGAAATCAAAAAGGGACGCAACGAATGACAACATCAGATGGAACATCCCAAGCTTAACAAGATCTTGTGTTCCTCGGTCCCGGTTCCACCGGAATCGTTCCCATCATCGTCCCATCGCCCCTGATTTTTCCTCTCTTCAACAAGGTCATCGGATGGATCACGGATGGCGCCCCCACACTTTGACGATGATCGCCTGCGTTGTCAGTCATGCTTGGCAATTGACGCTGACATTTGGCGTGCATCTCGGTCTGCGGGCAGCCATCTCTCGGTCGGGGTCGGCGGCGGCGGGCAAAATGCGGTCAGTAGAGCCGATGGACGACATTGGCATTAACGGCAAGCTCCGGGGTGAATGTTCAGGTAAAGTGCCCAATCCGCTGCGGCCGGCAAACAAGAAAATGCTGGGGGTCAACAGGCCACCGGGCACCGGACACGGACACGAACGAACTATGGACGAAGCAGAAATGCGGGTTCCAAAATGCTTAGGACTCTGGCATAGTCGAGAAGCAAATTGAAAAAAAAAAAAAAAAGGTCAGGTGTTCGATTTGTCGTGTTTCATCTGCCTTTCGCTGGTCACTGTAAACTGTATGTGGTGTTATAATATATATATATATATATATATATATCTGTGTTTACGGACGCAGAGCTGTTTGTCTTAAAATCCTATCAAGGCATGCGTGACTCTTTGTTGATTTTTTTTTGTCTCACCGTTTGAGCTAAAGGACATAAAAATAAAGTTCATCACAACTGTCTTTGTCGGTCTTTTCCCATCTTTCATCAGAATCCTCGATCAAGCATCAATCACATTTTACAGCCCCCTCAACTGTTCAAGTCGAACCTCCACCACACCCGCGGCTCCACCAACGCTCCAACCGGTCCCATCCCCCCCATCTCGTTCCTGTCCTGGCCCGCTTGTTGCTTGTTCTCCAGTGCCCGGCCCCCTTCGTTGCCCGCCTGTGAGCCTGCGACGTCGCTGTCGCTGCTGGCTACTGCTGTCCACGGGTGCTTGTGACCCCTCCCCCCACAAGATGCCATCCCCAATTCTCTCGGTCATAAGAGCCTCACAGCATACGAATCAACACGTTCTGTCCATTTTGTTTACTTGTTTTTTTATCTCTGCTTCGTCTTCACTTTGCTACAGCAGACAGCATACACTACGCAAAAAAAATTGATCGCATTAACCCAGGTTTGAATCGTTAAAGCAGGACACAAGACCAGGGTCGCATAATAACAAGCAGTAGCCAAGCACAGCGCCAGACGATCCTCCGCCCGCGGGCTACGGGCATTGGGCCCCGCCACTGAGAGCCTGCAACAGAACTTGGACAAACCACAAACCAAAAACTAGCAGACAAGCAGACAACTGGCTGACCACACATTGGGCCGCTGCACCACCTGCAAGCTGCAGACTGCTGCATCGACGACGAGCCACGACAGGCTCCAGAGAGCCCAGTCGGGGCCCAGTCTCAAGACGGCAGTCAACGTGGACGCCCCGTAGCGGCCCCAGCGGCTCCAGTGACCCAGCATCCCAGCAGCCCAGCACGTCGGCACCATCGCGTCCTCACTCACAATCCCCAGATTTGTTCCTGTTTGCCCAACTCCCCTCTGCTTGATCCGTTCACTCCTCTCTTCTTCCATCGACACCTCCAGAGACGAAACTCTCTCCATCTGGACAGCTCTCATCGTCATCATCCATTTCTCACGCTGCTCACTGCTGCTCCAATCTGCATCTCGGCGCCTCTCCGCCAAAGAGATCTCGTCGCGCTGTTGCTCCGCATTGCTGCAGCCTTTCTAAGTCTTCTAGCCGTTCTGCTTGCTTGTCTGCTCTCCTCTCTGTTGCATCATCTACTCTGCGTCTGGACACTGTCTGCTATCTGTTCTCTGCTGTCTGCTGCCCATCTTCTCGCATCCTCTCGCATCCTCTCGCACCCTCTCGCATCCTCTCGCACCCTCTCGCACCTCACGCAGACTCTCAACGCCATTGTCATCCATAACCTGCGCACGCATCACGCACATCACTCGGCGATCGCTTCATACCTTAGCCGCACTTGCTTTGTTTTTCTCCAGCCAGGTCAGTAATAACTCGGGTCTCCTTTTTTTTTTCAGTCAGTCATCTGCTGTCGTCACTCCCGTCTCGCCTGTCAGGCGATTCGTTCGTGTCCTTTCACCCTTTGCCCTCACTGCATCCTCTCTTGGGCTGGTGCCGCTGCTGGTGCTGCGTGTCCCCTCGCCGCTGGTTCTCTGGCTCTGGCTATCTTTATCTTGCGGCTCCCACATCACCTACCCTTCCTCGTTTTTCTCGTCCTTTTTCCCCCCCCCCTATTCTCCTCCTGCTCTCCTGCTCCCGGCACACTCACACACATACACACACACACACAGACCACACGCACCAAGCTGGCTCTCGAGAGTTCGATAGCTCCAAGCTCCCATATCCCCCGTCTCTACTCCGGGCAGGCCCCTGCATGTTGATGGTCATGTCCAAGATCATGACCGCTCGACAAACATCTACATTTTTTGTACCACTAGGCTGAGACTCGGTGGTTGTCCTTTATCCATTACCTCTCGCACGTTACCTATACTACCTACCATCTTTATTCTAATCCGTATTCTCCACTTGTGACCTGATGTTGGCCTTTCCTCCGTCCCGTGTCGAGACACACACTGAAGCCATGTATCCCAGAAACCTGTCCACAGTAGGGAAAGGGGTCATTAGGATGGACCCGGACTGCGCCATCTGCCATGCCCCGGCCTCGCTCGCCTGTGAGTGCGAGGCCAAGGGCTTGGAGCTTGCCGTTCGCCAGGCCGAGGCCCGCATGATGAACCAAATATACAACGACATTCGGTAGGTCCTTTCCCTTTTTTGACTTTTTTTTTTCAGACCCCTCCAGCTGACTGTCCAGCTCCTGGGTCCGCGCCCACGCCCAAGACTACATCCTAGAATACTTCCGTGTGCTCACCGAGCGCCGCAAGCAAGCCCACCAGCAACACCTCGAGCGTTTGCAAGCCCAATACCGCTACTACCACCAGCAGCCACACCCCTCACAGATCGCCGACGCCCAGGCCGCTTTGAAACGTGGAATCGACGAGGACTGGCAGGCCTCCGTCCAGCGCTACCCCGAGGTCCTCGAGTACTTTTTCAGCCTTGTCGAGCTCACCCTGCCCGACGATAACGATGCGGCCGTCAAGGACCCCCCGCTTAGCCCCCTGAATAGCCTGCGCAAGCGGGATGGGCCTCCACCGGCCCCGACGAGGAGGATGACTGTGGGGGAGAGGGATAGGCCTGATAGGGATCGGGGCGCCGCGACCACCGTCGTGAGTGGCCCCAGTATGGCTTTGCATGAGAGGGATATCCCGCCGCCTTTGCCGAGGGGCAGGACGCCGCCGCCGTTGGAGCCGTTGAGGGAGAGACGGACGCCGGCGCCGAGGGAACGCAGACATTCTTATCGGCCTCCCCCTCCGCCTCCGCCGCCGCCGGCAGGGTATGGGTATCCTCCTTATTAGAAATAAGTTGGGGGTTTATCATGAGTCGGGAGCGGCATCGATTTAAACGCCTACTTCCATATTTTTGAACAGCAACTCATGAAAATTATGACTCTTAACGACATGGATGACAAAAACAAAAGGATCATGATACCAACTTAACGACAAACGGGATGATAACATGATACCGATGAAAAAAAAAAAGATGTTGATTCTCTACCTCACGGTCTGGGTTTCTCGGCTCGGCATATTATCATCTACTATCTTCTTAAATGGCATATGGATGCATTTTGGACTGTGGTTGTGGTTGTGATCCGGTGGTGGTTGAGGGTTGTGGTTTATGACGGGATGGCATTCTCTTGAACAGTTTCCTTTCCTTTGTCTGTTTCCTATCTTTTGGTGGTTAAATGGATGATTTATCTTGAGTTATTTTTGGGGTTCATTTTTTTTGGTGGTTGTGTTTATGTTGTGTGTCGGGTTTTGGTTCTGCTTTGTTTTTTTTTTTTTTTTGCTTTTTTGCTTTATTTTTTACGACAACTCAACTTTCTCATTAACATGCTGTGCCTATTCTATCTACCTACCTTACGTACGTACCTACCTACCTATCAGTATCTACATAAATCACAGGACCGGAACAACGGCACGGTGGTTTAAAGAGGTTTTCGCCTTGCTTAGTTCTTGTTACTGTGGTCGCTCATTTGGATTTTCGTCTCCTTTGTGTCTTGCATCCATTCTTGGGACTCGCGGGCTTGCCTACTTATCTAGACTGTTGATGGATGGCAATTAAAGCCAAGGAAGAATGAATGGGGATATCCGTGATGAGAACAACCGAAGTGATCTGGCTGACAACGGATGTTTTTTGTACCCTCGGACTTGACATGGTGACGTTACTCCATTATCTATTATAGTCTTCAGAGGTCGGTGAAATGACTGGACCCAGGCGTGACTGCTGTTTCTTGTCAATTTAATACCTGCTTCCCTTTGGATGACGAGGATCAGATCGTAGGTGGTTCCAATGACCTGGGATAAGCATATGATGTTTTTGAGATGGTTTATCTCTGTTCTTAATCTAAGGCTGTTTTACTCTATCAGAGGTGGTTTTTGCATAGTTATTGCATGTTTGGACAGATAGAGATGGAGGATTGTGATCGGATTCTACTTTTCAAGTATCCTGCTGGTGCCGTTTAGGGTGAAGCTTCATGCCCTTTTGTCCAGGTTTCTCAGTTTGACGGAGTAGAGGAGCCTGCCAAGACATATTTGCAGCTACCAAAGACAGTACGTAAGCTCGTCACCAGAGTGCAAAATGTGTTTGATCATATGAGATAACTGTTGATTAGTACCGATTATGGAAATGATCAAATCCTTAACTGTTTACCACAGTTCATGCCGGTCAATCTTACGCAGCGTGTCGTCCTTCCCCGGATCGAATACATGCCCAACCTCCAGTCCTCGTCACATTTTCTACATTCATGTCACCAACACTCAATAATCTGTCATGGCATGCATTACTAGGCATCAACCGAATCCGGAGACAGGTCCCGGAGATGACAGTCGGGTACGGAATGGGTGATCCGGCACGAGGCGGGATGTTGGATGTCAGATGGCATAGTTACACAAACCCGGTCCGGCCGGGCCGCTTGTGCCCAACATACCCATGTGGCTGTTTAGATCAAGGCAGCCTAGCTTACAAGTACGCCCATGACTTCGATGGTGTGTGTATGAAAAAAAAAAAAAAGAAGAGAGAGAGAGAGAATTCAGTGGATGTAGGAGAATAATGTGTCAAAAGTTTATATGTGTAGGGTTGGACAGGGCATAGAAAGGGGGACAGACCTGTCAGTTGACTGTGAGTACCACCGCTACCACCTTGAGAGTTCTACTTCAAACATAGCTTGTATGACAGCTAGCTCTATGTATAGCGATTATTAAAGAGTAATGTACGCTGCCTAGCGGCCGTAAGGGATTAGGGCTCTATTCAAACGGCTGGGTTCGTCTAATGTTGGGCAAGCGCACAGCACATCAACCGTGACTATTGGAATGTTCGACGTCTATCAAGACTATTAGGGTAAATCATTGAATGGTTACATGACTATATGGAAGGGTATGGCAAACTCAAACAAGGGCTGAACTAAAGCGCCCTCGCATCTTCCAAGTTCACCTAAACTGGTTACCTCACGGGTCATCCAGTCCCTCCCTTGTTTGGAACAGATATGAACTTTAATACAAGTAGATTACGTCCTGGACACTAGAATCATTCTTCCCATACAGCAAGTAAGAGCAAAGATGGTGAAATAGACGACGGTATGCTTAAAACATGTCCATACACTCTTCGCCGAGAGACGGAATCGAACTGAAGCAGGTACTCTCCGTCTTTCACGTGGAGCACAAAAATGGATAGTTCCACCATCCGGCTGTATACCACGATATAAGACCGACAACAACCCCTGGCGTTACCGTATTCCAAGTCGAATCCTTCAGTCTCCAGATCTCAGGTGTGTGAGTCACCCACGGATCTCATGACGCATCCGAAGCTCTAGCCGAGGAGCCCAACCTTAGCTTCATCACCAGATCTGATGTGACGAGTCGAATATCGGGCTCTCGCTTACGCAGGTACGGACTGACAGGTTGGGTTGAGGAGATAGGTATAGGTATCATGATGGAAGGAGACAGAAAGGCATGGAATGAGAGACAACACAGCACAAGGGTTCACCTGCAACAGAAGAGCAGGCAGAGGAAACTGCTTCTTTTTCGCTTTTGACCTTTGGGGTGCCCGTAAGGAAGTTAACCTAGAACATGTAAAGATGCTGCGGACTGAAGAAAGATATCAGTAGGCTGGAAGAACAAAAAGAAGAAAATGCAAGAAAGACCAGTGTGATCAACAGGAGGGGCTTTGAACCACCTCAAGAGTTTGTGATGATTAACACTACTGCTTTAGGTAGGAGTTGTTGCTTCCCATAGGCGGCAAGTTCTAAAAAACAAAAAAAAAAGCAGATTGATCAGGAGGCAGAAGAGACAGCATCATTGTCAGTGACTGGGCTCAATGGTGGGTATCGAGGAGACATACCTCTCTTCCTGACCGGAGTATGCAGGAGGTCTGTCTACCATGCCCATGTGGCTTTGTGTTGTCTTGAGTCCAAAGATGGGGATGCATCAAGTGATCTATGGTACCTCGATTGGGAGCGAGCACTGCTGAACTACCAGCCAGGAAGATAGACATGGTTGCATTCAGGTAACCTGCAACCTACCACACCAGGGTGAACAACGGTCAGGAGAGGTGAACTTGTAGACAATATGGACAGACTGGTCCTTAGGCAGTTATGAACTGTTATGTATTGGAAGACAAGGAGATACCATGAGTGAGTTTCTCTGGTGAACATGGATTTCCAGACGGGGAGGTAGACGAGATTAAGTGGACACACTTCCTTAGTGGACAATAATAGAGGACAGCAAAAGCAATTAGTTATATCATCGTCTTTACGGTCTTAATACGGTCACACTACGAACAAAATTTTCATACATATAGCAAATGCCACAAAAGTCCATTCCGCTAACCTAACCTATCTATTCTTTCAAGTCAATCAAGGCACTTGACACGTTTTCGTGTTTCGTGATTGCTTATCATCCCTCCCCTCAACTGAATTAATATATACTTCCCCATGCTTGCTTGACTCGACCAAGGAATTCAAACCAATAAAAGAGATGTTGACTGATGATGATGATGATGATGATGATGATGATGATGATGATAATGACATTAACAATATGAATGCTGTTTCTTCTCAACAAAGCTTTTTTTAATCTTCGAAACCCACACATAGAAAAACGGCAGGGACGACGTGTAATGACTAAACCAAAACAACAACAACAACAACAACAACAACAGAAGAAACCAAAGAGAGACTAAAAAAAGGGCGACTGGTACTTCAAAACACAACACAGAAATCTCTCCAAGTAAAGCCGCTACCAACATCAACCCCTTACTAGTACTACTAATACTAATACCCAACATATTCTTGCGTGTGGCCATCCAACAGTTAGGCGATAAACCAAAAAAAAAAAAAACACCACCTCGACGAACGACCTTCTCCCCCCCCCCTTTTTTTTTTTCCCTTCTCTCTCTCACTTTTGTAATTATCCATCCGGGGGAAAATTACATATTCGCCAACTCATTATCAATCCACCGATCCATAAAAGCCTTCCTCTCCCCGACTAGTTCCGTCTGCAACCTCTGCTCGACTAACGCCCTCACCTGCTTCTTCGTCACACTATCTAGATCGACCTCCCTCAGCACGGCTTGAATCGCCTCGATAATTGCCGCATCATCCGGCCCATTATTGCCAATACCAGCGCCAAATGACCCTGTCGACATGTCGTTGTGCAGACCCAGACGCGAGGGGGCTGCGCTGAAGGTTGACATGCGGTTGTTTGTGTTAGAGCTAGGGATGCCGAGCGTGGTGGGGGGCGTGCCGCTCATGGAGCGGAGATGATCACCCTGGAAAGGGGTGTGGGTGCGGGCCAGGCCACCACCCATGGACATCATTGATTGACGGTTCGCGAGCGCTGGATTATCCGTGTACGGGGTGCTTGCGCCGAGGAAGGTGCTCGTGCGACCAGCCGCGCCAGCCGGAGCGAAGGGGGATGTCGGGGTAGGCGGGATGTACGCGTTCACGCCGCGGCCGTTACCAGGCATGTTGAGGACGGAGGGCTGGCGCACAGACGAGTAGACGGATTTCATATCATCCATCTCATACTCGGCATCATACATTCCCATTCCCCTACCGGGCATGCCCATGCCGGCGTCAGCAATATACTTCTCCGAGGGGCCACCGCCGCGGCGACCAGGTAGACCGTTCGCAAGGGCATAATCGTCCCAGCGCTGGAGGGGGATGGAGCGGGGGTCGAAGCCCTCGTCGTCGACGGCAACGACCTGCTTCTTGCCCTTCTCGCCAATGACCACGCGCGTGTTACCCCAGGCAAAATCGTCCTGGTTCCAGAAGGAGTAGATGGGCAGGATGAAGGAGTAGACGGGGAAGGCGATGATGTAGATGATCATCCAGCCGATGTGCTGCCACTGGCGCTTGAGGATGAAGATGAGGGCCTGCAGGCCATAGACGGCCGCCAGCATGATGATGGAGATGAGCGGGAAGGGGCCGGTGCGCGTGATGACAGTGTAGAGCAGCCAGCCGAGGTAGACGCAGGTAGCCGGGAGAATGATGGTACCGAAGAGGTCGATGAAGACGACGAAGCGCATCGAGAAGCAGCAGAAGCCGCACATCTCTGGGAGGAACATAAGCTCGACCAGGTTGTGGATGGTGGAGTTGATCCAGCGACGGCGCTGCGACAGCAAGACGCTCCATTTCTCGGGCGCGGCAGTCTGGCAGTAGGCGTCCGGCAGGAACTTGTACGACATGTACGGGAAGTACTTGGTCATTAGCGTGGTGAGGTAACGGTCCTCACCCAGCGAGAGCAGGTTCTTCTTGTGCAGGGTGTCCACGTTGCAGTCGCTATAATCGCGGATGACGTCGTCCGAGATGATCAAGGGCTTCCCGCGGTCCGCTGTCCGCAGGCGATACATGCAAAAGCTGGACGCGGCATTGGGTTAGCATCAACTATCTGCTTCTAACGGGAAGAGGATTAAGAAGGGACGATCCTACCATCCAGGCAAGCAAGTAACGCTGCCAAACAACGACTCGAAGGCCTTGGCAAGATGATGCGAAATGTAATACTCATAAACCTGTATCATGGTCCACCACGAGCGCTCCTCGTTCTGCAGGCTGGTCTCACCACAGATGCCTGCAATCTTCGCATCGTTGGCACAAGCAGCTACCAGCCTGTTCAGAGAATCCTCCCTCACACAAGTATCGGCGTCAACCATCAGCAGGTACTCGTATAGCTCGGGATCCACGCCAATAACGTTGTTGATCTGATGGAACATCTCGAGCTCCAGCGGGTTCATGGGCGCGCGGTGGTGCACACGGTTGAGGAAGCTGAGCAACAGGATCTGCGAATCACGCTTGCCGCGGTTGCCGGGCTTGGGCTTCTCGCGCTCCGAGGGCTTGCCGACCTTGACGATGACCAGATAGGGGACAACATTGCCCTCGTACTCGTACAGACCCGAGTATACCTTGCCGTAGTTGAGTTGCTCGCTGCCGGTACCGACCGACTTGAAGGGCAGCGCGGGCGGATCCACCTTAGGATCAACACCGAGGATATCCAACACGATCTTAGGAGTCGGACGGTCGTTGCCGGCACCCGTGATGATACCGTCGCAGATGATGCAGATCAGCTTGCGCTTGTTATCATACTGGAGAGCCGTAAGAGAATCGATGGCCTTGCGCAGCGAGTCTTCACCCTCGGTGTAGGCGGGCACCTGGCAGATGACGAACTTGTCCTGCGGCGAGGGGCGACGCTTGGAGCCGAACTGCAGAGCCGACACGAACTTGATGAGGATCACCGCACAAATAATGATAGTGAACGCCAGCATGATCCAGCGGCTAACCTGACACCTGGGCGTCTCGCGGAAGTCGGTGATGCCCACATAGAAGCGGTTGTTGAGGCAGTTCATGGTGTTGCGCAGGCTAGCATTCTCCGTGACGTTGCCCGCCCACCGCTCCAGCAACGAGTTGATCTGCTCGGTCAGGTCCGCGCCGGGGTTGTTGCGTACGAGGTTGACGATGCGGGCGTTGAGGAAGGTGTACCGCGCGTTGTTGTTCATGTCCTTCAGCGTCTTCATGTAGTCGGTAAGGTCAAAGACCTTGTTCTCGTAGATGAACCAGTAGTGGTTGTACTCGCCGTCGGCCTCGATGTCCTTGGGATTCCAGACCAGGTCGCCGGTGTAGTACTCCTTCATGCGCGGCAGGAACTTCTTCGCGTACCAATCCTCGTTCCTCAGAGCAGACGTGGGATCGGCAGCATAGTGGCCCGACGTATGGTCGGCATACGTGTACTCCGGCGTGTTGTTGAACAGCAGCTTGACGGTCTTGTCGATACCCAGGCCGGGGCACGCGAAGCTAAGCGGCACGACGAAGTAGTCCGACAGATCCATACCGGCCAGCGGCAGCATGTACTCACGCGTGGCCTCGCGTCCCGTAGTGCCGTGCTCAAGCTTCCAGAACTTGGAAATATCGTATACCTTGCCGTGGATGCTGACCCAGAAGTCGTCCTCGCCCATGTGACGCGAGACCTCGCCTCTTGAGTAGGCCTTGTCGTAGTTGGGACACAGGAGCCGACCGAAGAAGATGATCCAGAAGACGACGATGGCGTTCATGAGCAGGATGAAGAAGCACAGGACGACCTTCTCACGCCAGGCCATGCGCACGTCAGGCCTCTTCATGCGACCAACGTACCGCAGCAGCGGCGAGGGAATCCACCAAGTGAGCAGCCAAACCAGCGTAACCCAGGCCCTTCTGCCCGCGCTGACGGGATGCTCCTCGATCTTCTTGCCAGCCGTCAGGTCCGGATCACCACCATTAAAGTGCCCGGCCGTCTCATAAAACACGTCACCTTTGTGCTGGTCACCCTTGCTACCGAGACCATAGTCACCCGTGCTGAGATGCTGGTGAGTGCCCGGAGCGACTGTCGAAGGGCTCGGCATGGGCTGAGCAACACCAAGCGTCGCCTGGCTGTAGTTCCGCTGATGCATGAGCTGCTCACGGCTGCCATTCGACGAGATATCCTGGAACGGCTGCTGCGGCGGGAAGAAGCCGCTGCCATTATTGGCCGGGAAGCTCGGGGCAGTCAGACCCGTCGGGGCCATAACGCTGCCGGGCATGCTGCTAAGACGCTCGATCTCGCTGGGCTTGAGGTCAAGCATGCTCTCAGCCTCCCACCAGGCATTCTCCCTCATCCAGACACGCTCGTTACCGACAACCACCTCGCCGTTGGTCCAGCCGCGCTCGAGAATCCAGCTCTCGATGCCGTCGCGGCCGTCCATGCAGCCAAGAACACGGTAGCGGCGGACGAACTCGTCGAAATCGAAGTCGGCGGTGAAGTCGAGGTGCTTGTTGCGGCGGTTGGCCCACTCAGGGAGCCGCCAGGCGCGGAGCTGCCGTGATACGGTCCCGGCAGACCATGCCGAGTTGACCGACGGCAGGGCGGCCAGACTGGCGGGAGACTCATCTGTGGGGTGAATGCACAGATGGTACCACTGCCGGCTGCTGTTCAGAAGCGAGGGGATATCAATTCGTCCAGCACGGCCGAGGGTCATGCCCTCAGCCGGGTTGGGGATGAGCAGCGACTTGAGGAAACCGTCCTCCTCGGCAGCCAGGGCGATTTTCTCCAAGACTTCCTCGCGCTTGTCCAGGAAGTGCTGCCTCTCCCTAGCAAGGCTGCCAACCGTGATACCCAGATCGGGCCCGCACTCGGCGACCGCGTTTTGCATCTCGCGCAGGACCGAGCTGTTGACGGCGGCAATCTCGATGCCGTCCTGCTTCATCTCTGCGTTGATGCCCTGGGTATCGTCAAAGATGCCGCGCATGGCAACCGCCTTACCGAGATTCGGGTCTGGGATCTCGAGGACATGGAGACAAACAGTATCCCCGTTGTCGCTCCCTGCCCTCTCGGCCTCCAGCTGGGCGGCGATGGCCTCGTTAGCCTTCTTGATCACCCAGTCCACCACTGCCTCGTATAGACCGCCGAGCAAGATGCCACGGTCATCGGTGGTCAGCTGCTTGGTCAGAACATCAGGTTCCAAGCCCAGCAAGCCACCAACATCCTCGCAGATCTCCTCCAGCGCGTCGCTATCGATCGTATAGTCGATTGTGTTACCGAGCTTCAACAGACCGGCAAGCGTGGAGATGAAGTTGCGGTGGGCCGAGCCCTTGATGCCAATCTCCTTCAGGGCGGACCGGAAGTCGTCGGCCGCGGCGCCGTCGTCAGCAGTCGGGAGGTAAGTCGGGGGGCTGTAGGTGCCAGATCGGGCCAGGAGATTGTAGCTGCCGGCGTCCTTCAGACCAAGAAACTCGCGCTCGGCGGGGGTCGAGGCAGACGTGAGCAGGTAGTAAAAGGCATCGAAGGCGCGGTAGCCAGACTCGGACGGGACGCGTAGCAGACCCTTCTCCGTGTCGATGCCGCCTTGTGATAGGGCAATGGACGCCCCGACGACATTACCGGCGAGGTTGAGTGTCAATGTGACCCCGAGGGCCGTTTGCCTGGGCAGCGAGGGGTTGTACGGGGTGACGCAGCGAAGGAAGGGCTCGAGGGCATGGAGGGCCTGTAGCAACATGCTCGGCATCGGGACGGGGAAGGTCTGAAGGAAGGGCCGTAGCAATGATGGCGTCGAAGTATGAAGCGAGCTGTAAACATGTGAGCACTGGGCCACGCAAACATACAAGCCCCGAATCGTAGATGCAAAAGACCTACCCAAGGATAATGCAGCCATCTTCAGCACGACGACGGGCATGTTCCCATGCCCTCGCGGCTAGCTCGGGGTCGACGGTACCTCCCACCCGGCCGTCAGGGCCGGGCTGGGAGGCCGTGAGCCATGTGTTGACGACGAGACTTGTCCCGGCATCAAGCTTGTATGGCTGTGAAGAGAGGTAGATGTTATGAACGGCGTTGAGCAGCGTGGTCGCGGTGACTTGGGCACCCTGTGGTCCTCTCGAGCCGCCCATGCCTGGCTCGGAGGCCATGGAGTAGATGGACATGCGGTTGTTGGCCATGGTTTGTCGGCGGAGTGTCGCGGCGTCCCGGGAGGGACACAGCTGAGAGATCGTTCGTGAGCTAACCCCCTAGCCAAAGACAAACAGGGTTTATATCCTATTCCTCTCTCTCTCCTTCTAGGTCCGGGAACGCGCTCCGCAGGCGCGTGGGATCGTTTAGATGGGGATAAGTCTATGGCGTACGTGAAACGCAGCGTCGACCGTCAGGTGCCGTGTGGGTGGTGATGCGGCACACACGGTCGTCCTATCCGTGGGCTGGGTCGGTGACGGTGGGATGGGAGTCCGTCCGATAGCACGGGGCCGGTCTGTTCCTGTCCAACCTGCAAGCTGGGACAGCAAGAAGCAAAGGGTGACGGCAGGAAAGAAGCCTTGGTTCGGCGGATGAACAGCAGTCGGTGTTCGAGACCAGGGTCCAGGGGTCCAACCTTCAACCGGGAGCCGTCTGCGTTCGGTGTGTGGAAACGGGAAGCAGAAATGGAAGCGGGATATGGGGAATGGGAAGCAAGCAGCGACCGAAGCAAGACGCCGACTAGAGCGAGTGAGGCGGCAGTCTTGAAAACTAGGGGTAGGTAGACTGGAACCTGAAAGTGGTGAGAGCGAGGGAGATAGAAGGCTGAATGAGCCGAGCGGAAGAAAAGAGAAAGGTAGAGAGAAGTCCAAAAGAAAAAAAAAAAACACAATCAGTCAGGCCAAGTCAAGCTCAACACAGCAGCGCACTTGATTCGAACCGAGCCGTGACAACCAAATGTCGAACGGCGGCGAGCTGGTGTTGTCGATAACGGACGACGGACGGTGGACGACGACGGCAGCGAAGACGCTTCAAGCGAGTGTTGCAGCCTTGCAATGCCGCCAATTCTTACTGCTGACTGACTACCGGTAGCCCAGCACTCAGGAAGTCCTGGACACTGGACTGGCTTCTCTCTGCTCCAGTACCAAAAAACAGCGAGCGGGCTTGTGATGGGGAACGTGTGGTGCAGGCTTCCTTGCGCCCAGGAGAAGATCATCTTCCGGTCTCCCAGGACGATAGCAGCGGCGTCTGGGATTCTGGCCCACCACTGGCCCAGCTGGTAGAATGGGGCTACGGTGGACCGGATTACAGCTACTGCACGTGCACTTTCGCGCTACCGGGGAGTTTGGCTGGGAGTGGTGGGCTGGGCAGGCTGGCGCCATTCCCGGGCAGGCGCGCCGGGGCATGGACCAAGGATGATGTGCCGTGAAGATTCTGGGTCCTTTGACGGGTGTGAAGCCCAATCGGGTTACGGGCGGCCCCCAGCTGCGTACCTGCTGAAAGCTTGGATCAGCACCGCAGGGGTCCAAGCAGGGTTTTGTTGTGTTTTTATTTTTTCTTTTTTTGGCTACCTAATAATTGCATATGTAGCATGAACCTCGCCCTTGGAAAGTTTTCCTGTAATTGCAAGCAAAAATTCAAGCGCATCTTTTTGCTACTTTGTGTGGCCCTTCTGTTAGAGCATTCCATCTCAACAATTTGAGGACAACCAAGCCAACTAGCGAACACAGACCAGACGTCCACAGGATTCTCCGCCGCGGACAGCCTGTGGCGTGGCTGGCGGTTGAGGATAACAAAATGTGGCACAACGGTATATGTCACGGCAGCGCTGGGGTTGCAGGTTGGCAGGTCCAGTCAAAATTGCCATCCGGATGCTGCCGGATGACCTAATACGAGGCCAAGTTTTTCGCAGAGAGCAGCACATGAGATGCATTGTGGCGACCGGCCGACGGGTCACGGTGTTTGGAAGACGACCAACCTCCACACAGATCGCAACCGGAGAGCTTTTGCCTGCAGCGAATGACATCAGCCCGCCTACGATGCCGTTTGCAACGCTTGCTTCGGCCTCGTGCAACGCGGACAGAGACACTGACGACGCCCGTTGAGCAACTGCATCGTGACAGGGCCCCGACTTCCAGCCAGCCAGCCAGCTGAGGAGGTGTGCAGTAGGGCTGTTTGGCTAGTGCGATACACACCAGTCTATCGGGGCTGCGGCTGCGCTACGGGCACACCGTGGCATCAACGGGGGCTTTATTTTTTTTTTTTATTTTTTTTTTTAGCACCATGGGATTTTCACTGCCAATTTCCCAGCGTCCAGGCGCTGAAATGATATCTGGGTCTCTGGGGTTCTTAGTTATCCACGAAGGAGCCAGGCAATTTTGCATGACAGCGAGGGGCTGCGATGGCAATGCATCATCTGCGCGGCATGAAAGTGTCTCGGAAGTTTTTGGCCTGCATTCCAGTGATCCGGACGAGGGCAGACTCGTCGTCATCGAGTTGTTCCTCGGTCGAATGTTGGTTCGAATGAACACAGTAGACACAGTATCAGGGGGGCCGTTTGGCGTTGCACTGTCAGCAGATTCTCAGATGCAAGACGAGACAGACCAGATCAGATGCCCGTTCGTCCAGTCAGAATCGTCCAAGGTCCTCATCTAACGTCTGGAATGTGTGCGAAGTTGACTTCATATGCAGCTACTGCCATTCGCTGCTGCGACGGGTCTTTGCTTGTATGTGACCCACGACCTGGAACCGCGATCCACCCACTGCCTTGGCTGACCCATGGCTACGAGTTTTGGGACCCGCGCGCTCCCATGCTGTTGGGTGTGCGGCCAATGACACTTCGTATCCAGAACATGCGCAGGGTAAATTCCGTGCCGCCGTAGCATGGGGCTACGGGAGCACTGCAACCCTCTCTTTCCCTCGGGAAGAAAAAAAAAAAAACATCATCGACCCCCTTTTCTTTGGCAGGGTGAGCCCACCATTCAGCTGAGCCAGCCTTGAGGCCGTGAGCCAGCCCCAAAAACCTCCAAACCGCCAACCTGGAAGAAAGGGGCACCAGGTCAGCGAGAAGACAGAAGCTGGAGCGTAGTTGTACGTGGACATCCTAGCAGCACGAAAAAAACTCTTTGCAAGCGCTCGTTGTTAGAACGTTGATGGCTAGTCAGACCTGCATCGCATTATCCAGGGTAATATTTACTTAAGGCGGCGTATTCCCTAACCAGAAGAGCCTGGATACCTTGGCCCTGGGGAGGGGGGAAGCAGCCAGGCACACTCACCTGCGCAACCCACATTCTCGCATTCTGTGAGCAGCGAGTGCTTCCACTCGTTGTTGTCCCATTCGCTGTCAGTTGGACCAGGGCCACCACGACGGACAGGACCCATCGGCAAGGCACGACATAACGGAGTAGCCGTAGCCCTCCCGCGCCCGTATCATTCAGCGTTCAAGCAAGGTTTCGCTGCCCGCTGTCTGTGCATCTTCGACTTGCCGTCGTCGTCGACCGTGGACCCGGACTCTCGCCGACCACGACGCCGCCTACACTCTAGTCTACACCATTACTACTACTACACCACTCGCTTCTCGCTGTAGCATCATACTCGGCGACGAGCTTCATCTCTACCCCTTTTAGTGTTTTTTTTTTTTTTGGGAGGCTTACCACGCTCGTTAAGGCGCCCGACCACGCCTTTTTACATTGCTAATCGTTATTTGTTACAACCGCTGACGCCGGCATCATTGGCAATCATTCGTTTCCCTTCCCCCTCTCCCTTTCCCCCCCCCCCTTTCCGCATTCTCAAGCCGGCTGCTTGCATGACTAGGTATTCTTAATATCGGCATCGTCAGTTAGGCTCAGCGGTCTCGTCGAGACGAGCATCAACACATTTTTGATACCATCACCATGACGCTCACGATCCCGCCTCTGAGCGGGACTGGCGGCGGTGCTCACATGCAGCCGTCTCTGCCCTCGCTGCCCGCCCATCTTCAGTCCGACACCCAGATCACCGCCCACCTCGCCAGCCGCTTCCATGTTTCGATCCCGTGTTCCCGTCTGTCCTCCCATGCCCTCGTGTGCATCAACACGTACACGGCATCCACCAAGGGCGATGGCTCCCGCGACTCGTGTGCTATGAACGCTGCCGATGACCTGGCAGAGCGCGCCCTCCTGAGACTGGGGCACCGCTCCGAGAACCAGGCCATCCTCTTTCTGTAGGCCTGCCTGGACATAGAGTGTGTGTGGTATGGCATCGGACTGCTTGGCTAACCTTTTTCCCCCAGGGGCGAGTCTGGGTCTGGCAAGACCACTGTTCGCTCACACCTCCTGACCTCCATCCTGAACCGCTCCTCGACCCCCCTCTCTCAAAAGGTCTCGCTGGCCGCTTACGTCTTCGACACGCTGACGACCACAAAAACCGCCACGACCCCGACGGCCTCCAAGGCCGGTCTTTTCTACGAGCTCCAGTATGACACAAGCGCGAGCTCGAGCCCCGTCCTCATCGGTGCCAAGCTGCTGGATCATCGGTTGGAGAGGAGCAGAATAACAAACGTCCCGACGGGCGAGCGCAACTTCCACATCCTCTACTACCTCCTGGCCGGCACCAGCCCGGCCGAGAAGAGCCATCTCGGCTTCGACGGCCCCGCGAACAAGCGATGGAAGTATCTCGGCCACCCCACACAGCTCAAGGTCGGCATCAACGATGCCGAGGGCTTCCAGCTGTTCAAGACGGCCCTGCGCAAGCTTGAGTTCCCGCGCAGCGAGATCGCCGAGATCTGCCAGATCCTGGCAGCCATCATGCATCTGGGCCAGCTCGAGTTCGAGACCTCAGCCAACACGACCGTCCAGGGAGACGAGAGCGGTGGCTTCTCGCACGAGGGCGCCCAGACCACGACGGTGGTTAAGAACAAGGATGTCTTGGGCATCATTGCCGCCTTCCTCGGCGTCAGCTCCTCGGAGCTCCAGACGACGCTGGGCTACAAGACCAAGATGATCCACAAGGAAAGGGTCACCGTGTTGCTGGACCCGGCCGGCGCCCGCGAGAACGCGAACGAGCTGGCGAGAACGCTCTACTCGCTGCTTGTGGCTTATGTTATCGAGGCCATCAACCAGAAGCTGTGCGCTGCGGAGGACGCCATTTCCAACACCCTCTCCATCATCGACTTCCCCGGTTTCCAGCAGCAGTCGTCAACCGGCTCGGCCCTCGACCAGCTCCTGACGAACTCCGCCTGCGAGTTCCTCTATCACCTCACGCTGCAGCACTTCTTCGACCGCAAGGCAGACCTGCTCGAGACCGAGGAGGTTAGCGTGCCGGCGACGAGCTACTTCGACAACTCGGATGCCGTCAAGGGCCTGCTCAAGCCCGGCAACGGTCTCCTGAGCATCCTGGACGACCAGACCCGCCGCCACCGCACCGACATGCAGCTCCTCGAGTCGCTCCGGAAGCGCTTCGAGGGCAAGAACCCGGCCATCTCGGTCGGCGCGGCCCAGGCCAAGCTCCCCGGCAGCAACTTCTACACCGAGAACACCGCCGCCACCTTCACCGTCAAGCACTTCGCTGGTGAGGTCGACTACCCCGTCAAGGGTCTCGTCGAGGAGAACGGCGAGGTCATCTCGGGCGACCTCCTCAACCTGATCAACTCGACCAAGAGCGATTTCGTCGCCCGTCTCTTTGGCCAGGAGGTCCTGCAGACGGTCGTGCACCCGCGCGAGCGGTCTACTGTCATGCAGGCCTACGTCAGCTCCAAGCCGATGCGCGCTCCGAGCATCATGTCGAAGCGCGGGCGGCCCGCGACCGCGCTCGCGGCTCGTCGCAGGCAGGAGGCGGAGCGCGATGATGCCTCGGCTGACCACAGCGACGTGGGTGGTGATGCTGGCGGCAGCAGCAAGCGCGCTGGGGGCAGCTCTCGTAACTCGGAGCAGGGCGCGTCGGGACAGTTTTTGGCTGCGCTGGAGAATGTCAAGCAGTCGTTTACCGCGCAGGGCACGAATTGCTACTTTGTGTTCTGTCTCAAGCCGAACGATCGGCGCATCGCGAACCAGTTTGATAGCAAGTGTGTGCGTGCGCAGGTCCAGAGTTTCGGCATTGCTGAGATCAGCCAGCGCTTGAGGTCGACCGATTTCAGCTTGTTCCTGCCGTTCGGCGAGTTCCTCGGCCTGTGTGAGGCTGATTCGGTGATCGTGGGGAGCGAGAGAGAAAAGGTCGAGGCGGTTGTCGAGGAGAAGCGCTGGCCCAGCAACGAGGTGGCCATTGGTTCGACCGGCGTCTTCCTCAGCGAGCGTCTTTGGATGGAGATTGCCCAGCTGGGAGAGAGCTACTCGCAGTCTGGCCGTTATGGTCCCTCGGAGACCGGCGACGGCGGGACCTCGCCAGCTGATCCTTTCATAACGTCTAAGGAGCGCCTGGCGCTGTCCGGTAGTGCCTTGGGCGAGAAGAAGGCTGCTCTCTTCGGCAGCAATGATATCGACGCCCGCTCCGATGCCGGTGCCTCGGCTTTTGGCGGCGGTGACATGTTTAAGAACCTTGATACCCGCGAGCAGATGGCTGAGCGCAGTAATGAGAAGGAGATGGTCGAGGTCGAGGAGTACAAGGACAGTCCGAGCCGCAAGCGCTGGGTGTTCGTCGTGTACCTGCTCACCTGGTTCATCCCCGACTTCTTGATCCGGGTCCTGGGCCGCATGCCGCGCAAGGACGTCCGCATGGCCTGGCGCGAGAAGCTGGCCATCAACATGATCATCTGGTTCAGCTGTTTGGTCGCCGCCTTCTTCATCGTCGTCTTCCCCATGCTCATCTGCCCCCGCCAGTACGTGTACAGCCCCGAGGAGCTGTCCAAGTACGACGGCAAGGACGGGCGCCCGGCTTGGGCTGCCATCCGCGGCCAGATCTTCGATATCGGCAAATTCGCGCCGCGCCACTACCCCATCTATCTGCCGACCAAGATGCTTACGCAGTACGCCGGTATGGACATCACGGGTCTCTTCCCCGTGCAGGTGTCGGCGCTGTGCCAGGGCAAGGACGGCTCGATCGACCCGGCCGTGCAGCTCAGCTACAAGGACACCAACGTCACGGGCACCGCCAACGTGCTCAGCAGCCAGGACATGAACTCCAAGTACCACGACTTCCGCTGGTTTACCAACGACAGCCGCCCGGACTGGTTCTCGCAGCGCATGAAGATGCTTCGCGCCAACTACAAGGTCGGCAACGTCGGCTACTCGGCGCAGTACGTGCGCACGCTCAGCAAGAAGCATTCCCAGGTTGTCGCTATCCTCAACGGCCGCGTCTACGACATGACCATGTACATCACGGGAGGTCGGCGTCAGCAAAACCCGCCGGGCATGCCGCCGCCGTCGGATCCTAATGCGATCGACTTCATGGAGGAGCTGGTCGTCCAGCTGTTCCAGCAGATGTCGGGAGAGGATATCACGGAGCGCTGGGAGACGCTGCCGCTGAGCGCCGAGCGCAAGGCCCGCATGCAGCTGTGCCTGGATAACCTGTTCTACGTGGCCGACGTCGACACGCGTGCCTCCGCCAAGTGCAAGTTCTCCGAGTACCTCGTCCTCGCCGTCTCGTGCTTGCTTGCCAGCGTCATCGCCTTCAAGTTCTTCGCGGCGCTGCAGTTTGGCGGCAAGAACATGCCGGAGAACCTGGACAAGTTCATCATGTGTCAGATCCCGGCGTACACCGAAGACGAAGAGTCGCTGCGCCGTGCCATCGATTCGGCGGCTCGCATGAAGTACGATGATAAGCGCAAGCTTCTGGTCATCATCTGCGACGGTATGATTATCGGTCAGGGCAATGATCGCCCCACGCCGCGCATCGTGCTCGACATTCTGGGCGTCTCGGAGTCGGTTGACCCGGAGCCCCTGAGCTTCGAGTCGCTCGGTGAGGGCCAGAAGCAGCACAACATGGGCAAGGTGTACTCGGGTCTGTACGAGGTGCAGGGCCACATCGTGCCGTTCCTGGTCGTCGTCAAGGTCGGCAAGCCGTCCGAGGTCTCGCGTCCCGGCAACCGTGGCAAGCGTGACTCGCAGATGATCCTGATGCGCTTCCTCAACCGCGTGCACTACAACCTGCCCATGAGCCCGCTCGAGCTGGAGATGTACCACCAGATCCGCAACATCATCGGCGTCAACCCGACCTTCTACGAATACCTGTTGCAGATCGATGCCGACACCGTCGTCGCCCCCGACTCGGCCACGCGCATGGTCTCGGCGTTCGTCGAGGATACGCGTGTGATTGCCGTGTGCGGTGAGACTGCGCTGACCAACGCCAAGTCGTCCTTCGTCACCATGATCCAGGTCTACGAGTACTACATCTCGCACAACCTGTCCAAGGCGTTCGAGTCGCTCTTCGGTTCCGTCACCTGCTTGCCGGGTTGCTTCTCCATGTACCGCATCCGCGCCGCCGACACGGGCAAGCCGCTGTTCGTCAGCAAGGAGGTCGTCGAGGCGTACGCCACGATTCGCGTCGATACCCTGCACATGAAGAACCTCCTGCACCTCGGTGAAGACCGCTTCCTGACCACCCTGCTGCTCAAGTACCACTCGCGTTACAAGACCAAGTATATCTTCACGGCGCACGCCTGGACCATCGCGCCCGACTCGTGGAAGGTGTTCCTCTCGCAGCGTCGCCGCTGGATCAACTCGACCGTGCACAACCTCATCGAGCTCATCCCCATGAACCAGCTCTGCGGCTTCTGCTGCTTCAGCATGCGCTTCGTCGTCTTCATCGACCTGCTCTCCACCGTTGTCCAGCCCGTCACCATCGCCTACATCGTGTATCTGATCGTCATGGTGGCCCGCAACGCCACCGTCGTGCCCATTACCGCGTTTGTCCTGCTCGGTGCCATCTACGGTTTGCAGGCTATCATCTTCATCATGCGCCGCAAGTGGGAAATGGTCGGCTGGATGATCCTCTACGTCATTGCCTTGCCCGTCTTCTCCTTCGCTCTACCCCTGTATGCCTTCTGGCACATGGACGACTTCAACTGGGGCAACACCCGTGTCGTGGCCGGCGAGAACGGAAAGAAGATTGTTATTTCTGACGAAGGTAAATTCGACCCGTCCTCCATCCCGCGCAAGAAGTGGGAGGACTACCAGGCCGAGCTGTGGGAGGCGCAGACCGCCCGCGAGGATACCCGCTCGGAAGTGTCCGGTTATTCGTATGCTACTCGTCCGAACGTGGCCATGTCGGAATATGGAGGGTATACGCCCAGCCGGCCGGGGTCGATCGCAGGGGGTATTGAGGGTAACTACCCGCCTATGCCGACCGCCCCGAGCCGGATGTCACTGGCGGCCAGCGAGATGCTCATGCCGGGGAATAGGGCTAGTCAGTTTGGCGGGTCGCAGTTCCTTGGTCCTCACACGAGTACTACGGGCACGGGACACAGTCAGGACGTAGAGATGTCGAACTTGGCGGGAATGCCGAGCGACGATGCGTTGTTGGCCGAGATCAGGGAGATTCTACGCACTGCGGACCTGATGACTGTTACGAAGAAGGGAGTCAAGCAGGAGCTGGAACGCAGGTTTGGCGTGCCGCTTGATTCGAGACGGCAATATATTAATAGCGGTAAGTCCCCCTCCTCTTCTTTTTTTTTTTTTTTTAAGAAAAAAAAAGGTGAAGTTTGGTTTAAGGATGCGTGGCTGACGTGTAATCAATAGCGACGGAAGCGATTTTGTCGGGACAGTTGTGAATAATTGAGTGAGCGAACGAGCATCTTGAGCGCATGCATTTTTGGAGGAAGTGAGGACTGGTTGAGTAGTTCATCTTTTTGGACTTGACACAACTTTTCAACTTTTTTTTGAGTATCGGTTTTCGATATAATATTTTTTTGTTTTGTTGGGAGGGATCAGAAAACGGAGCAAGCAAGCAAGAGGGGAGGGCAAGAGAGAGAGAGAGAGAGAGAGAGAGAGAGAGAGAGCAGACAGCGTGAGAAGCGGTGGAGAAGCAGAAGAAGGGAGTAATAATGTAGTCGATGTTGTTGTTAAGGAGAGCGTGATGGAAAAAAAAATGGGAATTTTACTGTTACTGTCTTGGTTGTTGGTTGGTTCTGTCGTTGTGTTATTGCTGTTGCTTCAACATCACTCTTTCTGTTTTCTGCTTTTTTCCATAGTCGTTTTGGTGATGAATGATATTGGCACATTCATTGGTTGGAAGCTGGCAAAATAAAAATTACGGAAGACATTCTTGTCTAGTTTCTTTATTTTTTTTTCTTTTGAGGAGGAGGGGAGAGGAAGATTGCCATCGTCATCAGCAGCATTTCTTAGTTGTCATCATTTACATGCACATAGCTATGTAGTCAGTCGTCTCTGTCTCTGAGTTGTGTTTTCTTGTTTCTCTCTCTATTAAAGGGATACGCTAATGAAGCGGACGGCTCTAAGTCGATAATACATTGTTATGTAGGGGAGTTGAGTAGTAATAGAGAGTATTGAACCCAAGAAACTGCCATTTGAGTGTGCAATGTGTTTATCGACTCGGACCTTTATTCCCCTTCCCTCTCCCCCGTGAACTCTCACTGTTAGGCAAGGAAACTTGTCTGCTACGGAATGGTTTCCTGCCAGAGATGATACGTTAGAGGACAGGACCGTATGCCTGAGAGGCCTCCTCCCTCGTCGTCGTCATCATCCACAGATGATGTTCAATGCTACCTATCTTGCTTGGCAGATACATCCCGCAAAACAAATCAGAAACCGACGGTTGGAGGTGTGCTGGTATGTTCAGCAGGCAGGGCAGCTCGATTCCTCATCGTCGAAGCTAAAGCATCCGGCGGTTGTGTATAACAGGCAGGACCAGAAACAAGCTGTGAGGAAACCAGGTATACATGGAGGCAAAGTAACATATGATTGATGCTATAATGGCAGAGACATGCAGTAAAGTTGTCCATCAAGGGTATGGAAAGGTTGCTCTTCTCGACTCTCATGACGTGGGGCCCCGCATAGGCGGTATTTGGCAGGGAAAAGGGGGATGAGTGGGGTCTTTAGGTTCAAGCCGTCAAGATGCTTGCTTATCAGCGAATTGTCACGTTGAAATCCGTAGTCTCCCCAAGTATGTAAGTAAGCATTTTGCTTGCAACTCCGAGATATTTGGGTGTTGATGGGAAGGCTTCATCCGTACATCGCGTAAGCCGAGTATGTCTGTCGACTCCAGGGCCCTAGAGTCGGTGCACAGATGCATGTGGATATCAATGGTATAGCCACCGAAGCCGCCAATAACCGTTCCGTGCAAAACCACCCCTACGATTCTAAGCCACTTTACCATGTTGGAAAACAAAGAACAAAGATGTAGGGCGTCATGGGGCATGGAATTAGCGCTGAAAACGGTAGTTCGTCGCAAGAGCTAATCCACTTCTCCACGAGCGTACCACAAAGTTATCCGCAAGAACGAACTAAAACTTGCGGCCTGTTTCTCAGGCCGGGCATGATGAGGGGATGGCATGACGTATCCCCAGCCGGAGCGGTTCCCCTCTCCTGGCGGCCCCGTTCCACGTTCCTCGTACGCCGTCCCCTTTATGCCTGCAGTTGAGCGCTGCGTCACATCATAGGTTGCCCCTGGGGCCGCTCGGCCCGCTCTGGCTTAGGGAGGTAACCTGGCCTGCCTGGGTTGGAACCATGAAGGACAGAAGGGGAGGGGGGGAAGTTCAGCTGTCGGTTTTGGTCATCTGAAGAGGCGCTGAGTGGTTGGTCTGCCATGTTTGGCGGGCGGGAGGAGGGGTCTTATAAAGAGGCTCCCGCTGTTGGGGCCCAACCGTTGCCGTTCGTTGTTCTTTACTTATCCACTTGGATCATATCCTCTTCCTCGACAACACCTACTTCAGTTCTTCGTAGCTTTAATCCTTGATCATCATACTCAGAACTCTTCCAAGGAGGCTCATACACAAAGCCGCAAACATGCCTTCCTACATTGTGAGCAACAAAACTGATATCGTCTTGCCCGAATCCCCACGTCTAGCTGATACGTTCAACAGGTGATGTGCAAGGATGACGCCACCCCCGAGCAGGTCGAGGCGTGAGTATTCCCAGCTGCTAGAGTCGATCTCCTACAACAGCTCGAATAGGTTGCCAACATGCTTGTTTGACAACGTCCAGGGCCAAGCAGCACGCGCGCGACCAGGGCGGCAAGATCGGGCACGAGTACACGCTGATCAAGGGCTTCCAGTATGTTTTCCTCCCCTCCTCATCTCCCATTACCGTTCGAGGACCGATGACTAATGCTGGACACTCAACAGAGTAACTTTCCCTGATGACAAGATTGTCACGCTCGAGAACCATGAGCACGTCAAGCATGTTGAAAGGGACCAGGAGGTGAGGACATGCTGAAGGAGAGGAAGGAGAAGATAGATGGCGCTAAGGGTGCGGGGCATCATGATGAGGGGTCACGATGGCGGGGCAGCTTGCGGATGGAGGGACTGGAGTGGGTGAAGGGACTGTGGAGGGCTTGGCATGACCTCCAGTAGAACGCTTGCCTCGTTTGAACGCAGTTCAAGCTATTATATTTGCAGACATCGTCTCGATCATGTCATGGATGTTTTTTTTTCTTAAAAAAAGAGAAAAGCAGAGAATTTCAGTGATCAAGATGTTTAAAAAAAAAAAAAGAAAAGCAGTAGTGAGGAGCTGAGAAAGGCAGTTGTAGTGGCCGCTAACTTCTGGATACAGACTCTGTGCTCAAGGCACAACTTCTGGCCAATCAGGACTCGGTACCCACTGTCTCTTTAGCCGTCTGGGACTTGGTCTCAACGATCACGGCAATCTTGTCTATGATGTAAAGAATGACAAAAACGCATCTTAAAAATAACGAGACAAGCACCTCTCGCCTTTTATTGAATATTCATCATCCAATACTGTCGAAAATGCTGTGTTTTTGCCCAGATCTCCAAAGTTTAAACTCACAGCGTCCACAGCGCCCAAGCTAGGGCCACTACCGCGATAAACCAACCGTGCAGATACCTTCACATGCCAGCGATCGCCCGACGTCACTGAGTCAACATACATCCAGCTCCAACTTCAAACTCCAAACCCGACTCAACACCAACACTGAGACACCTGCAGCCCACTGACCACAACATGTCGACATGAGACTCCCCTTCAAGCTGCCGCGGTTGCCCAAGCTGCGCCCGGCCAATTCCCGGTTGCACAACCTCTCCCAAACCCTGCAGCCCTTCTCTTCATCCTCACGCTTCTCAACCCCCAACCCGCACCGCGACCAAAGCCAGCATAGCTCTCCCTCTCCCTCTCACTCGTCCCAACCACATGCCCGCTACTCCCGTGCCGAAACTGAAGATGTCGTTCCCCACCTCGCAAAAAAGCCCATGCACCCGCTGAGCCTAGCAGATCTTGTCAAACACGGCCGGCCGCCTCTTTCAGCAGAGGCGTTACTCGCTTCTGCGCGCTTCACCCTCTCCCTACTCCCCATCCGCCTGGCCCATCGCATTCAAGCGCTGAGGAACCTCCCCTACATCGTCGTCTCGAACCCGAATATCAGGAGAATATACGACAACTACACGCACTCGCTTTCGACGCTGCTACCCTGGCAAGGGAGGACGATACGGGAATTGGATGATGAGATTCGGTTTACGGAGGTGCTGGCCGAGTTGGTGCAGACGCATACGGATACGATACCAATTCTAGCGAGGGGGTTTCTCGAGTGTAGGAAGTATATTTCTCCCGGGGAAGTCACAAGGTTCTTGGACGAGCATTTAAGAGCGAGGATTGGCACGAGGTTGATTGCCGAGCAGCATATCGCGCTGCATTATAGTAGCGCGCCGCACGCGAAGAGAGTCTCCTCCCCCGACTCATCCGACTCCTCGAGCACAGCCGACGACCCCTCCTCGACGAGCGCTCCCCCCATTACAGGTACCGGAAGCTACATCGGCGTAATCGACACAGCGCTCCGCCCCGCGACAATCATCGACTCCTGTGGGGGCTTCGTAGCTGACATCTGCGAGCTGAACTACGGCGTGCGCCCGCGCTGGCTCATCGACGGCGAGCCTGACACCACCTTCGCCTTCGTGCCCATGCACCTCGAGTATATCGTGACCGAGCTGCTAAAAAACGCCTTCCGCGCGACGGTTGAGAACGGCATGAATCGTGAGCCCGTTGTTATTACCATCGCGCCGGAGCAGGCTGTTGAGCCGGTCGTTGCCCCTTTGCCCGGGTCTGGAGGGGTAGAGGAGAGGGGGAGGGAGAAACAGGGGTATATCACTCCGTTGGATGACAACGCTCCAGGGGTGACGATTAGAATAAGAGACCGTGGAGGCGGGATTGCGCCTGAAGTACTGCCGCATATATGGAGCTACTCATACACGACGTTCAATAACGGGGATGGGGACGACGAGGATTCACTTTATACACCCCTGCCGGGGACATTTAGCGCGACGGGGTATAGTAGTACCAGCGGGGGAGGAGGCGGGGACTCGGCGTTGAGGGTGATAAGTGCGGCGAGCAGCGGGGCAAGTACGATTGCGGGGTTAGGGTATGGACTACCGTTGAGTAGGGCGTATGCGGAGTATTTTGGGGGCGGGATTGCCGTGCAGAGTTTGTACGGATGGGGGACGGATGTGTATTTGAAGTTGAAGGGGGTTGGGAGGATTGATTAGGAGGGGAGAGTTGATGGGAGGGTAATTCTGAAGGGCTTATGACATAGAAGGGAGTTGTGTCTCCGTATGGATTGGAGGTTCTACTTGCCTACATATGGTATGAAGGGATGGGAAACGGATAACCCATGAATGAAAGAAGGTTATACTCTGCTTATGATGCAAATATGTAAGGGTAAATCAAAGAGTTGGGTCTCTTTCGCACAATGAGCTCCTAGACCCTTCGCTCCGGAAAAGTCAAACAACTGTGCACTCACTGTGCATTATCTAGTTTTAATTCAAATTGGTATCCCCTATCCTCTCCATGGAACAATCTCTCCCTGCCATATATATATCTTTTATCAATTACTATGGAAAGCAAGAAGGGGAATAAGAAGGGCTGGCAAAGTAGATGACTGTATAAAAAGTACACTCCAGTTCTTCAAGATGACCTCGAAGTTTAGGTATTGATCATCAATTGATCATCAATAAGTGTACTATGAACACAAGCTATGCATTTGGTGGTATCAACAAGGCCGTATCCCGCTAAGCAATCCAAAAAAAGAACCTCTCCATCCCCTGGTATCTCATCAAGACCAAAACAATCTATATACTATAGGTATCATATTATGATCTCTCCAGAACGCTCAACCGCATTAAACTTAAGGAGATCCATCCGTCTGTCCATCCAATATATGTACCTCACACCTTCCCTCCCTTTCCACCCCCTCCCCCCCCCCCCCGCGGGGGAATTCCCCCCTCCCGATGAGTCCAATCCATAACCCCCTTTAACTGTTCATCCAAGATTCCATCATCATACATCTAAGAAATAGAATAGAAATTATGTACGTATATAGACTCGTATCACCCCACTCGACTCGACTCGACTCGACTCGACTCGACTCGCAATCAAATCAGATATCGGAAGGGGAAAAAATAAACAAATTCTTCATCTCAACAACCCCCCAACATCCATCAACTCCGGCTCCGGCTTTCCCGAACTCCCCGGATAGGCCAAAGTCGGAGTTACCTTGGCAGTAGGCGTCATCTTTTTGCTTTTTGCACTCTCACTTCCTCCTCCTTCACCTCCTCTGTCTGTTGTCCTCCTCGATGATGACGTACTCGGCTTCTTTAAGCTCAACTTTGGCCGTCTTCTCTTCTGTTGTTGTTGTTGTTGTTGTTGTTGTTGTTGTGATGGTGTTTGATAGAAGGGAGAGTGATTATCATTATTTGTGCTGGTGTTGGTATTCGTCGCTGTTATCATGTCTGTTGCAGTTGCTGTGCCTGTTACTGAGGCTGATAGAGCTGCTGTTGTTATGGAGGTGTGTGATTGTTGAGGAGTCAGGAACCGGCCTAGTTCGGTGAGTAGGGCAGCTGAGCCACGCCGTATGCCGGTCGTGCTGGCTGGGATCGTTGGGGTTGGTGGTGCTAATAATGGAGTTGGGGTTGCTGGGGTAGCTGGGGCAGGTGTTGTGGTTGTTGAGGTTCTTGGTCGGGACGAGGGCGTCGGGGTTTGGGGTGTGGGTGAGGGTGAGGTCGGGGAGGGGTCGGTGTCGCTGTTAGGGGAGATTGTGCCGTTTCGTATTGACGGCGGTCGCTGCTGTTGCTGTCTATCGTCGCTCTCTCCACGGGTATCAATCAACAATCCTCCCTCATCCAAGAAGGACACACGCCTCGGATTAGGCGTGACATCTCCCCTCTCCGAAGCAGATGACACACCCACCCCAGCCCCGCCTGGAGGAGGGGGTACATTCTCCTCATCGCTCTGCGCAGCCCCCGAGCACACAACCTGACTATTGCTGCTGCGTCCATCGGGGAAATGCCACTCCTCCAGATGCAGATCCGGCTTCTCACCTGCGTTACCCCCCACAACAGGTGCGCACTTCCTCCGATAGAAAAATAATCCCTCCCCCCTCTCCTCCGAAGGCCTGATCTCCCTCAATTCGGGCGTTACGCCGTACCCCAAATCTCGCGCCAAATCCTCATCACTGCCCCAATGCCTCAGCCCCGCGGGACTGGGCCTTCTCGCCAACCGTGGCGTCATTGCCCCTACAGGGCCAACAATTACTCCTCCGGTTCCGGTGATCGACGCGGCAGCAATCGACGACCGGTTATCCATCGAGTGCGCCGCAATAGAGTCGTACTTCCATCTCCTCTTCTTGACGCCCCTATCCCGTACAAAACTCCCCAACACCAACGCATTTGCCGCGGCTGTCGCAAATAACAGCTCAACGCTAGCGTAGAGAGACCTCGTCTGCTGCCGGCCATTCACCTTCAGGATATGCGGCACGCGATACAGCGTCACCGCTACCGGCGCCAGACTCAACGAGAACAACAGTACAAGCTGAAACTTTCGTTTCGCAGGCAGCATCGACCCTACGATGATCGGGATAGGGAAACTGACGAGCAGCAGGTCGGTGAACACATTCGAGACGGCCATGGTCAAAAGCTGGGCATAACCCTGGCGACAGCGGCTGCCTGGGTCGGGGAGGACCTGCCAGTAGTTGGGGAAGGGGCGGCATTCGGTCAGGTCGGAGATGATGACGGCAACGAAGGTGGCGGCTAGCAGGGCGCGGATGATGTACAGGGTGATTTCGTAACGGCGTTCCCAGTTGGCGTTGATGCGGGCGAGGAATTCGAGAATGGCGGATTTGAGGACCCAGAGGCTAGAAGGGAGTTAGAATCTCCTTTTTCTCGAGGGCCAGTTTGGTGAAAAAAAAAAGAAAAGAAGAAGAAGAAGAAGAAGAAGAAGAAGAACTTACGTTGCAGCATACAACACCCTACTAACCAACACCAACTTGCTTCCAATCTCCCTCCGTCTGATATCCTCTGCCGTCACCTCGACCCCGTTCAAATCCACATTATTCGTCCCGTAAATCAACACGACATGCACACAGCCCATGCGCAAGAACAGCGGCACCAACGCGAGCGCAGCGACCTTGTCCTCACGAAACAAGCGCTCCGTCCGCACAAATCGGCCCGCGATCCGCAGTAGGATCAGCACGGCGCAGAAGATGGTCGTCCACCAGCACACCAGCAGCGTCGGCTTGTCCTCGCTGAACGGGCGGACCGGTGGTGGAGGGGAGTAGAGCGTCATTGTTTAGGGAGCTGAAGATTCGATTCCTCCTCCGGGTCCGACAGAGACTGGTCCAAGATGCTGCTAGTGGTGACCAGTACCGAGGGGTAGGTACCTTATGGTTGTGGAAGGGGTCGCGGCGCTGCTACCGGAGGGGCATTGTCGTTGTGTGAGGTTGAGTAAGTGTGTGTTGAGAGAGAGTAAGTTCAGTGATATGTGCGATAGCCTCGTCCTCGATCGCTGACTTGAGGGTGCGGATTTGGGGTATGCAAATTGCAAGATAAGCTTGCGGTTCGTCTATCGAGGTACCTCGCGCGGCTCAGAAAGTATATCGTTCTCGGTCTCGCTCCGTGGGATGTGTAATTCTCACCATCAACCAGCCTTGCTCAGTGAAAAATTCGTCTCTTCGTCCCCAATTCGCTTCAAAATTCCCAACGCAATCGTCGTAGCTTTTTCATACCCAAAGAAAAACCGACGGCCATGACAAGATAGTAAGGTGAGGCTGACTGAGGTATAGAGAGAGAGAGAGAGAGAGAACCGCAAGGATAAGTGGTGGTGGTGAGATATTTGACTAAGCTGGAGCTAGCCAAAAAAAAAGCCAAAACATATCAGCCTGCCTAGCTTGCCGCGGCGGGTCCCCAAACCTAAGCATGCCAACCTGCGTCAGAAACAGCCGCAAGGCACACTCCAAACGGGCAAGTCCCTTCACAGGTGTGGTATGCTCGGCAGGTACTTGGGGTATGTAATTTTTTTGGGGGGGGGGGTTAAGGGAAGGGTAGCAGGTGAGAGGTGAGATTATGCAGGCGAGGCCGGCTTGGGGCGCGGTAGCAGTGGTAGCAGGGCGGGTGTGTAATAATAGGTTGTTGTTGTATTGGTGAGCGGCGGTGGGTAGGTTACTTAGGAGGTTGTGCAGCGAGCGGCACGAAGTTTAATCTGCCAGTGCTTAACCTAACCTGCAAGTTGCAAAGTGGAAGCGCAGTGCATGTACCATGCCACTCTCACGACGCAACTCAAACAGCAGGTTCGTGGGCTGTGCTGCTGTGCTGAGGAGGTGTGTCGTGCGTGATGAAGAGGTGCTTGTGTGGTGCTGTGTGGTTGTGGTTGTGTCGTGTGTTATTACAAATGCAACCAGAGTCCAGTCCAGAGGATGGATTTCCAATCTCATCAAGCCATTAACAAGCATCAAGCATCATATCATAGAGAGTCAGAAGTCAGCAGTCAAGTTCAAAGTCAGTCCAGACCAGGCCAGGCCAGCCCTCTAGTTCTCATGCAATGCCAGCCCATCCAATCCCTCGCTTCATCAACCGCTCTCCATCTTTGCCCGCATGGTACCCCGGAGAAAACCAGACACCAGACGAGCAGTGGTTTAACATGCGAGGAATCATGGATCCCATTCCCAGCTCCCCCCATCAAGAAAAAAAGAGGAGCTGGTCCCGATTGATTGTTGAAACCGTGAGTGGGGCTGGCAGGTGGACTCGGCACTCGGGCGTGTGGGCCCCGGACCTTCGCTAGATTGCGAAAACCTGAGAAGCGCTGCGGGTCATGGCAGCGCGAGTGCCAGGTGGTCCATCGGTTGGACGGTAGATGTGTGTGGACGGTAGATGTGTGTGGAAATGCGGATTGTGGACGACCTGACACTGCTATGGACATGGCTGTTCGCATCATTGCATTGGATGGACAGAGGCAATCGACGCGATGCGAGCCCGGGTACGGATAGCGCAGTCGCAACACAGCGATAAGCTTGTGAACAGTGATCGGGTCGGGACAGTGGCCGCCTGGTTACCTGACTACTTGGTTGCAACGCTGCCAAAGCATCCCGCTTGCGCCCGCATCCCGCACACGACCCCTATAACCGCACTCGCAATGTGGCCCCTGGTTGTTCACGTCACCGGCAATGATACCGAATGGTTGGAGCGGGATGCGGTGAGCTTTTTGTTTAGATACTTTGGCTTTGTAACTCTGTACTTCCAACTTCGCCTCTCAACCTCAACACAGCAGGTGACATCTGGCCCCTTTGTGCCGAGTATATAACCCGGCCTTGTGCCATCTCGGTATCTCTCCTCTCCTCGTCCACGTCGAGTTCGTGTATATATCCAGCCCGCCTTCTGTCCTGTCTTTTGCTTTGTCATGTCGGCATGGCAGGCCGTCAACGGTTTGATGCCCGTAGGCTGGTTAACCTATGGCCAAGCCATGGCCATGGGTCTTTGAGCGTTGTGCTACTAGGCGGGGTGGTGCCACCTGTCGCCAGCTACTGCGGTACAATATACACCTGAAAACGTTGCTTTGGTAAACTTATTGCCAACTTGCATCGCCCGGCCGCAACGAGTGGGAGCAACCTAATGTACAAGACGGCAGGCGGTGAGGCCTTAGTTAACTGGTGAAAAGAGGGAAAAAAAAAAAAATACGCATGCCGAAGCCTGATGCCGTGAGCAACATATTGTAAATCCGCATGATGACAGACACTCGCTCTCCGCCCAAGCCTTGGCCTTGGCAACGGGATCTTCAACAACATCCTCGGCGAGAAGAGGGATACAAGTAATGTTGCTCCTATTGTGGGGTGTAAGCACGAAAAAAATACAAAAAAAAATACAACGTCCATCCCGAACAACTCCCGCACTTCAAAGTTCCTGCCCCTGTCAAGACGATTGTGTGCCGCAAAAAACAGGGATCAGGCATGCGTATTGTTTTTAAGGCCTTGAGGTTCTGGTCTGGCCATTAGGAAGTCTCTCATCAACCTGGCCTTTTGATGTTAACAAGTGATACTGCAGCACATCTCGCTGCTTTACACATCAGAAATGGCTCCCCTAGCACACACACTCAGCCAAACCCCCTTCTTAAATCATAATCATGCATCTTGGACCTTCCTCCTTGCTCATGATGTGTTTCCCTCTTGGACGTCCTCACACATACATACACGCACACACACAAGATCACTTGCACTCGCGGCACCTACCAACTCGGGTAGGTCCGTCAAAACCTTCTCAACAATGACACTGACGCTAGCACAGGCCAAGCATCTCACAGATGGGACTTCCCTGGGTTTCTCGCAGCGTCACCCTCCTTTGTTTTCTTGCCTTGACGGTGCGTCTCAATGGTCTAGTCAAATGCCGCCCCGCCATCCGTCGCAGTTGCCCGTGGCCTGCGGCCCGCCGGCAGACGATGCTCTGTTGCAACCTGCCACTTCAAATCATTCATGAGATGCCATCAGATGCCTGCCCCAGCCCCAGCCCCAGCCTCAACGCTCAATGATTCAATCTGATCCTTCATTATGAAGTCGTAACGTGGGTCCCGTCCTGCTCCGACGGGCGTGTGTACCCGTATGAAAGGTTTCCAGGTTTTGCCCTCTGCTATCCACTACAGAACCTGGAATGCGGGGGCAACCTACCGTACCCATCCGACAATTTCCATCCCATCCCATCCTGAAAACGCGCAACATCCATCTCCTATCTTGTCTCTGAGTGCCCGCATGAATTCTTCCCCAAGAAAATACCTGACCCTGAACTGAGTGCTTCTCACAAACCCCGCTGACACGAGAGTCACAGACTCAGCTCGTTCAAGATTTGACTCGCTCGAAGGTGCTTGCATTGGAGCTGATGCCGAGAGGATGCATCACAGCATCGATCTTACTGCAGTGAGTGGCTGGCGCAAGAGTTTATCTGCACCCTTGTAACCCTGCGCCGGGCGATGGAGTGGGGCGCTGTGCTCGCTTGGATGCGCTCGGGGAGCTTATCTTATCGTGGAAGGGGGATTAACACTTCGGTAAGTGCATGTACTCGATTGAGTGCAAATGGTGGGAGAAGGCAAGTAAGGTCCCACTTTTATTTTTCCCGGTTTTGGAGATATGACAGATGGAACATTACGACATAGGACTCATCAACCATCTCTTGCCATTGTTACTGCTCGTGTGGCAGGTTAAAAGTGTACCTAGTTTGCATTGTCAAAAGATTGTCATCAATATGAATACAAAGCTATGATGTATATCCATATCAGGATATGACTGTTTGCCCAGGGACTTGACAGTCTTGTCGCTTTTTGTCCAGACAATACCTTTTTTGACCTGCATGAGCTTAACTTGGAGAATCTCTGGGAAGCCAGACTTCGAGACTGAGTAGCTCGAGGTCGAAATGACTGGATGTCCATGTTCAAGCTTAACGTGAGCTCTTCTATCGTCTCTTTCTTCCCTTTCCCCTTCCCTTCCTCCCCCCCCCCACACCCCTCCCCCAAACCCCCTTTACGGCCAAAGCTCAACAACCTCCCAATCCCCCTCCTTCACTCCCCCCGGCAACTTCGTCTCTTCTCCCTCCCCTCTCAAATATAAAGCCACCTCCTCGCCCTCTCCGGATCCCCCAGATCCACTCTATCAACCTCCTCCGGCACAATAACCACAACTCTAAAATTCCTCCTCGCCATTTCATCCTCCTCCAATCCCCCCTCCACCCTTTGCCCCAGTCCCTCTCCAGGCCCAGGGGGATTCCCCTCGACCGGGACCCCAGGAGGGGGGTTCTTGAAACTACCCCTCATGATCGTGGAGAGGTTGGTGAAATGGGCATTTATCTCGCGGGAGAAGCTCCATTCCTCTTTGTTGTTATCGTCTCCTGAGATGCGGCGCATTCGTGATAGCAACATCTCCCTCACCTTCCTCGCGCCAACCGACTCTCCATCATCAATATCCCCGGCTGCCAAAATCCACGCCGTCCCACGAATCCTCCACTGCGTCCGTGCAGGCTCGATCCAAAAGACAGCCTCGACTGGCCCGCCTCCGCCGCTCCCTCTCAATCCCCCTTCCCTTTCTGCCTCACGGATGTTGGGGTCGGTATTGGCACCTGTAAAAAATAACCCCTGAACCTTCTCCATGCGTGCATCCGTCGTGAACACGGGACAGTCGGACTCATAGATGGGCGGGTTGCGCGGGGCAGAGGGGTCGTGTGGGTTGGGCGGGAGTGTGGCCCAGAGGCCGCGGTAGACGCAGGTTCGTGCGCGGGGGAGGGCTTGTAATGACGGGGAGGAGGCTGTCTCAGTTGTATATACTGTTGTTGCTTGAGCGAGAAGGGGATGAAGTGTTGCAAGGGTGAAGATTGGCGGCCCCGTGAGATGGGAGAGGTGGGTGAGGAAGGGGGTGCGCCAAGGCGCTGAGGAAGGGGGCATCTTGTTGGTTTTGGTTCAGTAGGTGTTGGGATCTGAAAAGGTGTGAATGAGGCCGTTAATAGTCTGAAGATTAACACGATGGTTGCCAGATGGTAAGTGAAATGTTGTGAGAATCAATTTGAGTTTGTAAGTGCGAGTTGAAGAGGGGCATCGAGATGATCTCATCCGGCCTACAAGTTGTTTGCATGGTGGGGGGTTACATCCTCAGCGAGGAGCGGCCCACAGTCCTGGAAACTCTCCTTCCGTACGGCAACGTCAATGATCGTTGCATCCGCTGCAATTCAACCGTGCCATGCGTCGGACGGATAGTCGAGTTTGATTGATTCGGCCTGTCATATTTTTGGCCTTTATTGGGTGTCTGGGTGTTGATTCCATGCTTGAGGATCTAGGAAGAGTTTCGTCAGCCTTGTGGGTACAAGCCCCGGTACCTCAGCCCTGGACATGTCTTCAAAAGACTTTATCCAGCCGACGGTCTTTGGTTCTGACATGAGGTCAAGGGTTTCCATGGTAGTATGTTTCTTACTTCTATCCTCGATATCTTATATTGTATTGGCTCAGGCCACTTTGGCCACAATCGTTCTGTCTCCCATAGCTCTGAAGTACCAAGCCGCAGCTCTCTTACAAAGCCACGTCCAGTCTCCCAAACATCAACACATCGCCCCTGTCTTCTTACCTATATCTCCCTGAACAATTATCAATTAACGGAATATTAGCCCCTGACCTTGTTATCTCAAGAAGCTTCCACGTTCCAGAAACGCATCTAGAAGCCTTTAAAAGTTCTCTGCATCCCAATCGCTTCATTCACAGGCAGGAACAGCCCAAGGCTTTGGGGCTGTGCAAGCCTCAACCCCGCGGTGGTTTACATCCCCCCTCCCCCCAAACTTCATCACATTTCCAACCCCCTGTCTCTGCATGGGAAAGCCTCGCTCAACGCAAGCGCTTGACATCAGCCCTGCTGCTTGGATGTCTTTAACGATCTTGAAGCCCAACATGGTGTCCTCTGCGAACCGCAAAAAGAAGCCCTGTGTGTGCCCAATGCCCAACTCAAGTGCCATGTTTCGGGCACTGAGCGCCACACAATTGAAGTGATGCTGCTGGCCGATGAGATGAGCATAAGTGACAACGCCTGAGCTGGGGTTGTGCGATCCTGCTCAGCGCCAATCACGACCTCCATGCATGCTGCTGTGGAGTGCTGTGGCTTCCCACTCAAATTCCACAAGATGAACCCGGTCAGAACCCTCGGAGTTGGAGCTGGAGTTGGGGCTAGGGTTGATTGGTTGTAACAACTGGGATCGGATATGTTGTGGAGGAGCGTGATTGAGGTCAGTTCAGATTGCGCGACGCGATCGTCGCATCGTCAAAGCACCTTTTGAACAACAAACAACAACTTTCTTCCCTCACAGTTTTATTTGTCGCTGAGATCAAGTTTAGTGCTGGGTTCAATTGAGGTCTTTTTTTTTTTTTTTGCGTGTACCTGACTTGGTGGGAGGGTTTTGTGACATCTCTACAAAGGTAGCGACAGCTCGATCGGCATCGACGTGAGTGCTCAATAATACCCAAAGGACCGGTTTTGAAGGAGTTGAGCCGCGATGGGCATACTTCACTCCCTGCGGCGCGCTCGTGCCGGGGGATGGCTTTTGTTTGCCGTTGTCGCGTTGCTTGCGATTGTGCAGTCGGCTTCAGCTGAGAAGCTCCAAAACATTGAAAATGAGGTATGGGGCTCCCCCTTACAGTGCCCTTATACAACACCAGCTCAAGACAACAAAGTCAACTCTTATACCAACCTACCTTGATTTCTTCCCCTGTCCCCCTATATCAACATTATTTATACTCCACAATACTATCTTACCACTCCGCTAACCTCTCGATAGAACTTCTGGACCACCCACAACCTCTTCCAAACTCTCTTCCCCTCCCCCTCCCCCGCAACAAACGCCCTCCTCGCGACAGCCTACATCTCCATCCCCCCAAACCTCCTCCTAGCCCTTCTCCCCCGTAACATCGACCCCTCGACCCTCTCCATCATGGTCGCGTTTGCGGTCGGCGGGCTCCTAGGCGATACCTTCTTCCACCTCATGCCTGAGATTTTCCTCGGTGAGGGAGAGGCCATGGTGAGGGTTGAGCCTAAGAGAAACTTACTTCTGGGGTTTGGGATTGTGGTGGGGTTTATCACGTTTGTTGGGGTTGATAAGGCTGTGAGGATTCTTAATGGGGGGGAGGGGCATGAACATGGGCATGGACATGCTCATGGGCGTGAAATTGTTAAGGAGGAAGGGAGCCCGAAGGGGGAGAGGAAGAGGGCTGCTGGTGGTGCCGCTGGGAAGGTGAAGAAGGAGAAGAGCGAGAAGAGCGCGGTGGCACTTAAGGTTAGGGCTGAAAAGACCGAGTCAAGCAACACTTCCGTCAAACTCGGCGGCCTTCTCAACATGATGTACGTCCCAACCCCTTTACTCACCTTCCCTTCCCCTTTTTCCACGCCATACTAACCCCCTCCAGCGCGGACTTCACCCACAACATAACCGACGGCCTGGCCCTCGCTGCCTCCTTCTACGCCTCCCCGACCGTCGGCGCCACGACGGCCGTCGCCATCTTCTTCCACGAAATCCCCCACGAAGTTGGCGACTTCGCGCTGCTCGTCCAATCCGGCTTCTCCAAATGGCAGGCCATGGGCGCACAGTTTATCACGGCGGTCGGCGCACTCGCCGGCACGATCATCGGCATCGCGATCCAGGAGTATGGCGGGAGTACGCCGGGAGAGGGCGTGACTGCCGTTGGGGAGGGGATCTTTGGGACGAGTTTGCAGTGGGGGGATATGTTGCTGCCTTTTACGGCGGGAACGTTCTTGTATGTTGGGACTGTGGCGGCTATTCCGGAGTTGCTAGAGACGGGGTCGGAGAAGGCGAAGGAGGCAAGACGGGCAGTAATGCAGTTTTTGGCGGTTGCGGCGGGCGCGGGGATTATGTTGTTTATTTCGTGGCAGGAGTAGCTACGGGTTGTAGCTATGCGATGAGACTTACATGTGAGTGCTTGGAATTCATGCATGGTCTAGATGATATTGGATCTCGGAATGCAATGTCTAGACGGGGAGATGGGATTCAAAGGATAGAGTAATGGATCGCATGGACGGGCTCATCACTTCCCCTAAGACAAGCACACCAGTCATCACGAACCTAACTTTTCATCCTATGCCAACCTCACCATCAGCTTGTGACATCTGACCAAACTGACTAATTCAACCACCTCCATCATTAATGTAACCGTCATCCCGAATTACAAGGCAAAAGGGAAAAAAAAGCTTTCAAGGTCACGATCCCGTCAAGTGGACCAGCTAACACTTTAAAAGCTTAGCTCTGCAACATGGCCAAACAAACTCACTCAGTTGCAAGCATTGAACATTTTTAGAGGTGCTGTGGCAACAAGTGATCGCGAAAGGCAAACCGGACCGAGCCGGCTCGGAATCTGCCACAGCTTATGAGCGAGTGAGGAACTTGGACACTTGGGCAACATGTCAAGGCAAAGGCGCTCACTCGCCGGGCCCGAAAGAGGAAATACCTCTGCAAGCCGTGCAGCAGGTCCTTTCGTAAGCCGCTTCTTCCCTCTCTCATGGGAGTCAAGTGAAGGAAGAAACGAAGGACCTCGCCTAGACTGTTCGGGACCCCAAGTTCCACATGACTAGCTGCTTGACTGGCCTGCAGTAGTGCATGCTAGTGTGCCGCTGTTACCAAGCAGGTCAACAAGAGCTAAAGTCTGAGCCTTGAGCCAGACTGTGTTGTCGGAGCTCGGGTCGGGCCTGGGTCTGGGGAGGGAAAGCGGGAGAATGGATGGGCTTGGAGATCAGGCCAGGTTCAACATACAGTCCCGAAGGACCGACCGGTTACCTCTAAAGCCTACAATCGTCTACGTAGCTGCCATCAAATCTACAATCTCCCTTCAGAACCCAAGAAGGGTACAGCACCCAGACTGCATCTTTAAACCTGCCCTGTCGATCCCGGAGGCAGTCCCCTAGCTGTGAACCATCCAGCTGGGACAGCAGAGGACAAACGACCTTCCTCAACAGTGAAGGCGTGGCCGTGCCCAGAAGAACGCCAGGCATGTCTGCCATGTGCCAGGAGTGCGGGCCGAGTCCGGTGGCGCTTTGTGTGGCATGGGACATGACTGAAACTGAAAATTTTAAATCATCAATATTCCCCTGGAGACAAACAGCATGACGATGACGGACTGAGGAGTGATGAGTTGGCGAATCCTTTTAGAGGGGTCCACTGTGGTACAGTGGATTGGTGTCGGGACAGAGCTGGAGCTGGAGGGGCTGGAGAAAGAATTTTTTTTTTTTCTGTCTTATGGCAAGCCGTACATACATTAGTGAATGATGGCGTTGGTGACGAAGGATCAAGCAGCATCATGAAGCATCAAACATGTGATATGATGTGGTGAAGCTGTGGACAAGTGTTTGCGTAAATTCGTAGCTTTGGGGAGAGACGAACCACATCGTGTTGAGCACAGCAAACATCTCAAGCATTCTAACTCTTTCGCTCGTACTCGCTCTGCCATCATCATCCAAGAATCTTTTCAGCTCATGTCCGATGACCGGACGACTCACACAGGCAAGCGCGCCTTCCCTAGACAAGCATTGACGAATTGACATCCGACTCCCAGCGCTCCATGCCAAGGCTAGCCCCTCGCAGGCCCCACCACTGATCCAGGGCAGCAGGCAAGCGCAGGGTCACCGGACCCACCTGAACCAGGGTTGTCGATCATCACTCCACACCCTTCACTTGACGCCAAGCATGAGCGTCTCCAAGCGTTCACCAAGCATCCAACAGCTGTGACGTGAAGCGATGCCAGCACCTTCGACACCATTCTCGCACTCGCTGTTTGCGACGCGATTCTCCAGCATGCCTGGCCAAGAAAGAAACCATCCATGGATGAGTGACATCTGTTTACCTTGGCATTTCAATAACACAGCACGCTATAGTCTTCTGATGTAGACTTGGGGCATGACTTGAAATTGTGCCGAGCATCATCCACAGCTTTTCCAGCTCTCCAAATACGGTACTCGTACATGTATGCCGTCCAGTGCCCAGAGCCCCGCCTTTCTCCAAACCCAGACAAGACAATGACAGTTAAGCAAGGAATGATGCTGAAGGGGCACATCCACCATCCCGCCCTTTGCTGCACACATACTTGGCCTTGACATTGACCAACAGCGTGTGAGCCGGGCAGGTGACTGTCCTTGCCGTTGGCCTTGGGACTTTGGGGGAGCCGTTATTGGACTTGAGTACCGTAGACGGCTCGGGGCCCGGCTACACTATACTACTCAGTTTGGAGGGGGGTGAGTCAATGGAGCATGTCATTCATAGGGCTGGACTTCTTGGTGTCTTCGGCTTGGGTCGGGCCAGTTGGTATAAGATGCTGAGTGCGCGGTCGTGAAAGGGTTCTTGTCTGGTGTATACCTTTATCCCGCTTCACCATACGCGGTGTTGTAGGACACTTACACTTACACTTACATACAGCTACCTCATCAACATCACACATTCTCTCCAATCGGCATGGCGACCTTCCTCGCCAGCGCCCCGGCTCCAGCCCCCAAGCGGGCAGCCGCGTTCCCCAGGAGCGACATCAAGATTCAGATCAAGGACCACTATTCCTCCAAAGTCTACACCAGCGGCTCCTCTTTGTCAGGCGAAGTTCACATCACTACCCGCCGTGATGTCCCCTTCGACGCGATCCAGATCCTCCTCATTGGCCACACCAAGACCTCCTTCGAGGGCATGTCTGTCCCACAAGCCATCACCCACACATTCCTCAAAATGTCCATGCCCGTGCCCGACTCGCTATATCCTTCCCCTCGTGTCCTCGAAAATGGGAAAACATATACAATCCCCTTTCACTTTGTCATTCCGCGCCATTTGACCCTGTCTGCGTGCAACCATGACCGTCTTAAGCCCCAGCTGCAGGAGCATCACTTGTTGCTGCCGCCTAGCTTGGGAGGGTGGCATCACCGCGATGATATGTCACCGCGCATGGCGAAGGTTGAGTATACTATCAAGGCGCGCGTGGTAAGGGATGATCCGGTGCCGCCGCCGGCAAATGCCCAGTCTGGGGAGCAGCCCACGACTAAGAGGATCAGAATCATGGAGGCCACGCATAACATCCAGGTTCTCCCCGCGACGCCTGAGGACCCGCCGTTGAGCATCACGCCAGCGGATAAACTATACAAGATGAGCAAGACCAAGACGCTTCGCAAGCGTCTGCTCACCACCAAACTGGGCACTATCACAGCCGAAGCCTCCCAACCCGCGGCAGCGGTTGTATCCTCAGACGGTCGTCAGGTCGTGTCTACTCCCACAGCCCATGTCAAGTTCACTTTCACCCCTTCAACCTCCAGCAACTCCTCCAAGAAAGGCGTCCTCCTCCCCATCGTTACCGGAGTATCAGCGAAGATTGCAGCATACACATACTTCTCCTCCGGCACGATCAGCGACTTCCCCGACCTGGGCGAGGGCTTTATTCAACCGTATGTGTTTGACCGTCGCGGAGTATACTCAACTGCCGTACCCTTAAGGGGGGTTGAAGTGGGTGAGCAGCCCGTCTGGAGTACTACTTCCACTTCCTCAGGGCCATCGACGCCGGAGCAGGCCCAACCGGGGTTGGTGAGACGAGACTCGGGGTATTGCTCTAGTCGGTGTAGCGACTCATCCTCCTCTTTTGGTTCTGGGTTCAGGGCGAAGAGGAAGCCCAAAACCCCCACTGCTATCCCTGGTCCGTCGACGACGATGGCCAAGACCCAGACCACGACACTGTCTATCCCCTTACCACTTCCAACAGACAGGAAACTTTTCGTCCCCACCTTTCATTCGTGCATCGCTTCCCGGGTGTACACCGTCCAGCTGTCGGTCAGTATTTCCGTCTCCGGCGCAAGCACAACCCTGAACCTATCCCTTCCCCTGCAGGTCTGTGTAGAGGGGTTCTTGCCTGCTTGGGAGACTCCCTCTGCCCTGCTGCCCATTCTGGACGGCGCCCCCGCTGAGGGACCGCAGAATGGCAGCAGAGAGACCGTGACGGACGGGACCTGCTCTGAGGGCTGCGGTACCACCCCCCTCGGTATCTCTGCTCCATGCCAAGGGGGTATCATGCTCCCCCCGAGCTTCGAAGAAGCTGAGGCGGATGAGTATCTTCGTCCAAGGGTTTGGCGCGTGCCGGAGGGTCTACCGACGGATGAAGAAAGGAGGGAGAGAGCCCAGGAGATGGGTGGGCTGCCTGGATATGGCGGCTTGTTCGGGTTGCATGGGATGGGAAACCAGGAGGGGAGAGAGAGGACTCAAGCGGATGGGGATGGGTTGCCCGGATATGCGGGGTTGTTTGGTCGGAGGGTTGATTTGATGTCTTAGTTATGCAGGTAGGATGGGGATGATTTTGGAGAGGTATGGACGAATTGGGTATGATGTCTAATCGGTGCTATATTTTCTGGCGGTTTGCGTTCTAGTTATGGATGGAATTTGGGGGGATACCAAAAGGTTGATTTTTTTGGGTAACTAGGCTGTTTGGTGGGATGTGGAGGAAATACCCCCTTCTTAGTTGGATTTGCAGTCTACCTAATACCCATCTCTCTGTCCTTTTTTTTATGTCTTTACTGATCTTAGTGATATGATTGTTGATGGTGTTAGTAGGGTATCTTGTGTGTTTAAGGTGGCCTGATGTACTGCTTTGGTGTAAATCCGACCTTTAGGATAATTACGGTATTGAGGAATTCCTGGAAAGGGCGCCGGCGAAGCTCATGGCCAGGATATTGATATCAAGACTTGCTGGTTAACGGTAACCCTCTCACACTGGTAATCAGATATGTTTTAAAGTAGGAAGCCCAGATTTTGAACGATAGCCTATCAATATTGATACTTTTAAGATTGCCATGATTAAAAAAGTTTAACTGTCTCCAATACTATCCCAGGAACCTTCAAACGTAAGGCCTCAATTAACATGAACGAATCGTCAACACACTCTCCGGGCATTAAAACAGACACGCTACTCTGGTGCCATTACCATCTCCCCCCAAAAGCACGTTTCGTAGCACAAACCATCACTGCTCCTCGATCCTCTTCCCTTGCATCCGAACTCAATAACATGGCTTCACCTTCTCCTGATTAAAACACGCCCTCGACCTTAAATACGCACGCTGCCCCCTCAACCTTGTCACATCCTTCCCCTGTCTCGCTATTTGAAATGTACAAGATCCTAGGGCACGCGAGCACCTTGATAATAGGGCGGTTCATCTTGTCATTACCCGCCCAGAGATGCGCCACCTTCGTCGCGGAATCCACACATACCCCTCACATACGCCGTTTCCCCGAGACTTATGATCCCCTCCGTCCAGTTCTCATACTTAATCCTCATATCTGTAGTGGTTATCGTCCATCGAAAAACGGGATCCCCCACCCTCTCTGAGGCATTCACCCGTGTGGTATGAATATATGCATACGTTTTCTCACCAATTTCGCGAAGAACTGTGGGTTTTGGTCCCATTTGTAGAGTCGGTCGGAGGGGTCGAAGAAGGAGGCTATATTATTGAGGAAGCCGCTCACCATCCAGGAGGGGATGGGCGTGAAGGTTAGGGACCGCCCTAGACTAATCATGGTGATGTCGGTGCCGTTCAAGTGGGAGAGGATCGGGATGAAGGACCCAACAGTGTCGCTGGAGAGGCAGGCTGGTTGAGTGTGGATTTGGGTTGAGGCTACTGTTCTGGTGACGGTTGTTGTGATGGTTGCGGTTAGGGGGATGAGGGAGATTGTGGTGGATGAGCTTGTGGCGGTTATGTTGTGGAGCACCATCTGAGTTGAAGTGATGCCGTGTGTGATGGTCGACGTGATTGGGATGGTTTGGGTAAAGATTTCGATGGTGATAAATGTTCGCGGGGGACTGGTAGCAGAGACGGGTGAAGGTTTGGGGCTGGTACCCTGCACATTGGCAAGCGGAACGGATAAGCTTTGGGAAGAGGCGGACAGCTTGGATTGGGTCTCGACAGTAGAAGTGGTTCTCCTCCACGGCTGTATGATTAAATGCCATCCCGTTTGTCAATGGTCCTTTTCACAGAGGTGATCGTTGTGGTGGCTGTCACCGTGGCAGCGACGATGGACTGGGTAATGGGTACGACAATGGTAGTGGTAGCTACTGTAGCGGAGGTATTGTTGACAAAGAAGACAATTACGGTTGAAACAGTAGATGTCTGTGTAGAAGTATACCAGCCTGGTGTGGTACACGTGGTGAAGTGGGTTGAGAACTGTCCTATTGTCGATGTGGAGGGTCTTAGGGCTGGTCAGCCAGTGGACTTGAGACTCCATCAAGAACTAATCTTCCAATTACACAGTTGTATCCGTCGCTGCCACATCACTAAGATATGAAGGACAGTCTTACAAGTCGTTGTCCTTGATTAAGCTGAAGCAAGCATCTTTGCTCAACACTCGTGCCATCCACCCGGTACCGCAGTCAGCCAGGTAAATGTCGGCACCAGAGCTGCGAGGAGAGCAGATGTCATGGGAAACAGCAACTTTTATACTATCATGAAATAGCGAAGGACGGGTCACGAGTGACACATCGTCAAGGAAACTCTCCATTCGAACATCCCACGGTGACCGGCTTTTCTTAAATCTAAAGCCAACCTCGCCGCCATCATCATCATCATCAGTGGTATTCAAGCCACATAGCAATGTTGAGCCCATGAAACCTAGTGTCCAAAGAGTCGGTTTACACGAGCTTCCCAACTCACACTCGAATCTTGGTGCTGAGCTACGATTGGGTCTTGGCCATAACGACTTCAGCTGGGGACAAGGGCGGTTACTACTCGCAGTATGTAGTGGCCGAACTTGCAGCCTCAACTTTATCCGAGCGTGCTAACTGGAGAGAGATAGAGAGTATGGTTATTTATGGAAATTGTTCTTGCTATGCTGGGCATCATGAGGATTGGTAGTTGCTATCCTGCATCATGAGTTGGGAGAAGATGGGTTTTGGAAGGATATTGAGCATGATTTCAAAATTGCAGCTGATGATAACACAGCCAGGTTAAGATAGAGAGCTCATCAGGTATATTTAGTTCTGAGGTTGAATGAGTTTTAGATGGCATCTTCGTCCTGCAGCTCCTGGGCGTTCTGCACTCTTAGTTGTACCACCTGCCTACCCTCCCTCACACGCTTGTTGGAAAGTTATTAGTTAACTATCGAAAAAATGTCGATTCATGATCTAGCTACAGCTACATACCTGTCAGCAACGGTCAGTCATCCACAACCAAAGTTCACTCATCGATAACATCATTAACCGCAGCAGTAGAGACACGATTATGTCCAATTCATGCATCAACTGCCTCATCTATGGACACGCGATAGAGGGCAAGCGCCACACCCGCGAGAGCAGCCGCGCCGCCATGGTTAACTGCGAGGGATAAAGACACTCACTCCCGGACTGAAAAAAAACTCATCTTATTAAAAGCCATCCCGAAACGCCCAAAAACCATGCCATTCCGAAACGAGACTCTCGAACAATGAACGCCCGCCCCCAGGTTTACTCTTTTTTAGTGTTGTACCATCTGAGAGACAGAGACAGACAGATCTGGGAATATGTAAGAAGGAAAAAAACAGTCAACCGGCCAGCTTCATGCAACCCGACCGCTCACACGCACAACCGGTAACTGGCATACCGCCCAGCAGTCTCGCTCGTTCGAATAATCTTGACCACCTGCCCACGCTTGAGCCCCAGATACCTTGCAATCGGATCCTTGGACAAGATCCGCGGCAGCTGTGTCTCTTTGAGGCGATACCGCTTCAGCAGCGCGGCCTTTTCCTCGCGGCTGAGCAGGATGTGCTTGGGCACAAGCTCGTGGTGCGTAATGTTGACGAGCAGATCCTCCTCGAGAAAGCACTCAATGAGCGTGAACTGCGAGGTGACGGTCATGACCTTGCGGGCTTGCGAGGAGAGGGCGACAGCGGTAACCAGAATGCCGGCCTTGAAGTTGTTTTGGGCGCAGTGCTCGACAAACTTCTTCATCACGCTAATGCCGATCGAGGTCTTTTCCGGGCAGAACTCAACCCAGATCGTGCCGCACTCCGGTTGCGGGTCGGGGTTTTGAGGGGTCGGTGGAGGGGTGAACTTCTTGATCATTGCTTCGCTGGGGCGAGCGGAGAATTGCATCTTTGCGCGGCTGGAGGGAAGGTTAGATGCCGAAATGAGGGGAGGATCGCGGGTAGACTAAAGCGCAAACGTACTTGGGGCTGCCATCCTCGTTGGTATACTCGGCCTTGAAGCGCTCAAGAGAGATTTTGACCTCCTCATCGGCGAGTTCGTAGCCCTATAGTGCATCGACATTTCAGCAACTTGATGTCTTCCTCCTCTAAACTCCCATTGACAAAGCATACCCGGTCCTGAACCATCTCGTGGACGGTCCGCCAGGCGCGCCAGAGACGGGTAACCTCCTTCTCGTAGGCACTGGCGTTGGTCTCGTCCTCCATCGTGGCAGTTGATTGATTGAATCACGAAAAATCGAAACGGATGCAGTAGGGCTGTCGGTAGCGATGCGTGATGCGGCGGCTGGGCTGGGCTGGGCTGGTGGATGGTTTTTCGATTGCTGATCGCGAAGTTTGCTTGTGTATCCAAGCGCTTGGAGCGAGGCTGAAAGGAAACCGTCCGAAAAATTCACGACAGGGGTCTGGCCATGTGGCGATGCCAAGATTTTCACGTTACACTACGCCAAGTACATTGGGGTGTAAATTACATTTGTTAGTTACATCATTTGCCTGACCCTGCACAATAGACAGTTTGGCTGGCAAAGTCTGAGCAGCTGCCCTCAGATGACCCATATCAATTAAGTATAGAAAACTCTGGGTGATTCAAGCTCGCATTGACTGATATCTTTCCATCTTCAATCTCGAAGCACTGCAAAGACAGTAACCACAGACGCGCCTTGGCATCAGCCAGTATCTGTACGCAGCAAGAAAGTGGTGAAACGTGACACTGCTCCACATCACCCCTGACTGCTTAGCTAAGACAAAAAGCCCACAGCGGCAGCGAACCAAAGAAAGGCCACGGGTCGCATGTGGATTATGGAAATGGTATAAACTGGAATTTTCCCAGCCTGTGATCATCCCAGAACCACAGGGTTGCTATCCCATACAACAAGGTTCACCATCCACTGATCCCCATTTATAAAGCCACGGGTCATTTTCGGCTGTTTGCTGGTGCTCCTTTGTTTTCCCTCGCACGCCTGTGTTCTCGTTCTGCGCAGCGGACAACACCATTTCCCCTCCCCTTCGATTTCCTGAAACTTTTTTTTCGACGTACTTCTTTTAATCGACACCCGATCTCCTGCCCACCATGGCTGCCACCGCCGCTGTTGCTCCGGCTCCCGCCCCGGCCCCTGCTGCGGCGGCCAGCAGCAAGCCGACCCAGCCCGACCGTGCTGCCTTTGAGAAGGAGCTCGCCCGTCTTGAGAAGGAGAACAAGGATGTTCTCGACAAGCTGGTGAGTCTAGCCCACTCACGAGCCCAATCAACCTCAGGACAGTCCCCGCTGACCTGATTGACCTTCCAGAATGCTGTCAAGAATAAGATCGCTCTGGCCATTCCCGACAAGGCCAACCCCAGCCCTTCGGAGCAGCGTCGTCAGGAACTCATCGCCCAGGCTAAGGAGATCCAGAAGAAGCAAGGTGCTGGCAAGGACCAGCGTCTGTCGGTTAAGGAGAAGATCCAAAAGAAGGAGGAGGAACTCCGCGCCACCCTGGCTGAACTCAAGGCCGCCCAGGAGAAGGTCCCCTTCCGCTCTGTCGCCGAGATTGATCGCAAGATCAACGAACTTGAAGCCGCCGTCGAGAAGGGCACCATGAAGCTGGTGGATGAGAGGAAGGCATTGACTGAGGCATCGAACCTTCGCCGTCTCAAGAAGTCCTTCTCCAAGTACGCAGACATGCAGAAGAAGATCGACGACCTGCGCGCCGAGATCAAGGAGCTCAAGGCCAGCATGGACACAGCCGAGGCTAAGGCCCTCAGCGAGGAGTACCAGCGTATCCAGGCTGAGCTGGACGCCCTGGACAAGGAGCGTAAGGAGGCGTCCGCCAACCTGACGGCCCTCAAGAAGGAGCGCGACGCTCTGCGCAAGCAGCAGCAGGCCGCCTACGCCGCCATCAAGGCCCACAAGGACGCCTACTACGACCAGCGCCGCGCCTGGGACCGCTACATCAAGGAGCAGAAGCGCAAGCGTGCTGAGCGTGAGAAGGCCGAGCGTGAGCGCATCGCCCGTGAACGCCGCATGGAGCGCGCCCAGCGCATGCTGGCCGAGGCTTCGGAGCCCGCTTACCTCGAAGAGATCCGCCGTGCGAACAACCTCCTGCACTACTTCGACCCGTCGCACCCCGTCGTCGAGAAGAAGGCCCTCATCCAGGACAAGGGTCTGGCTGCTGCCCCTCAGCGCAAGGTCACTGAGGATGATCTTGTTGCTAAGGGCATGGTCCGTCTTGCCCGCAAGGAGGACCGCATGGAGGAGTACCTGCCGGCGAAGAAGACCGGCAAGAAGGGCGGCAACAAGAAGGCTGCCGAGGCGCCTAGCAACAAATTCTCCGTACCTCCGTCGGTGGTTGAGGACTGCGCTTTCATTGGTGTTGAGCCGCCCATGAGCGCTGCCGAGGTGCCTGGTGTCATGGAGAAGATCCGGGCTAAGCTGGAGCAGTGGAAGATTGACCAGCCGATTCAGACGCAGAAGGTGCGTTTTATTTTCTCTATCTGCAACTTTCACACAATTGCTAACCTACTCCAAAGAACATCGAAAAGGCCAAGGCTGAGATCGCCCGCCTCGAGGCCGAGGAGGACGCCGCTGCCGCCAAGGAGGCCGCTGCTAACGCCTCGGGCTCTGCTTCCGGCCGCAGCTCGCCTGCTAAGGAGCAGGAGGCTTCTGAGAAGAAAGAGGATGCTCCTGCTGAGGAGAAAGCAGAGGCCAACGGTGAGGAGAATAAGGGGGAGAACGCTTAAGGTACTGCAACATGGAGTAGTTGGGTTGAAAAGGTGTAGAAGATGAAAAAAAAATTTTGGTACTAGTGAAGACAGACATGATGATGACGGATGGGATAATTTTTGGCGGGATATTTTCTCTTTCTCTTATCTTTTTGGAAGGGAGGATTCGCTGTTTTTCTATATAGACATTTTATGTCCTTGATTGGGCTGTTGCCTTCGCTCTCTCCCCTTGTGGCTACTGATGATGATGATGATGATGATGATGATGATGATGGATGATGGCATGTGTATAAAAGAGCTTTTTATGTCATGAGTCTCTTTATCTCAAGGTGTGGAACTAGGGATGACGAAAGAGTAAACATTATGCTTTAATGAAGCACACAGTTTAATCTATTGGCTCTGGTAGAGTATCGTATTCCTATGTCAATTTATTTCACTTCCTCGTAGCATTCAAAATGGTGTTCCCGTCCGCCGTCAGTGATTGATAAACCAGGCCTTGCGAGATAGGATGAGCCAAGAAGCATATGGCTGGTTGAGTATAGTAATTTTGTTGTGAGCTATTTTCGGAGATACTTGAAGAGGGGCAACCATCAATAAGTCATTGCTATGTTTCGTTAATACTTAGCCAAGCCCATCTTGTTACTGACCACATCTCCCCATCAGCGATTTCTACTGAACAGGTGCAGAAAAATCAACATCCCGGACAATTTAGTTTTTGAGTAACCAAACAATGCATAGTACTTTGATATCATAGACAATCTGCTCAGGGCCAGCGGAAGAGGGGAAAAGAGCTGACTACGTATCTTCAAATTTCGCTATCCCCAAATCCAGCTTATACCAGCGTCTGTGTCAGTAGCATTAATTCTTGTAGAAAGCCTTCCAAGCTCTTGGCCCCGTCACTCTTCGGCCTTGTGAGCTCTTGGAATTACTTCCGAAGCCGTGTTACACATGCTGGTTGGATAGGTTGGTTTGCGTTGGGTAGTTCTCCCAACTTAATAGTTTCCAGCCCCTCTGCTTGGCACATCTGCACAGCCCCCTTGAGCAATTCTGGGAGGTATTGCCTCATTCCGCGTTCCTCCCTCCGTTGACAGAAGAACTAGTGGGCGGTTTCACGATCTCTGTTCCGGTTTTCCCATTCTTTTGGGATTAGGGGCTATAAGCTGTTTGCCACACTGGTTGCATACGTGGAATAAGCTCTCTATGTTAGCTCTCATGTTGACTTTCGTGTCTGTTTGGCATGTCTTACGGTGAAGAACGCTGTAACAGCCCCTTTTGTTTCACTTTGCAAATAAATGAAACTTTGGAAAAGAGGCTGAGCTCGTTTCCGGTGGCGTCCTAGGATAGAACCAGGCGCAGATGAAAGTTCCTCGTGACAAACAACGCTCTAGCTCTAGTCTTACGGAGATAGCCCAGTATCCATGGTCAGTCTGAGCCATAGAACATACATGGAAGAAGTGTTCCTAACATATCAGCCCGGGCTTGACAGTCCAGGAGTGAGTCGGATGAGGAGGGCTGCCCCACGTTGCTGCCACTGCCGGGCCGTCTCAGTGATTGTTGAGTTTTGGGTTTGATATCGTGAAATAGCCATCTCTGAAGATGAGTTTGTCAATAGGGAAAAAAAAACAGAAATACATAATAACCGCTCGAATAAGAACCTTAAATGTACTTCATAAAACAATTGTCTCTTACTGAGTTTCCAGCAAAATAAAAAAAAATAGACCTCCAACAATCTCAACAACTCCCACCAGCCGCTTACCACTCCCTCATCTTTACTCGCACTGTGTGGACCAACCTGCTAGTAGAGCCCCTAGGCTAAGCAAGAGTATCCGCGAAGGAGAACCGTGCGTGCCGCGCCGTTGTTCTCAAGCGGGCAGGTCGGGCACAGTGGGGAACCACAGTCTGCCAGCGGGCCCTGGGGCTTGGCCTGCTGGCTGGGGCCCGCCAGTCCTCCCGCTTCTCTGCCCATCCCAGCAGCAGCGCGAGAGATGGATGGAACTGCTTGGATGGGACCTTGCATTTGTCTCCTGCCTTCCCGATCCTCGACCTTCAGCCCGGTCCCCGACCCCGAGACAAGAACGCTTTTCAAAACCCTCCGCTTCCTCCGACATAATTCTCGCTGGTAGTAACAACACGAGATTCTAAAAACTTAACACAATCTCACCCAAGCAACACCAACAGAACCCCCTCGCGCGAGCAAGCGAATACTCCGCCTCCATTGGCGCCTGGAGAGATCCCCCATCCATTCCATCCATCCATCCGTCCTTCCTTCACCAACAACCCCGCTGAACCGCGCGCCTCTGTATATTGGGCTCACGACACCGTTGTCGAGAACGATTCTTCACACGAACAGCGCAACAACAATATTGGACTTTCCTGTCGTAGGAATAAATTTCCATAATTAGCAGTCATGGGCAATCTGTAAGTGCGCATGCACAGCAATAAGCAAGAAGTCTCGTCTACCGCGCTCACCGGTGTCCGTGGGTCCTGGCTCGTGGTCGGTGATGGCGTGGGAGAAGAGCGAAGAAGAGAGGACGGGCGATGAGGAAGTTGATGGTGTATGGTGTGGATGAAAGCAGAGAGCAGATCCCTCCAGACAGTTTGTTTAAGAGAAGGAGGGGGAATATCTCAACCGAAGACATTGTTCATGTTGTCCGGAACAAGGTTGGCTGACAAATCTCTCTGCGCAAACAGGCAATCAAAAAGCAAACTCCCAGACGACGTGCTCAAGGAGCTACAAAGAACAACCAACTTTGACAAGAAGGAGCTGCAGCAATGGTATAGGGGTGCGTGTCTTTTCTCTTCCAACCCCCACCCTCTCTATGCTTCGAATCGACTCTAACCTCCATCCAGGCTTCCTCAAAGACTGCCCCTCTGGCACCCTAACGAAGCAGGAATTCCAAAAGATCTATGCGCAGTTCTTCCCCTTCGGCGACCCGAGCACGTTCGCGGACTATGTCTTCAACGTCTTTGACACCGACAAGTCGGGCACCATCGACTTCAAGGAGTTCATCTGCGCACTCAGCGTCACCAGTCGCGGTAAGATGGAAGACAAGCTGGACTGGGCCTTCCAGCTGTACGACATCGACGGTGACGGGAAGATTAGCTACGACGAGATGTTGAAGATTGTGGAGGCGATTTACAAGATGGTTTGTCCCCTCCTTCCACTTGCTCTGTTTTACGGTGGAAGTTAAGAGAAGGTTGTGGCGGCTGATACACGCAAACAGGTTGGCTCGATGGTCAAGCTGCCGGAGGACGAAGACACCCCCGAAAAGCGCGTCAAGAAGATCTTCCGCATGATGGATAAGGACGAGAACGGCAGCCTCGACATCAACGAGTTTAAAGAAGGCAGCCAGCGGGATGCTACGATCGTCTCGGCTCTGTCCCTTTACGACGGTCTTGTCTAAGCTGCCAGTTGAATTCCCTGTTTTAGATGTTTAACCTCTTGCCCTTGTACATCTCCCTCTGGTCTCTTGGTCTGGTGTTGCTGAGCTCGTTGGTTGTCATTATCATCATCATTATCGTCGTCGTTGTCATTCATCATCGGCTTAACTTTCCGTTGTCCGTTTTTTTTTCTATTGCATGTTCTCTCGTCTTGTCTCATCTCTCTGTCTCATGGACGCTGGGTGCTTGGTGGGTTGGATGGTTGGTGGGCTGGGTCTGATGTTTGATGCAAATACGGGGCGCGACGGGGATAAATGTCTCCAGTTGCCACGGCACATTGTGTCGATTTGTTTGTCCCCGCGCCGTTTTATGGTATCTGCTAAGTATAGGTGATGTGTTCAACATTATTGAATGAAGATAAAGTACGTGATGGAATGCACAACAGGACACAGTTCCAGTTGTTTATATATATATATCTGTACCGAGTATCTCTTTTACTTCCCTGCTGTTCTCACGGGGCATATAGCCAGGGGACATCTTGATAGACTCTTCTGACCGCGTCAGTTCTATTTTTGGGCGTGGTGGTTATTGAGAAAACTGGGACGGTTTCGGACCCCAACTGCTCAGGTTCAAAGTCAATGGTTACCGAAAGACAGCTAAAAACTGAGAGAAGTGGGCTCTCTGGCCACCTTTCGAACCCCCTAGATGTGAAAGAAATGGGGTGGTTGAACGACAGGTGTCAAGTTTGCCTGGCATAGAAGTCTTTTAACTGCCAAACTGAATTTATTTGGGCGAAAGAACTGTTCAGCAACATGGTGATATCTTCTTGGTATTCCTGGCCCATTGTTTAAATGTTTCAAAGAGACGTGCAATTAGGGTCAAACAAAACATTGTTAGGAGAGTTGTCATAAAGCTACCGCGTCGAAGATGGAGGAGAGAGAACGGCGAGCCATGGAGAGGAGAGAGCTGAGTTGAGGAATCAAGAGATGACACTTACACAATGATGTCTCCAATATCAGTAAACACATGAACGATAACGTGAGCTTTCTCCGACTCCTGCCTCAGCAGGTAGATCTCTCCAGCTGCCTTGCCTCATCATCCGCTGTCAGGACTGCGATAGTGGTGATTCTTTCCTCTCTATCCGGACGGGATGGCGTATGAGATATGATATCTAAAAGAGTCCCTTTGCTGCTGATATTGCTGCTTAAATTTACAATTTACCGGGGATCCCGTTCGCCTGAGATATGAATTTAGAGATAGGCAAGGTAGGTAGGCAGGTAGATCACCTTTCCCCGAGCGGATGTATTATGAGGAAACGAGCTGACTCATGTTCCATGTAGATCATCAGGTCGAGGGGACTAGTTAACTCTTTAGGCCTCGCATATAGCTATGATCACCTGCAGGTGAGACAAATCTCTATCCTTGTTCTTACAAGGCACAAGAAGAAACGAGGCAAGTAGCTGTTTCATGCGTAGGTACACTATTACCCGAAGATCCCGAAGCCATGCCTATCAACAATAGTGATCACTGCGGTATTAACACCACACATCGTACTATAGCAAGCGAAAGAACAGATTCAAGATCAAACACCAGCACATCATCAAGCCCAAACTCGAGCCAAACTCCCCCAACATGTTGATCGCTCATGGAATTGGTTTGTCGATGTGGTATCACTAAGTAATCACTAACATCACAAGACACAAGAGATAGTTAAGCTTGATGTAGGAGGTATCAACCCTGAGTCAACTGCCATTGCCATGTCACACATGTCCCGTCATCCACCATCAGCAAAGGACCATCAACTCAAGCCGTTCGAGAACCATTAACTTTAGAATAGATTGTGTGTAGAAAAAAAAGCGATCAACGCGAGAAAAATACCGAAAAAAACCCGAACCATGCTCCCTAGAACAACCGATCCTGATTAACGATCGGAGAACCTGAGATACCTTGAATAGGACAAACACCAAAAACACAACCCAGAGGATATAGAGTCACATATAGTAATCACACGTCACCCCAAACCTGAGATAACAAACGACCTTTTTTGTACCGGGGGTTCACCAATGTTGCACGAATCTATTGGTCACCGTAGGCCTTGTCGACGAGCTTCTCGTACTTCTTGATGATGGCCCTGCGGTTGAGCTTTTGGGCAGCAGTCACGAGACCCTAAAATGATGTTAGCCACTGTTATATATAACATAGATGTAAAAAGGAAAACTTACGCTATCCGGAGTCCACTCATCGTCGACCATAACGACGCCATCGATGATCTCGATGCCAGAGAGGCCACCGTTGCGACCAGCGTTCTGCAGCTCCTTGAGGACGGCGGCCGAGACGGTCTCGTTGTTGACGAGCTCCTCAAGCGTGCCCTCAACGCCAATGGTAGCGGCAAGCCTCTTGAGAGCAGGCTCCGCCGGGATGATAATTGCGACGGGTTTCGTGTGTTTGATCGAGGCGTACACGCAGATGTTGCCGACCAGAGGCGACGAGCGGTAGATCGACTCGAGTTTCTCGAGAGCGATGTACTCGCCGTTGAGGGTCTTGACAAGGTTCTTCTTGCGGTCGATAATCTTGAGGTGACCGTTTTTGTCAAACTCGCCGATATCGCCAGTCTTGAACCAGCCGTCCTCGGTGATGGCTTCGGCGGTCTCGGCCTCGTTATCCCAGTAGTGCTTGAGAATTGTCGGGCCACGGAGCCAGATCTCACCCTGCGGGTTCGGCTCGTTCTCAACGAAGTAGCCGGCATCAGGGAAGGAGACCAGCTTGGCCTCGACTGAGGCAGTCATGGCACCGATGGACTCTGTGGTCCACTGGAGCGGGCTCATGAGGGTACCCATGGCCGTTGTCTCGGTCAAACCGTAGCCGATAATCATCGGGCAGATGGCCATGCTGATGAACTTCTGGGTCTCCGCCGAGACGGGACCACCAGCGCTCAGGCAGAGCTTCATGCGGCCACCCGTCGCCTCCTTGATCTTCTTAAAGACGATGGCGTCGAGCAGGCCGCTGCCGGGCAAGCCGTTCGCAAGGAGCTTCTCCTTGAGGCCCATGGCGCCCCAGAAGAGAGTCTTGACGAGCGGGCTGCCGGCGTTGACCTTGGCAATGATGCCCTTCTTGACCGTCTCCCAGACGGCGGGCACGCCGATCAGGACAGACGGCTTGAACTCGCGGATGTCGCCGTTACAGTTGCGGACCGAGGCATCCGAAAGGGTCTTGGGGTTGCCATAACCCAGCACAGCACCCCAGTAAATGGCAGCGTGTTCGAAAACGAACTCGAGAATGTGGGCAAGGGGCAGGTATGTGAGAAGGCCATCGCCAGGGCCGATCCACTTCTCGACGACAACGCTAGCACCAGCAACTGCGAAAGTTAAGTCAGCTTCTGCTTCTCCAGTGCTCATCAGACTGGGTAGGGAAAAAAAAATCTTACCTGCAGCAACAACGGCTCTATGTGTGACGGGCACACCCTTGGGGGTACCCGTAGAGCCAGAAGTGTACATGATGCAGCACAAGTCCTCGGGACTCGGAGGAACGTCATCGACGGGGTTCTCCTCGCCAAGCTTACGCAGGTCCTCAAAGCTCATAATCTCAATCTCGGGGTATTGAGACTTGAGGTTGTCGATGTGGACCTGGTTGACCTGGTGCTGGGAGTTCCAGATGATGGTCTTGATGGCCTTAGCATCGTTGAGGACGTTGGTGAGTGTGGGAAGGAGATGAGGATCGAGGAAGATAGCCTTAGCCTTAGTGGCGACCATCGAGTACCTCAGACCTTCCTCGCCCAGCGTGTCATAGGCTGTGACGATGGGCATGCTCTGGGAGCTAGCACCGTGGGCCATGGCGAGCCAGTTGGCGCTGGTCGCGGCATAGATGTGGACGCGGTCATCCTTCTGGAGGCCAATCTTGCGCAGGCCGGCGCCGAGCTGCTTGATGAGTACGGCATAGTCGTTGTAGCTGACGTACTCATAAGGGCTCATCTCGAAAAAGGTCCAGCTCTTTTCGACCTCGGTCTCTTGGCCATTGACGATCTTCTTGATCTTCTTCTTTTCTTGGTGTGTGCGCACCAGGCGGCGGGAGCCCATGCAGCGGGCATTGCCATACTTGGCTACGCTGGACTTGACCAGCTCATAGACGGTCCGGACGTCGTCTGAGATCTGGGTCTTGAGGCCGTCGACGGCGGCCGGATGCCTGCGGATGGTCGTGTGGCCATCCGGCGGCGGCGGCTGGTTCGGCACCTCGACGGAGAAGGGAGGCTTGGCCGACATGCGCGGCAGGAGATGCACTTGCTTAGCCATTGTGGGCGTCTGGATTGCAGAGGATGTTTAGAAAAATAGAGAAAGTTGACGAGGCGCTGTGGGGTATCTAGAGAGTCGAGAGAGTGCGTGGTGTGGCCGAACTGGAAGAGCAGAAAAACGCGAATCGGTGAGCTCCACAACCTGGTTTTCCTTGGTTGTTGGGGAGGGAGGGGGGGCGTCAAGCGAAAGGAGCGGCGCTAGACAAAGCAGAAAGCGGACGGATAGAGGCGTGGGGTTGTGGCCCAAGTCGCTTTTATATGGGAGATCCCGGCGTCTGGGGGCTGACTGTCAAAAAAGGTTGGGCTATCGGACGGATTAGATAATTGCTAATGCTGGCAGCGCGATCCGAGCGTAGTAAAAACACGGAGAAAGGGATGAGGATAGCCGACAGCAACTTGACGAAAGATTGAAGGTGGTAGAGGGATTGTAATGCAGAATGTACGTGTACGTTTACGTGTGTTCCTTGCAGCGTAGCTGATGGTGGCAGCTTGGAACCTGGAAGCTGTCCAGATATTTGAGAGCTGTGTGTTTGCTTTGATTGTGCGTTGGGATGAAAGGAGAAGAGGAAGACAGGACTCGAGCTCGGGCGTCTCTCGCAGGTGGGAGCTGGCCCTTTTTGGCTTCCACGAGTGGTGCTCTCAGGCTGCCCTCAATCGTCCAGTCGCTCCAGAGTCCAGGTCATCCTCCTCACGCCTGTCACGCCCTGGCTGCGCTTCCTCGGCGTTGCTGGGCGTTTCGGAGAACAGCCGCCTTTCACTTTCCACACCTTCCACAGTCTGTGTATTGCGGTGCTTGCCAGTGCCCCACCCCATCCACACCCCAACAAAGCCAGATGCAAATTGGGGAAAGTGCTATGGCCCCGACGTCCCAACCCTTGTTTTCTCCGCAGTTCTCCACCCAGCTCGGCCTGCCAGGCCTGCAACTTGTGTGGGCTTGGCTAGCCTCGCTGGGGCCTAGCCGCATCTTGGCGCGCTGGACCCTCGTTGGACCGTTCTTGGGGCTGTCTTGGGCTGTTCTGGGCGCTGTCGCCAGTGCTGCAAACCGTCAAATTCATCGAATCGGGGGCATGTCGATGCGGTTCATGGACCGGGGCACGACTGGCTCCAAGAAGTCCCAAGATCGGTGGCTCTGGCCACGACGACTCGCGGCGTGCCATGGCAGCCGTAGAGAGGCCAGGATGAGGCAGGAGGAGGAGGAAGGAGGAGAGCATCCCATCGTGACAAGGAGAGCGTGCCTGTCGTCGGCTGGTGCCTGGGGTGCATTGAAGTGCAGCGGGTGCTGGCCCACTGAGGTGCTTCTGTTGGAGGTTCTGGTGCCTGTTTGGGCACTCTGGCTGTTTGCGGGGCCGTGTTGCCCGCGGCGCACGCACTGTCCACCGTTTGTCTTTCTCCTGCCCCTCAACGAGCCGCCGCTCGCCGCCAAGCAACTGAGGTGCGCCACCCTAAAAGCGGGAAACTTTGGAACGGCAGCTCGTCAAGCGACTCGTCAAGAGCTCGTCAGACCGCCAAGCATGCTCGCAGAGCTCCCATTCCAACATTCCAGCACATCCAAGGTTTGTCAGTGGCCGCTGCTGGCCGTTAGGTCCATCAATTGATTGATCATTGATGAGTGGCTTCGCCGCACGTTGCATCGGACGCACCGCGAAAACACCAAAAATGCTGCCAAGTTGTAACATGTCGCTTATCTGCACACCCTGGATTCTGATGGATGCCCAGAGCAAAACATTCCCAGAACCCCAGCGTGCAAACGGAATTCCTACTGACCCTCCATTCATGCCACTCAAAAACATCTCAAATCGGCACACTCATCGACAGCTAGACACACACCACAACACCACGTAGCGTTGCAGCCATCATGATTCTGTCAATCTAACACGAAGGGTCTTCCCGAAAGCCCCGAGCGTTACATGGGCATGCCGCGGTGGAGAGACGAGCTGTCTCAAACAGCCATCGACCGTCCCTGGGAAATGATGGACCGGAAGGATGCATGACGCAGTATTTCGCAGGCCTCGGCTCCCAGGATCCAAGGCGGAAGCTACCAAATGCGATCGATGCAGGAGTATCAGGAGCATGCAACGGTATCGCGTCTATCTGGCTTTTTCTGGCGCGGTTGGCAGCACAAACAGACATGACAATCTTTGATGGGCATGATCGCGGCGGAGCCCTTTTGGGCCGTAACGGCGCAAGTTTTTTGGGGGGGGTAGAATTGGCATGTATGGGGATATCGCCGCGCCCAATGCTTGCCGCACACCGATCACCTCGGATGGAAGCTGTGCAGAATGCCAGATCGCCTCGGCCGGTAGCTAAAACTCACCAAGAGCAGCAGCTGCCCGTGAACGATCGCGTGGCACCGTGGATCGTGGGATCGTACTGGCCTCGTGGCTTCGGGACGAAAAGTCGAGCCTTAGATAGAACAGTTGCCGATATGTAGAACTGGCTGCAAGGCTAATATCGCGGGTGAGGAGATAATGGCACGACGAGATCTGTCGATGCACTGGACGGATCTGGCGGGGCGGAGCAACGGAAAAAAAGAAGTGGCCAACTTCCAAAAAGCCAAAAACACCGGCCCGGAGTTCGGCGCCACAAAAGCTTGGATGCACCCGGGATTGAACCGGGGACCTTTCACAGGGCATTGCTTCAAAGAAGTGAAAATGCGAAGCGAAAATCATACCACTAGACCATGCACCCAATGACAGCGATGGCGACCGACATGCAGCCTCCAAGAACATCAAGGTTGCAAAAGATCTGGGAAGCAAAAGTGGATGCACCCGGGATCGAACCGGGGACCTTTCACAATCGCATTCTCGAGGGGATGCGAAGCGAAAATCATACCACTAGACCATGCACCCAATCATCAATCGTGGTCTTTTTAAGACGGAATTATATGGTAACCACGTTATCGCTATCACCAAGCTTGCTGTCGTCGATAGCCTATAGGGTTCTTTTAAGTGCACATTTTTCCACTTGCCCTCAACTTCTTCTACTCCCACAACACGTTTTCATGATGTCTCATCTCTGTTACGCTTCTTTAGCACATCGCCAACCCACTCCCCAGCTCCCCGTATTGCCGAACCCATGACACTGGATGGTCTGCTGAGTGCGCTCGGCGCGCCTGTCGAATCTGTCGAAGAGGGTGAGTGAGAAAAGCAAAAGCAATCATCGAAAATGCGTTCACATTCACATTCTCATGCTATCCCATGATCTCAATCGGCTGGCAAGCGATGCCCGAGGCCCGAACATGCCCTACGCCATACCCTACACCATTCCCATGCTATGCCCTACTGCTACCTCGATCCCTACACACAACATACCCCCCTGATCAAATCCCCGCGCTCACCCCAGATCTCGCATCATGCAGCCCAGTGCCACTTGATCATTCTCGATTTCTCGCATCTCCATGTCTGTGTGCTTCCTGGCCTCTCAGTGGTTAGGCTGGGCACGCCCGATGTGCATCGGCCGAGTTTCCCGATCTAACACCTAATCGAGTTGACACAAACTGACGACTGCCCAACACCCCACACTTGGGTTCTCGAATTATGTAGGTAGCTAATGATAGTGATGAAACAGAAACATTTGAACTGTTTTCACAGGAACTGCCGTCACACAGCCTCGGCTTTGTCGACGCCCGTGCTGCCGTTGTCGACCTCACCATTGCCGGCCGCGACCTGACCATCCATCAGTCGCCCGCCGTGTTGGCGTCGAATCGCGCCGGCGGCACTACCGGAGCTGGTACGTCATCCCGGCTTTGCGCCGGGGCTATGTGTTTTGTGTGCTCATCTCCCTTTCTCCCTCTTCTGCTTTCCACGACCTACCCCAATTTCTTGGCTGGCCCAACCCCAGAGTCAGCATCAGCATCAGACCATCCTACTTTCTTTGGGCTCTGGCGGTCTTGTGTTGCTCCGTCCTCCGGGGCCCCGTCTCTGTGGCTATTCCTTACTGGGAATCTGCCCCTCCCCCGCATTCGCCCACATTCTCAACCAAACCAAACTATACACATCCCACCAGTCAGTTTGGGATTACCAGCTAGCTAACCAAGACTGTTCCTACCCCGGTCCCCCACATCCGTTGGGGACCGCTCCTAGCGTTCACCGACGGTAGCGTGTAAAGGGGGACAGGGCTCTCACTCACACGCCTCACATATCGCATCACTTTACTTCACACACCTACACACACTGTGTTGTCTGGTGTAGGTAGTGTATGATGGATGATGTATGTGGCGTGGCGTGTGATAAAAGAGAGCCCCACGGGGTAATGCCTCACTCTCCGCAAAAAAAAGTGGTCTGGAAAATCACCCCTCTCTTCGCCTCCTGGCTTGCGTCCCCCTCCAACATCCTTTTCCGCCCCAACGGCGGCCCCTTGGTACCGGCACGCGCACTCGTGCTCGAGCTCGGCTGCGGCGTGTCCGCCATCCTCGGCTGTGTGTTGGCGCATCGTGTGAGGGGGTGGTTGTTGACGGACCAAGCATATGTGGGAAGACTGGTTGAGACCAACATTGCTGCGAATGTGAGTTTGATCCAGGACCATGGACACGGAAATGGGGCTTCTGGGAAGAAGATAGGGCAGAGGGGCAAGCGTCAAGGTGGTGCGTCAACACGCTCCTCCTCTTCCTCATCCACTCCCTCCCGTTCAGAACGTCGCAGTTCCCCAGCCATATCAACTTCAGCTCCCAACCACAACACCGATCCCTCCTTCAAGGTGAAATTTCACCCCCTAGACTGGGAAACCGACACCCCGACCGCCTCCCTCGCATCGCCCTGGCACCGCCGCAGCTTCGATGCCGTCGTCGCATGCGACTGTGTCTACAACGAGGCTCTCGTCGACCCTTTCGTGAGTGCCTGCGCCGATGTCTGCCGGTTGAAAGAACAGGAACTCTCCGAGTCAGACCCAACCAGGTCCGACTCGGACTCAGACCCAGAGGCGGGATCGGACTCGGGAGGGGCTGAAAATGAAGGAGAGGGGTTCCGGGGAAAGGGGGGAAGAAAGCCGCCGTGTATTTGCGTCGTAGCGCAGCAGCTGCGCGATCCGAATGTTTTTGAGGCGTGGCTGGCACGGTTCCGACAGGATTTTCATACATGGCGGGTGCCGGATGCGTTAATGCATCCTGGTTTGAGGAGTAACTCTGGGTATGTGGTGCATGTGGGGGTTTTGAGGGAGGCGTTAGACATTTAGGAGGGGGGGCGGGGGGTGGGGATATAATTTGGGGAGTTAAAGGGGGTTAAAGGTGATACCATTATAGAAATATTGAAAACGTAAACCGTAAAACTATGGTATATAGAAAGGAGTACGATAGATCTAAATGGACTGCAATGACCAGAATTTCGGGGTATTATCTTCTGTCCTGCAATCAAGCGACCAACTCCCATCTCACAAGTACCGTCCACGCATACGCGCACCTTCCAAACCGGCTCGCAAACTCCTCCTTCGTCAACCCCCTCGCATCCCGTCCATCAAACATCGTCAGCCCAACCAACTCCACATTCTGCCCTGGTAACCCCAACTCTTGCACCGGCACATCGATAAAATACCACACGCCATCATACACGACCGGCCTTAAGTCCTTTCCGTCATACCTACCCAGCTTCAACAAAAACAACATCTGCTTCCCCCTTCCATGCTTCTCAGAGTCCCAATGCGGGCACACCTTCGCGAACAAGAACCTCATCAACCCTCCTGTAGATTGAGCCTTCACCTGTTCCTGCGACAGCGAGATATACTTCCCCCTCGGCACGAAACCTTCATCATCCAACCCTTCCCTCGCCGCATCTCCCATCACCTGCGCCTTTTCTGAGGCATCCCTCCCGCCGGGACCGAGAATATACTCCTCCCACGTCTTGGGCACACCAAACCAGTACTTCCCTTCCCGCTCGGGGAAATGCTTCCAGCCAAACCGCTCATTACTCATGGTAAACCATTCCGGACTAAACACCTGCTCGTACCGGTTCGTGCACGACTTGAAGTGCCCCGCGCCCCAGCACGCGTCGATGAGTTTGTATTCTCCCCCGTCAATCCGCACTACGTTCCATGCGTGTCCGGTGGGATCTTTGCGGGGGATGGGGTCGCCCGGGCGGATCTCGCTGAACCCGTAGCCCTTTCCGTGGCCGGTGATGACCTCGCATTCGAGGCCTGCTTGCCTTGCTATCGATTCGTAGACGCGGGCGAAGCCTTCGCAGACAGCTTTACCGGAGGCGATCGTCTGCTGGGGAGTAAGGCCGTACTGGACGGTGTGGTTGAGGAAATTGTGCACGTCGTAGACGATGTTATGATGACACCACGTAAATATTGCCCGCGCCTTGTCTGTCAGCGACGGCAGCGGATCACACAGCACATGCGCGAGGTGGACGATGGGATCGACATGCGGGGGGATGGAGGAGGTCGGGTTTGCGGCGGCGAGGGCATCGGGGAGGGTGAAATCGCGGCAAATCAGGCATGAGGATGCTACTCCGGGGCGGTTTGATGGGAGGGGAGGGCTGTCTGCTGAGGGTCGACTGGCAAGCGGGAGGGGAGGGAGTTCTGCTGAGGGTCTGCTGGCGAGAGGGATGGGGGGCGGTTCTGTGGAGGCTGGTTTTTGGATGGGGAACTTGCGCCCTGAGCTGAGGCCGCACTCAAGGGCTGATTTGAAGAGGGGACGTCTCGCGGGCAGAGTTGGTGCTGAAGCCGATTCTTGCGGCTGGGTTGTTGGAGAGGGATGCCCGTTTCTCGACGGTAAAGGAGGCGGCTGCACTGGCTTCATAGAGTCCGTAGAGCGTCGCGGCGGGAGAGGCGGCGTTGTATGTGCCTTTTGCTGTTCAGCTGCCTCTTGTTCCTTTGCCTTGGCTTCCAGTTCCCGTCTGCTAGGGGGAAGAGGAGGGAGCCTCGCTTGGTCGAGAGTGGGTGCCAATACACGTGGCCTTTGCTCAGGTGTCTCGCTCTCTTTCGATTTGGCTTCTGATGTTCGTTTAGGTGGGAGAGGAGGGATTTTGGACTGGTCGAAGCGGGGAGGGAGCCGCCGTGGTGGTTCGTGTGTTGTCGAGTGTGTCGAGTTCAGGGAGAAAGAGGATACGGCTGAGACCAGCGAGACATCAGAGGCGTTTGAACCTTTCCGGGGAGGTAGACTCTGGGGAGTATGCTGTTGCGTGTTCCGTGCTGGCAACGGGGGAGGACGGCCTGGGGATGGGGCAGATGGCAACTGACTGTCCTCATGGTCGACACTTCGCCGTGGCAGAGGCGGTGGCTGTCTTTCTGTAGACACGCGCGTCGGCTGTGGAGGGAGCGGTGGTGGCTTTACGGAAGAGGATGGCTGCGTTGATGTCGATGTTGTCGTCGTCTCTGTGGCAGCACGAGCGACAGGTCGAGGAGGGGGAGGGGGAGGGCGTTTGCCAGATGGGACAGGGGCATGGAAATTCTTTTGTTGGTTCAAAGCCGCAATGCGCTCGGCAAGAGTAGTAAAGTGAGGTCCATCTGCGTCGCCCATCTTTCTTATAATCTCTCTCAGCGTCGAGTGATCGTGTGGTGTCTAGAGTCAAGCTGCTTTATCTTAAACCAATTGCTGGTCGCAGAGAAGCCCTCTCAGTGGCAGCGTTAAAGTTCAGGAATTCAGCTGGACGCAGCCTGTCATTAGCATTACACAGGAGATAAGAGGAAGTATGGATATCGAAGAAATCCAAAGAGATAGGAAAGTGACGGTAATGTAGGATGTGAGGAAGGAGATGGTAAGATCCAGCCACCAGGGTTAGGTGAGGAACTTGAAGAGGAAGAGCTGGGGGCCGAGATCAGCGGTTCACCGAGGCCCACAAAACAGGTAACCGGAGCAAAGTAAACAAGCGATATCCCGTATCTGCCGTTTGTGACTTAGAGAAAAGTAATTCAACAGCAAAGCACCTTGTCCATGAATTGACTGCCAAAATCTTACTTGCATGAGTTTACAAGTTGATAGTGCGATGTCTAGGACCCAAAGAGGTTGGGGGGGGGGGTCCGTTGACGATCCATAAGGCATAACACTACCCCACTTCAACATGCCACAGACGGGGTTGTCAGGAACGTCGTTTGAAACGAGGGTTACAATTACACAGAGAGAGAGCTGCTAAATGATGTGTAAGGTGGAAGATCATAGCCTAAAAGTTAGAGTTCATTGAAAGTAAACTTATTACTGTCAGCGAAAGGGATTAAAACAGAGACTCAGTTTGAGAATTGCCATGCACCCATGACTACAGACACATGTCCAGAAGTTGTCATCAGAATCTCTTCCATTGACAGTAGTCTCTGATCATCTACGTGTCGTAGAACGTCGGACGGTACTCATACAACCAGGTCAGTGCGGGTAATCCCGACTGGAATGTCTGTACCATGGGCTGGACCCTGACCAGCTCTCTGGTTCCTGTGGACACCTTGCTCTCAACCGGTTGTTCGAGCTGTAACTCGGGGTCTGTGTTGGTGCGTAGAGTAACATCGGCTCGTTTAGGTGTGCCTGGTTATGAACACAATCAGAACATACAATTCAATATCATCACTAGCTTTTAATGAGTATCAAGTCTGGGAGTTGACTCTGTCAGCCCCTCCAACATACAGATAATCATCTTCCACATCATTATTCCAATGTGCTGTAACATGCAAGTAATTGACACAAAAATACAAGCGGGTCCGGATCAGCTCCGGATACTCTTGTGGGCTTGGCACGCTAACACCTCCACAGCAGACCAGCGCTAACAGCGGTTACAAGGTCCCCTGCATGCCCCCCCCAACGTCGTTGTGCAGCCCAGTAGTCGCTCAGCCAGGACAGCTTTCCTCTAATATCTTCATGATATCCTACTCTCTCTTTACATGATTTTCATCTCAAGGGCGAGGTGTGTACATAGCATATGTCTGTCAAACCAAATATCTTTTTTTTAATTCTGGATCGTGACTTGAAGAAACAAAAAAAAAAGGCTCGCTTTGACGGACTCAACGAATAAGGACCAGACTTTCCTCCCGCCCTACTTCAAGCTGTTAGTTCCGTCATCAGCCCATTCAAGGCTGCGGCCAGTGAGCTGCAAGGCTTCTCTGCTTGAGGCGGCTGTTTGAGGCGTGTGTGTCCGTCTGCGACTGCAAACCCCACGTTTGGATGAAACACCGCATCGGTGCATCTTGGGCTGTGTTCTGGAGCAAGAATGCCGTTGATATTCCTCTGATCGCTGCACTCTGTTTTCTCCTCTGCCGCAAACACTTGGGAACCGACTCTAATTTCCCCTCTTCTGACGTACCCCCTTGCTTCACTTCCTTCTTGACAACACTTCGCAAAACCCATCCACATCCACGCCTGACTTACCCTTGAGGGAAACCATGGCTTTATCCTCCTCCTCGCGAGCACCGAAACGCCCGCTACACTTCCTTGACCTCCCCAGCGAGGTCCAGCGCGAGATCATCAGCCACTGCGACTCGAGGGACCTAATATGTGTCGCCCTGGTCTCGCGACACTTCCGCGAGCTCGCTGCCGCCGAGCTGTACCGCACATTCGCCATCACCATCCCTCACCCCGATGACCCGGGGCCCGAGTGCACCATCGACCCCTTGGCGGGAGGTCTGGATACCTTGGTGACTAGCAGCTACAATTATGCCCAGTATTTGCGGACGTTTGTTCTGGATACGCCGCATGTCGGGGAGAAGGCCGAGAAGGCCGTTGCGCCGTACATGGCGACGGTGACGTGTGGCAAATTTATGAATACGCTGCTGCTGCTGGCTTTGCGGAATGCGCGCGCGCTGGAGACTTTCAAGTGAGTGACCTTGTAAGTCTATGTCGCCTAAATGCTAACACCTACAGATGGAACGTCCGCATTGAGCTGAGCCGTCCGGTATATAGAGAACTGCACCGCATTCCCACACTGGCTCATCTCCATATCCGCCTGCAGGCAGGCCCATCGCAATATGAGACGCCGCCTCCGTTGCCTCTGCCCTCTCTCAATGACTCCCAAGGCTTTCCCCCAAGTAATCCTCCCCCCTTCCCCAACATCCCTGCCATTCCCAACTTCCCGCCCCTCTCCTTTGTGTCAGCGCCCTCCGGTGGGCCCCCACCAGCTCATACCATCTTTGCCTATGCCCCCCCCCTCATGGGCCCCCTCCCCCACCGCCTGCGCCTAAGAAGGATCACCCGAAGGCCCCGAAGAAGGCTCCTTCAAGAAATGAGCCGCCGACGTTTTCTGGGTTCAAGAAGTTAAAGAGTCTGGCCGTGCTGGATATCGATAACCTCGACATCATCCCTGAGATCCAGGCTTGTGTCAGGAACTGCGCTTCCACGCTCACCAAGCTGAAGCTATCCTTCTCAGATGCACTAGCATCCCAGTCCCGCAAGCCTGTGGCTGAAAACTCGCCATACGACTCCTCCGACACCGAGTCCGAAGAAGAGGGCTTCTTCCAGAATTCTAACAATGCCAACAGCGCAGCTGCCAAGATGGCCGGGGCATTGGAAGAAAAGAAAGCCCAGGATGCTGTCCTCGCGACAATCTTTGACGTCGAGCCTTTACCAGATGAGAAGCCAGCTAAGAAATCACAGAAGCGTGAAAAGGATGGCGTGGGATCGTCAAAGGGGAAGGACAAGACAAAGCCGGACATGGCTGAGTTTTTGAAGAATGCTATGGCAAAGTATGTGGAGAAGGTGAATGGGTCGGGAGATGTGGCAATTCCGCAGGAGGTGTTGGATATGTTGGGGAAGGCGGCAAAGAAGTTCATGGAGGAGGTTAAAGAGGGGAAAAATGAGGAGGATAAGGACGAGGCTGAGTCTTCGAAGGATACATCGTCAAAGGACTCTGATAGCTCCAGCAAAAAGGCTCCGACGTCCAACATCAAAAAGAAACCCGACATCGACCCCGACGACATCGACATTACTGCCCCGGACGACGAACTCGACCTCGACTCTGAACATCCCGCCAACGACGACCTCCCCCCGGAACCCTCAGCCTCCGAACCCTCCTCATCCCATACTAGCCCCTCTAAACCCCAAGATCCCTGCCTAACCCAAGCCATAGCTACCCAAAGAGAAACTTACCGCCTCCTCGCCCAAGAACTCTCCACCGTCGAATCCCAGATTCGTCTCCTCACCTCTGACATCTCCCGCTGGCGCGCAAACACCTCTCTCGTACCCCCGCAAACCCTTGCCGATGCCGAGAAACGCCTGCAGGGTTTCAATGACAGCGTCAAAGTTATCAAGGCTGAGTTGGAGGCTTGCGAGAAGAGGTTGGTCACTCTCCAGGCCCAGGGAATGGATGGGCAGGAGAAAGGAAGGGAGAAGGAGAAGGAGAAGATGAGTGTTTATCTTCGGACAACAAGAGGCTTGGCATTAAAGTCCTTGGGTATCTCGCTCATCCCAACTCGGGCATCAGTCTTATCCAGGGCAGTCGACTTGCGCTCGCTACACAAGTTAACCCTCCTAAACGTGGGCAACCAAGCGCCCATCTGGGCTCTCTTGCAACGTGAAAACCGCGAAGCGCCTCTGCCCCTCCGCAAGATCTTCACCGACAACGTGTCGCCCGTCTTTCTGGGGTTTCTCTCAGAGCTGGAGGCGGTCGAGGAGTTGTTCATGTTGGAGAGAGCGCCCAGCTGGAAGCCCGCGAGTTTGGCGCCGAAAACGACGGTCGGCATAGGGCAGATTAGACGGCTTGTGCTGAGGAGGCATGTCGGCACGCTGAGGAGGCTGATGATCAGAAATGCGGCGGATACGGAGTGGGATGTGGATGAGAAGACGGTCGTATTGTTGTGTAGGGGCGGGAGGAGACTTGAGGAGTTGGCGGTTAAGATGAGTGTTGGGGCTATGGTAGGCCTTCCACTAGCTGTTCTTTTCGCATTTGAGACTTGATGCTGACGCTGAGTAGCACACCTTCCTCCAGAATATCGCCGGCCTGGTCTCCCTTCGGGCGCTGCATGTCATCGACCTCCGAAGCGACGACACCTGCATGTGGGCTATGCGCGAGACGAGGCGATTCCTGATCGACAACGTCGCGCATCATCCGCATCTGAAACTGGAGTATGTCGCGATTGATGATAGCAATTTTGTCGATCGGCTGGTGAGGAAGCCGAGGAGGCCCCAGCGGCAGCAGCAACAGGTTGAAGGCAGCGATAGCAAGGGGAAGGGTATGAGGGGTAATAATATGGTTAACCGGGAAGATAATCCCAAGGGAAAGGGTAAGGACGTTGCTGCCACGGGGATGGTGAACGGAGACAGTAAAAGCAAGGGCAAGGGGAAGGAAAAGGCGGTGAATGGAAGCCTCAGTGATGAGGATGAGTTTGTTGAGAATCTGCTTAACAATATGGGCTATCCTTTCTCCTCCTCCTCTTCCTCCTCCTCCTCCTCCTCCTCCTCCTCCTCCTCCTCCAGCAAGAACAACGACAACGCCAAAGCTTCCTCGTCGTCCTCATCCGGCACGACTTCCTCTTCTTCCACAAACAACACAGCAAACGACTTTGACGTCGACGATATCAGCTCCGACTCTGAGACCGACGCCTCTTCATCCTCATCCACTTCATCCTCTTCCTCCTCATCAACTTCAGACTCGGATTCTGACTCCAACTTAACCTTGGACTCAGACAACTCCGGTCCCGCAAACAACGCCAACAATACCAATAAGAAGGTCAAGAAAAAGAAGAAGGCGAGTGGGTACGGGCAGAAGATTACAGTGATTGAGGGGCTGAGAGTGTACCAGGTGGAGGATGTGAAGATCTTTAGGATGGCTAATATATGGGGGAGGTTGTGAACTTGGCTGGGGTGGACATTTCCCATCCTTCAAGGAGGAACGGTTGGGGGGTTGGGGTTCACTGGGAGTGGTGATGGGAACTGAGGAGCTTAATCTCCTTTCATGGGCGAGAGAAGTATCCAGGTGTGTTCGCAGAGGAAGATCGGCTGAATCTGGGTTGGGCTGGACAGGCAGGTTATCTAGGGGTGTTTACCCACTAATACCTATCTATGAGCAATGCATGTGTGTGTATGTAAGGTCTTGTTTCTACGATTCAGGATTATTTCGGAATTTTGCTTACGGGCTTTTACAGAGTTAGGTGGATCCTAGAACCGGTTAATGGGATGTCGTGTGTCTATTCGTTTGTGATCTAAGCTAGTTAGACGTGTTTGGACTAAATACCCCTATGCGTGTATATGGCTCTATCTATATCGCGCGTTGTGGGTTCCTCATGAGCCATATATGGCAGTCTTTTCCCTATCCCGGACCACAACTTCCCGTATTCCTATTCTTTCCCTTCTGCTCTATCCCACTGTTAAAGGCACCCAGGTAACAAGCTAATTTCCAGCTCGAGCTGGGCAAATGTTTGAAGAATGTCCCTCATCGAGGGAAAGGGATCTGCTAATAGGACTCCTATTTCCCATGGAAACGGCTCCTGGGGTTCTTGTTGGACATGGAATACGTCAGCCGGTAGCCCAGCAATGATCCGTAGTCCATTCGTCATATGTGTGGCAACTACCTCATGGTTGCCGCGTAGTGTTTCGATAAATATGAAAGCCAGACAGCAGAGAAGTGTTATCCTTACACCCTGAACACCTTCTCCATCTTGGTAGCGCTGATACTGCTGTAGCCGTCCGATAGACTTGTTATACTGTCTCAGGACGAACAGTTCAAGCTCTTCTCTTGTCAACGCCTGTACCACGCCCGCTGCAGAGGAGTCCTTATGCGGTTGGCTTGGACATCGGGAGAGGTCTAATGCTGCTTATAGTGCGACGACAGCGTGCCATATTGCTGCTTCGTCGTCCCTGTTCGTGCCATCGCAATTTCGATTTCGGGCCAGCAGACAGGAGGCTGTGCGGTTCCATAATGCTGTCGTGTTTCGCAAGTATGAGACAGCCTCTTCGCTGGTTGAGGCTTGGAGCCAGTTCAAGAGAAACCGGCGCTCGATAGACGTTTCGGGATCCTCGTCTCTATCCCCCGTGCTGTGGTAGTCGTGGTGATAGTATGCCGTATCCCCCGACAAACTCGCCGTAACCGAGACCATTGTAGGAGCAATTTCCATCGACAAAGCGGGAATAGTGAGCAATTGTGTGTCCAAACTTGCACTGACAGCTTCAGTCCATGGAACCCCTCTCAATGCTTCACCCCACTGACATCCCTTCACAACTTCTGTCGTACTCATATCTGCCACTGCTTCTCGCCTTGGAAAAAGTTGCGGTTGCTGTAGTAATTGCCGCTGCGCCATCGCTGGTGACAGCTCTGGCGTTCTATTCTGCCGCTGACTCTGGCGCTCACGCTTCTTCTGCTGGTAGTATCTCTCTACCGCTGCCGGATCATACCCGTCACAGATGCGTCCTGTTGAGGTGCAGCGTACGCAGGCTGGTTTTACTTCGTCACATTTGACCCGACGGATTCTGAATTTGGGAGGATGGTTAGCTAACTAAACGATTGGCTTGGCTATGGTAGTCCAGTTATCTGAAGAACCGCGGATGGAGCATAGGAGACTCACTTGCTGGTTGATGGTAGAGTCAGCTACTAGGACCAGAAAACCTGGACAATTTGAACAGCAAAGTTTATCTACTTACCATGTGATACACCCCGTCCGGACCTTGGGCTTGCTGGCTCGGGTCCTCTTCGTGGGGGCTTCTGTTTGTGTTGTTGACGATGGTGAGGGAGTTGGGATGGTAGTTATGCTTGTTGGCGAGGCGCCAGTGCTAGAGCGTGTTGAGTTCATGGTGCTTGTCTTCAACGGGAAGCTCACTTAGAGGATGGGTCAGCAAGTTGACGTACAAAAACAATCATAAAGAATAGTCTCTATGGTCCCTTAGTCGATGATATACTTCATGCTGTCTAGTCGGGCAGCCAGACGTTATAACCCATCCATCTCCCCTCTTAGTAATAGAGTATCAGTAAGGCTCTGCAGATGAGGAAGGAAAAAAAGGGGATCTTGACTAGCACGATGCCAACTGCGCCCTACCATCACAGCCATATCTGTCACTATTTTTTTTCCCCCATCATATCACCACATCCCTTGACTTGACTGTCTTATATACGGCATATGTCGTTGACTGCTTTGCTCCGCCGCAATGGTAGTGCCATGTCTTGCTTGCCTAAGTTCAAACCTGTCATAACCTTAACTTGTGGCTTCGCCCCTGGCTGCTGCAGCTCGACTGATCAATGGGAGATCGGCCCGTAGGGCCTGGACTAACGCCGGTAAAACGGCCACTCGGGGGCAAAGGTGATTTGGAATAGCTTCGAGAGGGCAGAAGATTACTGGAGCAGGCAGGTATGTCAATTACCTGGCCTCTGGACACGAAACTGCCAAACGGCTCTCTTACAGGATGGGCCCGATCTCAACAACCCGTCACAGTTCCATGATCATCATGAGGATCACATTCCTCATCAACCTATCAGCACAAAGGTAGAATCAGTCCCGGTCACGGCCACGGCAGTTCCCTCCCTTCGGCGGCGGCCCTCCCGAACCAGTCGTGTAGAGAAAGGGGCAAAGCCACCGCCACGACAACTGGGAATTTAACAATAACCGACTATGACGGCGTCTCTTCCGTGGTTATAGGTCCCTCCCGATGGAATCGGTCAGCCTCTTTGGGGCAACTCTACCATATCCGTAACCCGGACATCTTCTATGTGGCCTTCTAGACTTCCCTGCTTCCGGGTTAAGGCGCTGTTCCCGATCACTGGGTACTGAAATACCATCCAATTGGGCTCTTACTAAGCCAGCTTTGCTGCGCTCTGGTTTTGCCAGTTGCATGCTAATAATAGGCTCAAAAATCTCGCTGCCTAAAGCCGTTGCTGAGCAACAGTTTGTCAGCACTAGGGTAGCTCAAAGCTACGATTTTTAATTAGGAGAGAGGCTCGGTGGACGAAAAAGGAAGAGATGCAAATAGTTCCAAGCCCCAATTCAGGACTTGTTAGAGTAAAATGTATTCTCGAGACAGAGATGGCAAAAAATGAAAAAAAAAAAAACAGGTCTGTGGTTAGGTAAACATCGTGCACGGGTTGGGTCGAGAGATGCTTTCCACAGTGTTGTGACTGGCTGGGCCTGGTGTTGCTTACTCATGACCTTACCAGAGATTGGTCATATACTTTCTACCTACTTATTTGCATGATTGGCTAAGCCTGATGAGTATCCAGTTCCTTAACCATGTCAATTTCATTACCCAGAATACAGTTCAATGACCCCAAGCTGCGTTGATAACTCTATCAAAGGACTTGGAACAGAAAAAAAGGGGCTGCTTGTTTACTGGTCACCCCTTCATTTCCCAACACCACTCGGGATCAATTACCCCAGTAATAAATGGGGAGTCATTCTTTTCGAACCCAAAAGCCGAAAAAAAAAAGTTTTATTTCTTTTCTTTTTATTTCCCTCGCACATCAGCAAGGCAATAACGTAACATAGTATGTATGCACCTTATCGACAACCAAGATCAAACAGCTGCTCAGGCAGCACCACTGCTTTAAAAGTGAAATCAAGACTCGCACCTGAAATTAAACATCCCCCAACCGGCTATTAATCTCAAATATCTCAACAAAGAAATTCAAGACAAGGCATCCATTCGCCCACATTCCCCCCATTCCCCCCCCCCCAAAGTAAATATTTAGGTATCATGACAACCCACTCCCAAAACACAAACACTTTTTTTTTTTTTTTTAGGTTAGTTAGTTAGAATCTTTACCACTCCAATGGCTCAGTCTTCACATCCCCCCTATTCGTCTTGGGCACCGGCACCGCCTTAACGGCAAGCTTGCCGCCCTGCCCCTTCCTCCTCAGGTACCCCGCACCATTCAACCAAGGCCACTCCCTCTCCATGCGCCGCTCATACTCGGCAATCTTATCCTCGAGCTGCATGGTCAGGCCGATATCATCGAGACCGTTGACGAGGCAATGCTTGCGGAACTCCTCGACGTCAAACGCGCACAGCACGTTACCATCCTGGTCCTTGATCAGCTGGTTCGGCAGGTCAACTTCGATTTCCCTGCCGGCGACGGCCTCGGCATGAATACGCTCCAGCTCGGCCTGGTTCTTGATCGCGATGGGGAGCATGCCGTTCTTGAAAGAGTTGTTGAAGAAGATGTCGGCGAACGAGGGGGCAATGATGCACTTGACACCAAAATCGTTCAGCGCCCAGGGCGCGTGCTCACGCGAGGAGCCGCAGCCAAAGTTGGGACCCGTGCAGACGATGATCTTCGCCCTACGGTACGGCTCCTTATTAAGCACGAAATCGGGGTTCTCGACGCCGGGCTCGAGGTAGCGCCACTCGTAAAAGAGGGCGGAGCCGAGACCCGTGCGCTTGATGGTCTTGAGGAACTGCTTGGGGATGATGGCGTCCGTGTCGATGTTGGGGCGCTCCATCGGAGCAGCAATGCCCTTGAGGATGGTGAACTTGGGCACACCACCAGCACCACCGACATTGTGGAGCACAGTGGTGTTGACCTGAGGAGAGGAGTCCTCGGGCTGGTCGGCGAGGTGCTCCTTCTCGGCGTCGTCGGTCTCGATGCGCTCATCGGCGTGAGCCGGCTCGGCGGCCGGAGCGGCAGGCTCAGGGGCAATGGCGGCCTCGATGTGGGGGCTGCCCTTGAACTGGGCCAGCTTGCGCACATCGGCCAGCTTGCCGACGATAGCCGCAGCAGCCGCCATGACGGGCGACATGAGGTGAGTGCGGCCCTGGGCGCCCTGGCGGCCCTCGAAATTGCGGTTGCTGGTCGAGGCGCAGCGCTCCTTGGGAGAGAGAATGTCTGGGTTCATGCCCAAGCACATGCTGCAGCCGGCCTCGCGCCACTCGAAACCGGCGTCGAGGAAGATCTTGTCGAGACCTTCGCGCTCGGCCTGCTCCTTGACGAGACCGGAGCCTGGCACAATCATGGCGCGCTTCACGTTAGGAGCGACCTTGCGGCCCTTGACGACGGCGGCAGCCGCGCGCAGATCCTCGATACGAGAGTTGGTGCAGGAGCCGATGAAGACCTTGTCAATAGGAATCTCCTCCATCGGAGTGCCGGGCTGAAGACCCATGTACTCGAGCATGCGGCGAGCAGCCGCCCTCTTGCCCTCGGGCAGGGACTCGGGGTCGGGGACGCAGCCGGTGATAGGGACGACGTCCTCGGGGCTGGTACCCCAGGTAACGGTCGGGACGATATCCTTGGCATCGATGAAGACATCGATGTCGTACTTCGCGTCGGGGTCCGACTTCAGGGTGCTCCAGTAGGCGACAGCACGGTTCCACTCCTCCGAACCATACTTGGGGGCCAGGGGCCGGCCCTTGAGGTACTCGAAGGTCTTCTCGTCAGGGGCGACCATGCCGGCACGGGCGCCGGCCTCGATGGACATGTTACAGATTGACATGCGGGCCTCCATGCTGAGGTCGCGGATGACGGAACCGCAGAACTCGATAACAGCACCAGTACCGCCGGCGGTACCGATCTTGCCGATGACGTGCAGGATGACGTCCTTGGAGCTGACGCCGGGGGCCAGCTCGCCGTCGACCTGTATCCTCATGTTCTTGGAGCGCTTGGTGATGAGGGTCTGTGTGGCGAGGACATGCTCGACCTCGCTGGTGCCGATGCCGAAGGCGAGAGCACCGAAGGCGCCATGGGTCGACGTGTGGCTGTCGCCGCACACGACGGTGGTACCGGGGAGGGTGAAGCCCTGCTCGGGACCGATGACGTGCACGATACCCTGGCGCTTGTCGCTCAGGCCAAAGTATGTGATGCCGAACTTCTTGACATTTTCCTCAAGCGTCACGCATTGTGTCCGCGAGTCTTCCTCCTGGATGAAGCTGGCAATGTCTTTGAGCGTCTTGCGGGAGGTGGTTGGGACGTTCTGGAAAGTCAGCATCATCATCATCATCATCATCATCATCATCTTTGTTACTTAAGACTGTGTAAGTGACTAAGTGACTTACATGGTCGGTCGTGGCAAGGGTGCAATCCGGTCTCCGGACCTTGCGGCCAGCAACCTCGAGGCCCTCGAAGGCTTGCTGCAGGACGTCAGCACATGTACAAAAATGCAAGCACAGGAAAGATCGCACAACATGTCACTCAGCGTGAGTGTGCGTGAAAGTGCAAGGTTACGCACCGGCGATGTGACTTCGTGCACTAAATGGCGGTCGATGTAGAGCAGAATGGTGCCGTCGAGCTTCTCATCGACAATATGGGCCTGGAAGACCTTGTCGTAGAGCGTCTGCGGCGTTCTCTCGGCGGCGGGCATTTTGGATGTGGTGATGACGTGTGGTGTTGTGATGGGTATCAATCAAAGTAGGGCAAAGTCTCTTATTCGAAAATTGTCGCCGTGAGGCGATCAACGGATACACAGGCGATGGTGAGGTAGGTATGAATTAGAGAGCAGAGAGGCAAAAGGTGTAATATGTGTGTTGGATCGGGTTCGGGTTGGGTAGTTGCAATGGCTGCTGTCTCCTCCAGGCTTCTTACTCGAGCAGCCTCTATTTATGACATCCAGCGGCAGCGTGGCAAATGGTTCAGAAAAGCAAGCCTCGATTCACTCGAAACAGCCATCTCATAAAAAGACCTCCAGGTGCACATACTTGCCCGTTGCTCCGTCACTTATAACACCTGCACGGCGCAAAGCTCGCTCTCTCTCTCATCCGATGATAGCATTCGCCGGCACGCCGATGTTCGGAGCCAGCCGTGGTGACTCCGGTCCACGGAATGCGGGGTGGCCATCGAATTGCCAAAGCCTGTGATATCATTGGCTGCCCAGCTCTCAGCGGGTCATGGTGGGGTAGACAGGGGCAGGGGGGTGGCGGGGCACGTCAGACAAGGCCGCGCTCGTGGCAGTCGGCGTGGCCTTCGATGGGCAGATGGAAGTTGTTGAAACGGGCAACTGCTGCCATCTCCATGTTCCTGCCGCTGCTGTAAGGGGTTGTCGGGAAGATGCACGTGAACGGAAAAGTTTTGATGAATTGAGGTTGAGTGTAGTGTGCGTAGGTAGCGAGCAATTATGAAGAAATTCTTACCTGGAGTTCGAGCTGTCGTCACAGTCTCCAGAGCAGGCCCCCATGGTCCGGCAAAGCTACGATGAGGGGCCGAGACAGCAACATCCTGGCCGATCTGCCCCGGTTTCCGCTGGTTCCAGGTCGTCATGTTCAACGTTTTTCCAACAGAACCCTCAGAAAAAAAAGAAAGAAAATTTCTGCCCATAATTCCGCCTCGTAATGGCCAAATGACTCTTTAACCTACACCGGCGCCAGATGGAGCAATCTCGGATGGCCCGGTCTCAGAAACATAATTTTTTTGTTTCTATCTCCATGACGTGGAACGCTTTTTTTTTTTCCTCTCCAAAACCCGATCCGCGAGACCATTCAAACCATGGAAGCTTCATGACATCCTCGGCCTCGGTCGATGACGGTAAGGTCGCCAAGAAACCCAGAACCCCTCCATGGAGCATTCCAAGCCTGGCCCAGTCAGGGGGGTGGGGGGAAGACCGAATCACCTGCCGTCCCGTACTCTTAAGACCCAAAGTCCGCTGTTCGCCGGCAGGCTGTCTACGTCCGATCCACCCGCAACCAAGAGATCCACATCCCCCGATCCTTCCGTGGTACCGTGCCCATTGGCCATTCGCGCGTCGTGACGCTGGCTTGGAGCCGGCCGGCTTTATCGCATCGCATCCAACTGGACGGCGGTAGTTGATGGTGTTATTTCAGGGTTGGTTTGATATTTTGGGTTGTCGATCCGATGTTGAGGATATCCCAAGTTCTCGGTTCTTTGTAGAGTAGGCGCTGTGTGACTTCCTCCATCTCCAGGCTCCGATAATCCGTTCTCGTAGTCACAAGAGTCAAATAGTCCTTCCCCAGGCTTGGCAAGACTGGACCCCTTAGGGAACCCTTCCCGGGGACGCCATCGGACCGCAGATCTCATCAATCGGAGCCCTGCCTGCCGCAGTTCGATCCAAGAGCGCTGGGACTGATGTCGTCACGGCTGATCGGCAACCGGGGGACGGGTGTTTACCTACTTTGACCCCAATCAGACAGCCCCTGATAACGCCAAGGATACGGGAAGGGTGATGGGATTGGCAACGTGATCTGGGTCTTCAGATCTTAGGCAAGCTCTGTAGAAAAGCATGCCAGTAGCACATTGTGACTGCAAAGGACTAGCCAGTTGTCTGTTTCGGAAACACGGCGATTAATTCGTCGATAGGAGCCCTTGACCTCCGTTTGTGTTCAACAACTGCAGTATGGTTTTCCCGAGGGCTTGCACCTGCCCCTGACCACATCCCGAAAATAACATGCCCTCTCACCTCAAAATCTTTGGTCTGTCTGTCCGACATTCTCAAAATATCCATCTCACTATAAGCTTTAACGGCCCGCCGCGGTGCAACCCAAACACAGTCAGCCCGGTACTCACCGCGGGGGCTGAGTGATCGGTCATCGGAGGTTAAGTTCGCCGTCTCTCCGTTTATTGAGTGGCTGGTTGACTTGGATTAGGTACCTACTTTTCGTCAAACGATCTCGGCGTTCGATTCCTTTTCTTTTTTTTTTTTGGGGGGGGGGGGGAGGAGGGGAGGGGGGAGGGGGTTGGGTGGAGGGGGTTGTTATTCGAAGAGTGTACGGCGTAATGATGATGTAGGAACATCTCGAGATGTCCCCTTAGATTAACCAGGAAATCTAGAGTTTTTAGGGAAGAGTTTTGGCCACAAAATGAACTAACTTATGTTCTATCGACATCGACAATACATTCACTAATTCTGACTGTCAGGATCTTCAGGAGCATGAAAGTCTATCACAACCCAGTCAAATCCCATTGCTGACAGCTAGAACAGCATTGAAGCAATGTAATCAGAGGTCCTAGTCACTTATTTAACTCATGTCGCCCAAATCAATCAATCCTTTTCATCAAGTGAAGCTATATACGCCCACAGTTTCTCTACAGGAAGTTCAAGATCCTGAGCAGAGCAAGCTCTATAAGTTCTGAGTCAAGTAACGCCAATTTCCATGAGCAAAAAACGTAAACGTACACTTTAGTGTTACTGGTGTGGTATCTCCTCCCACTCCCAAGCCACTGCCCCCTCAACAAGCAAGCAAGTGGTATCATCCATCATCGTAGAAGTCAATAAGAAGAGAAGAGCTTCGACGAGCAAAGAGAGAACAAAATTCTCATAACCCAGCCATTGACCAGACCGTCCATACGATCAACCATTTAGTCATATAGCCCATAGCCCTTCCCTGTCCGAGATTTCATATCATATCTGTTCTATCCGTATCCCATATAACCACCGGAACAAGATTTATTCCATTACCCTCCAGATAAACCATACCGTACCAACAGTAACCCGACTAGATGATATAGGTTCTTCGAGGTTGACTCATCATAAATCTTAGCAACCAGATCCCAAAAGCAACGTCACCTCAAAGCGAGAGCCCAACTCCCGAACGCCACTTCCCTACCAGAGAAAATGAATCATTTCCTGACCTACTGCATCCTAAAGAGCAACCCATCTCCCTTCCCTCATCATCACATCCTACTCTCAATATTCTTATTCTTTTATCTTCCTACGCCTACGACCCCCCAAAAAACCCCCCAACCCCGTCCCCCCAGCAGAGGGCACAACCCCCAACCCCACGCCCGCTCCAGCTCCAGAATGAGGCCCAGAATTAAACCCCCCATACGCACTTAACTGCACTAAATGATTCCACTCAATCTGTCCCGGATCAACATCCTGCATCGCCCCAATCCCTATGCCCACCAATCCGGTCGCAGTGGTGCCCGCTATAGCAGATGCAGCTGCTTCCGCAGCGGCAGCAGCGGCAGCCACGCTCGCTACGTGGGACGATCCACCAGCTGACGGAGGAGGAGGTGGAGGAGGAGGAGGAGGAGGAGGAGGAGGAGGAGGTGGTGGTGGTGGTGGTGGTGGATGTGAGTCGGTTGCGTGAGAAGGGTAGATGTGATGTTGGGAAGGGTGAGGATGGTGATGGGCGTGTGGATGGGGGTGTCCTAATGGGTCGAAGGAGGTTCCAGGCGTTGGACCGGGGCCGGCAGGGTACATCATTTCGTCGAGGAGCATGGTTGTGGTGGAAGGAGGGCCGGGGGCGGTGACACCCATCTGGGGGGTTGGCATGCCGCGCTGGTTAGGGGAAAAGCCCATGTCTTGCATGACGGACATGCTACTGACAGCTGCCGTCGATGGGTTGCTTTGGGCAGGGGCTGAAGGACCGGGGTTCTGGACTTGCTGAACGGGGACCTGTCTCCCTGTTGAGGTTGACGGTCCCGGATCCCCCGGCGCAGGCCGCTTCCACTTTGCCATGGCATTTCGCAGCATCACCACAATCTTTGGCGTCTGAACGACTCTCCCCAGTGACAACTCAGCTGCCTCCCTCGCATCCCACGCTTTGACCAGGTACTTCCCAAACGCAATATGCAGCGGGTTCCGCATACCCCTCCTGGTCAGCCCCCTCCGTTCATGGTTCTCGATCATGACCTCCCACGCGCGCTCGCACAAGTCGCCTGTCGTCAACCGATGGCGCAATTCTGACACCAGACACAGGTATGCCGGCAGGGGGAAGTGAGCGTACGTGTACCACCGAAAACCCTGGAGCTGTGCGGACGACTGGATTATGTTATCGTACTCGACCATGTGTAGGGCATCCATGAAGTAGGCGTCGCGTTCCTTCTCGTCAAGCATGCCGCTGTTACTCGGGTCGCCGGAGGTCGTTCGCATCAGGTAATCGACAATGCGCAGCTTACATAGCGCCTGCTGGGTCATGAGGAAGGTGAAGTAGTGCAAAGGGATCTTATTGTCGCATTGTTTCAGGTAGAGAGACTCCATGCGGAAGCAGAAGTTGCTGAGGTCAGCGGGAAGATTAGTGTTGGCGACATGAGTAACGACGTCGGGGGACGAAGGGGAAGGACTGTAGTGGATCACCGGCTTGTGCAGAGGTCTGCCTCCCGGCGTAGTCACAGTTTGCCGGACACTATCGGGTGATGCTGCGACGGTCAGCTCCACTCGCGTCAGACAGAACAGCATCTCAGTCGGCCCGGGATGCGGAACGGGGTAGTCCTTTGCGTTCGGGTCCAGGTCGGCATCGTTGACATTGTATGGCAGGATTTGGTCGCAGACACATGATGAGAGAGCAGTGATAGCTGTCCCTGTAATCTCGGCAATGCGCTTATCAAAGATGACAATCTGCCACCACAGACGTCTCCTTAGCTCTGCCTCAAACGGTGTCATTCCGGGGAAGTGGCTATCGTGTCGATGCAGGCCAAGCCGCGTTGCTATCCTGACAGTAAGACCAAGCAGGCCGTGCATGGTCCGCGGGTCGACATACGGCCTGGCGCTGAGCTGCCTAACAGTCAGCACCCGACAACTACAGACTCGTTCGTATACCCGACTCACCAGATAAAGAAAAAGAGCCTGCAAGACCATCAAATCGGCCGACCGCATGAAGCCAGCGTTGACGAGAGCCTGCTGGGTAGCATTGTGGTACTTCCCCAGCAAGATAGCCCGATCCTCCCCAAAGGTGCTCTGGACATCATCCTCAGACATGGAAGTGATGGCGGCGAAGTAGATGGCAAACATGAGCGCTTCGAGCGGTTTCGGGATCTTAGCCAGATTTGCGCTCGCGTTGACAATTTGGGCCTGAAGGGTCGGCGTATGGGTGATCTTCAACAGGGGGTTGACATTGCTGATGTAGATCTGCCAGAGTTGGAGTATTTGGATGCCCGAGGGATGGGCGCTCGCCACTGTGGCGGGCGAGCCTCCCACAACGAAAGGGAAGCCGTCACTGTTCTCGAACATGGTATCGTAGGCGTGGTGGAGGGTTGGCCCTTCGGCCTCCTCATCGGAAGAGTCATCTTCCATTCCATTTCGACACTATCCATTGTTAGACTGGGGTCCGAGGATGACGGAGGAATAAGAGAAGCATCGAAACATGAGGATAAAGTTAAGCTTACCCCATACCCCATGCGACCCCATCTCGACCTAACGCAGTGTTAGTATCATCTGACATAGAAGACAAGACATGAGATCATGAACACACCTATCATGCCCCGTATTATCTGGCGACATATGATCAGCGGTACTCGACGGCGACGCCTTCAACCCTCCCAAATCCTGCTCAAGCTCGCCCACGCCATCATCCCCGCCATCAGACGGCTTGCTGCTGGCCACAAGTTCATGAGCAATCGGGTCAAAGTTGACCCCGGCCTGCGAGAGCAGGGCCTCATAACGACGTATGCGTTCGATCAGATCGCGCTCATGCGGCTTCTTCTTGCGGCGGCGTGGCGGCTGTGGGGGCACCACGCGGCATTCGACCTGTGCCTTCTTGCAGTTGGCACATGGCTTGAGCTTGTCGCAGCGAACCTTGCGTTGCTGGCACAGTACACATGAGTGGCCCCGCGTCAGTTTCATCACCGCCTGCTCGGTGGGCGGCGGCGCGGGGGCAGAGCCTGGGCCACCTGGGGCAGATCCAGGAGCTACCGGCGTCACCGAGGCTGCTGCCGGCCGCGGAGATGACGACGGCAGCGCTGTGCCTGGAGGTGGGAGCTGTTGGACCTCAGGGGCAGGAGGAACAGGTTGATCGGAGGTCATCGTCCCGGTTCCTGAGTTCCTTTTAGGGCGACGTACGTTATGTGGGTTGTCTGTCCAGGGACGTGGCAGGACCAGTCCAGTACAGTACAGTCCAGTCCAGTCCTGTCCTGTCCTGTCCCGGCCCTCTGCTGTCGGTCCTGACCGGGAGCGTCAGGTCAGGACCGGGCCTAAGTCCAGGTTCCAGGTTCCAGGTTTCAGGTTCCAGGTTGCAGGCCTTGATTTGCGCTCCGGACACGTGGAAGAGCCGCTCGGGTCCGAGAGATACACGAGGCACGCGAGGCAGATCTTCAAATAATGGCGGCCAGCTGGCGTACCTGACTGTCTGGGAAGTGATGTACAGGGAATCGGAAATTCGTCCGAGCCTCTAGCAGTCTCTGTCCCGACTTCCTGAACCGTGATGAGGGGATCCGTCCGGCTCTGGACTGTGGTTGGCTTGCTTTAGGCGCTGCCGATGCTACGACGCTACTTCGCTACTTGGTATGCCTGGAACAGGATGTAGTTGTGTGTGGTGTGAGAGTGTGTCTCGCAATCGCAATCGGCAAGCGGAGGTTCGGCACGCCGACCTCAGATCGGCTGGCTCCGATGCCGACGATACGCCGGCTAAGTTGAGAGGGGTAACGGTAGCAAGCGATAGGCTGATGAGCGGAATTAGGGCAGGATAATAATGGAACAGATCCAGGAACGAGCTGCTTACCGCTTATGCGCAGCGGGTGAGATGGGGTTCGAGTCTGTGCCTTGTGCCTGCGACAGACCGCAACAGAGCGCCTGTGTCTATGTCTGTGACCTCAGCACAGCAGCCTGGAGCGCAATTTGGATGAAATGCGGACTCCCAGGGAGCGTGAGGGGATGCAGGTCAAATCAGACAGGCCGGGTGCTCTGCCTGCGACGGTTGGGATATGGGGATAGGATTGTCTGCAAGAAGAGATGGATGAAAATGGAAGTGTGGCAGCTGTCAGACCCTGGGCCTGCGTGCCGAGAAGGTACCTCAGCACTTCCCATGTGTGTCTGTGACCTTGGGAAGGTGGTTGCCCCTGCACTCGCCGTTCAGGGATATCAATGATGGCAGGATCAGGAAACAAATGCCCAGCAGTTCCAGATTCGGCCAGAAGCCCCTGCAAGTTTGTGATGAAGGTGGGCGCAGCTGTCGCAGCCTTATAACACTCTTGTTGCACTTTTGTTTGTGTTATCATCGCAGCCTCGTGCCAGTAGATGAAGGCTCATTGTCCAACCCTATGACACACTATTTTCTCCTCATGTCAACAACAATCCGTTCTGTTTAGATGAATACAGAGCTATTCACAACAACCCTCTACTTAGTTGTATCAACTAGCAGTGACTCTGCGACGGAAGCGATATCAGCTGGTCGAGCAGAAAGCCTCTCATCGCAGCCACTGGGGGAATATACGGCTACAACCGCAAGCACTGGCTGATAACACCTGGCCTGTTTTGCCAATTACCAGCTCTAGCTGTGAAGCTCCAATGAGAACACAAGCTGTTGGAATCAGGTGAGAGAAGTCCCGATGTCGCATTCATTGATACAGCCATTCTCAGTCTCTCTGCAGGCTGGACTGTGTCAGTTGGGCAGATGTGCCAGCAACAGACCATCGATGGTCGCGCATCACAAAAGAAAAGGCCGATATTGCGGGGGGATCAGAGCAGCCAGAGCCTTAGGTGGCGGCGCCCAGACTGCTGCAGTTACTCAGAGACTTGCATCCGTCAGCCAAATAGTAGGATCACACACACACACATGCCTCTCCAACCAAGACAGATGCAAACATTCAAGTCTCACGTCCGACAGCGAATGAACTGAGAGGTAGAACCGCAGTTGGACAACGATCCAGTTCATGAAGAGCAAAACATTGCTGGCCTTCGAGACAGATAACTGACCGAGCGTCCGGACAAGTCTCGACAAGAGAGTCCTCATTGGTGATGCTGTCGGTGTGGGCACATCCTGCATACTGCTCTCCTCGAGTGCACGCGTGAAAGGCCACCATGCGAACATGGCAGACGCATGAGATGCACATCGAACGCCAGTTTGTGACCCCTCACCCAAGTTCCTGGTTCCAGGACCCGGGACAAAGGAGGGGAAGAAGGACGGCAGGCCGACAGAGGATGCGATCCCGATGATGGGAGGAAGTCGAGCCACAACACTCGCCACTTGGCAGCGGGCCGGCAGGGCTGATCGCCCAGTGGAGCCAGACCCACCGTATGGAAGCTCTTGGCAGTATTCGGGACCGAAACATGTCTTGGCGACTCCGAACCCCAAGAACCGTGGACCCTGACGCGCTAAGCCAAATCGAGAGGATCTGCAGCCCTTTTGGGAAAGTTTACAGAAAACCCGCTCGCACCCATTGACATGATACAGAAATTTCTGTAGAAAATAAGCCGGGCTTACTTAACGCTCACACTTACAGGGCTGGGCTGACAAGCTTAGAAAACAGCGCCTCATCAACGGCATCCGATGGGGAAACTCCAGCCCAATGGCATCGCCAACCCCGTCATCCACACCAGCTCCCATATCAGAGCTCCTAGGCGAACAGAGAAAAGACACCCAGTCGAGGACGGCGTTTGAAATAGCCGTGATGCCGAGCTCCAAATCTGGGCGCGTGCCCTTTTCGAGGCGATGGAGGAGAGATAGATTGCGGTTGCAGCCGCTGGTGGCCGCACTCACAGCATGCCACAGCATCCACTGCCACCCACTCGCTCGCCGTGGTCCGCTTCCAAGTTGTCTGCCTCCAGAAACCGTGGACTTTCCGGGCTCACTCCCTGCTTAGTACGGACCCGATGCCCGCGGTGGACGAGGTTATTGATAGATACTGGTCCATAATGGTATCATGTCGGGTATGCCCAGGTCTCATCCCATCCTGGAACTCGCAGGTTACCGGGCATCCGGTGCGAGGGTATGTGGAAAGTGCCCCAGCAGTAAGTCGAGTGTGCTTTCCGTATAATATAACACAAGCTCTCGCCGCCGGGCGTGCTCGCACAAGTGGCCCAGGGTAGTTGTGGTCATATGCGATTTGTTGCTGTCCCTGGCCTGACTCCTGAGTGCCCTCCGCTGCTTCCCATCTCCTTCTTGGATTTGTTGTTGAATTTGCATCATTTTTGCCAGATCGCGACACCATACCCACACCATCCCCATCCTCATCCCCCATCCTCATCCCCCATACCCATACCCATACCCATACCCATACCCATACCCATACCCATCCCATCGAAACACCCATCCCATTGAACATCAAGCCACAGCGGCCTCCCCGACGCCGTGTGTCTCTCGTTGACTCCGTATCTCCTATCGCCCTAACACACGACCTTGCCTCGTCTTATCGTGGATCGTTGTTTCTGTCCATGGGAGTCGCCGACGCCTTAGTTATTTAGTCGCATAGGCCGCCGCTGATCCCACTTTCTCTGGTTTCTCCCTCGTCCGGTTCACGACTCGCTTTGTTCTCTCGGTCACCGACCTGATTGCGCCGGACGGGAGACCCCAGGAGAAGCCAAGGACAGGACTCTAAGTCCGGTTCCCCCCTTTTCTCCTGTCGCCAATTCTCCCTGGTGTATACCACCTTGCGGACGGACGTCGCTGCCCGACCGGGACATTCCCCTGCCATGGCCGGCGCAGCACGGTCACGATCTCCATCCTCGACACCAGCCAGCAGGGGAGGCTATCGAGCCCAGGAAGCTCAGGGAGCCCAAGAGGTTCGGTTCGAGCCCCTGAATGACAGGCCTGTCGACATCGAGAAGCAGTCGCTGTCACGACAGCCTCTCAATGGAGACCCAGGTGGTCCTGGAGAGCCGGGAGGTCCCCCAAGAGACGAGACCGAGCAGCTCTATAAGCCAAAGAGCCTCCGGTTCTGGCTCACCCTCATCTGCAATTTCCTTGCCCTCTTTCTTGTCGCCATAGATCGAACCATCATCGCCACTGCTGTACCCCGAATCTCAGACGAGTTCCAGGCCCTGGGCGATATCGGCTGGTATGGCTCCTCATACATGTTAACCACGGCTTGTGCCCAGCTGCTGTTCGGCCGAATCTACAAGTTCTATGATATGAAGTGGTGCGTTTGTCTCCCTCGAAACCGCTGGTGGTGTCACCAACACCCGCTTCCCTTGTGCAAGTCGATCATGTAGCTGACCGCCGCATGCACCCGTTTCTGCTTTTCAGGTCCTTCTTGTTGAGCATCATAGTGTTTGAGATCGGCTCAGCCATATGCGGCGCCGCTCCCAGCTCGACCGTCTTCATTGTGGGCCGCGCCATCGCCGGCCTGGGCTCGGCCGGCATCTTCTCCGGATGCCTGCTGATCATGATCCCCATGATCCCTCTACACCGCCGGCCCGCCTTCCAGGGCATGTTCGGCATGGTGTTTGGCCTCGCCTCGGTTATGGGCCCCCTAATCGGTGGTGGTTTCACTGGCGGGGTCACTTGGCGATGGTGCTTCTGGATCAACCTACCCATTGGCGCTGTCGCCCTGATCTTCATGATCTTTTTCTGGAATCCGCCAAAGATGCCTCATGAAAGGGTTAGCTGGATCGTACATATCAAGCGGCTAGACCCCCTGGGCATGTTTTTCTTCATGCCCGGGACCGTTAGCTTGTTTATTGCCTTCCAGTGGGCTGGAACGACGTATGAATGGTATGAATGGAGGATCATCGTGCTGCTCTGCGTCTGGGCTGCATGCACGATTGCTTTCATTACAGTCCAGATCGCGAAACCTGAGACGGCCACGATCCCTCCAAGGGTGATCACCCAGAGGAGCGTTGCCTTTGGCACGGCTTTTACCTTCTTCCTGGCCGGCTCCATGCTGATGCTGGTGTACTACGTTCCGGTTTGGTGTGAGTGAGTTCCGAGGCTTGGGTGAAGACAATTAGATGCTAACAACGTTCAGTCCAAACCGTCAAGATGGTAGACCCGATAAAGTCGGGCATCTACACCCTTCCCCTGGTGCTGAGCTTGGTCGTTTCGAGTATCCTGTCAGGAGGCATCACTCAAAAAATCGGCTACTATGTCCCTTCGATGATAGCCTCCCCGTCCATCATGTCGATTGGTGAGGGTCTCCTTACCACGCTCAGACCAGACAGCCCTCCCAGTCACTGGGTTTCATTCCAGTTCCTCTCGGGTTTCGGTCTCGGATTCGGCATGCAGACTTCAGGTCTTGCCATCCAGACCGTACTGCCCAGAGAGGACGTCAGTACCGGCATCGCTATCAACTTCTTTGTCCAGCAACTCGGCGGTGCCGTCTTTACATCGGTCGGTCAGACCATTCTTACAAACCTATTGGTTTCCAAGTTATCACATATCCCAGGCTTCAATCCCAAGGCGATTGTGGGAGAAGGTGCAACACAGCTCACCGAGATTGCTCCCAAAGAGTACGTCCCACAGATCATCGAGGCCTACAACTACGCCTGCCGACACATCTTCTTCGCAGCCATGGGTCTTGCCTTCGTCTCGTTCTTCTGTGCCCTAGGCATGGAATGGAGGAGCATCAAGAAGGGGAGGAACGGTCAAGGACCGCCTGGTCCGGCTAAGCCCCCAGGCTCAGGCGGACCACCTGAACCCAACCCCGACGACCCGGGGCAAGATATGGCAGGCGCCGGAGCCGAGGTGATCAAACTACGCGAGCTGAAGAACAGCACGCCAGAAAGCTCTTCGGCCGATGGTGTAACACGGAGCTTGAAATCAAAGTCGAGCCGGACTAGCAGTCCGGAGGATAACGAGGAAAAGGCCCGAAAAGAAGCCTGGAAGGAGGAGAAACGCCAGGCCACTATAGAGGGCAGGAAACACGGCGTCCTCGCCAAACCCCCTCTCCATCCCCATCACAGCCCGAGGGCTAGTAACGGCACGGTTGCTAGCGTCAGTATTAGCAGTACTAGCATGATGGGTGGTGCACAGGGTCCGAGCCGAAGTCATAGCATGAGTAGGAGTCGAAGCCGTAGTCGGGTAACGAACACGACGGATCGGACTAACGGCGCCAACACCACGATCATCTCTACCTCTCATCCGCAGCAACATCCTCCTCAAGATAGGTCACCTACAGACGACAGGCCTGATCCAGAGTTGGCCGGCGTGTTGAAGGAGTGGGTTGCGTATGAGAAGGCGCAGGAGAAGAAGGAGAGACGAGAAAAGAGAAGGACGGAGAGGGGTAGGAAGAGGGAGAGGGATGAGGATTGGAGGTGGAGTGAGAAGGGGGTTTGGGAGTATGATGAGCCGGAGGATGAGAAGAAGGGAAGAAAGATGGGAGTGGGGGGCGGAGGAGGATAGTTGGAGCCGCATGCTAGGTGAGGAGGTTTCATTGTTGGAATGAACTACCTACCTACCTAATACCAGTGAGATGACATGAGAGAGAGAGAGAGAGAGAGAGAGAGAGAGAGAAAGGAGAAGGGGGGGTGGGAGGGGAAGATGGAATGACAAACTACTACATGCTATGGCTCTCTTTGTTGTTGACATGACAACAACTGCTTGTTGACTCGGACTGAATAGGTGGGGGCGTCGGGGCTGTGTTTTGCTCGATACACAAGCTTAATGTTGAGGTTTAGAAACTTTGTTTGTTCATATGTACACGTCGAGGGGGGAACGAATGTATGAAAAAAGAAAAAGGAATGAAAAAGCGGAACAAGAAGGACATGACTTGCTGATGATTGATGATGAGGAGCATGATCATGATGAAAGTCTGTCTTTCTGTCTCTTATGTTTTGAGACGTAGGTACAAATAATTATATTAGGAAGTATGTTGCTTAGAGAGCAGAATGACATTATGCCATGGAAACATTGGTACTTCTAAACCGAAGTTTGATGTGAAAGTCAAGATACCATGACGCTTCCGCTTATGAACAGAGTGAAATAGACTAGGAGCCTGTAGAGTGGTCTTTTATTGAGTTAAGTATGTTTCTCATCTGTCTACCTACATATCCCATTCCCACTGTACAAATATAAGTTAAAAGAGTTCTTTCTCATCAAGTTCAATCCAGTCATACACCTCCACCTTGGCTCTCTTGTATAACGGCTCTCACCAACCCCCCATCGATCAAGATTTCAAAGTCATTTCATTTTGACTTCCCTTCTATATAAAGAAAAGCCATAAATACAAATATACATCATACATTCATTCAATCAGTCAGTGTACACCCTTAACCATGAACACCGCCCATGCAATTGTAGGATGATTGTGTATAATACAAGCTCTTCACTCGCTGCCCTTGGGTGAAGAAGGGTCAACAAAGTGGAAAAATCGAACGATATGGAAACAAAAGCCGTCCTCTTTTCCTCCACACCTTCCTTCTCAAATCCACTCTAACCGACTTCTGAGTGTGTTTGAGTTATTTCGTGCTTTTTTTTTGTTTTCGCCTGCTTGGGCAAGGATGTAGAACATTAGGTAGGTATCATACGAAGCTTTCGTGAGGTTGAAGTTGAAGAGGAGGAGGGTGGGTGATTGTGTGGAGAGTCTTGTTTGTTTAAAGACATAATGTGACAGATGTAGGGCTTGTTGGCTTACCCCCTTTGCTTCATTTTTGTGGTCCTGCCTGCCATTGTCGCCTAGTCTCTCTGTACGTATGCGGTGAAATGTTATGACTCGACTCGATGGACGATAGATTGACTGATCGACTCGAGTAAGTCAACACTTTCCCTACTGGCAGAGGAGAGCTTGGCCCTGTCCTCGTTGGTATCCGTGGCTAGGCACGTTCACGCTCAAGATATTCGCGGATGATCCATGGGCAGCAAGGAGAGCCGCCAAAAATCTGCTCCCTTGAACTGCCGGATCAAACCGGCAGGCAAATGGCGTCCACTTCTTTCCTTCACTTCACGTCCTGCTGGGTAAGGAGTTCACAGCCCGGTCCCAGAGCCAGACTGCTTATCATCGTCCTTCTTCGCGGAACCCTCCTTACTTTCCTCAGCGCCCTCCGCCTTCTGCTGATGCGCCGGGTGGTTGGTCAGGTTATGCCACAGGGACTTGAGGAAGCCCTCATGCTTATGCGACTCGGCATCGTCACCCCTATCACAGATGTCAGTCTCTAACCCCATGGCAATCTTCCGTGGAGGGGACCTACGAGCTCTTCCCGATCCCCATGATCCTCTTAGCCGTCTTATCTCCCATCTCATCCGCCAACATCTCTACCAGCGCGCGTGCATTCGACGACAAATATTTGGGCATCGCAACGCGGAACTCCACGCGCAAATCACCGTGCCTGCCAAGTCTTGTCCCCAGCTTTGGCATGCCCATCCCTGCGAGCGTCATTTTATCCCCCGTGTTCGTCCCTCCCGGCACGCGCACGCGCGCCTCGCCGTCCAGCGTGGGAATGGTCACCTCGCCGCCCAGGATAGCCGTCGTGAGGGGGATGGTCGCGGTGTACAGGATGTCAGCGCCTTGTCGGCTGAAGGTATTGTCGCGGGCGACGCGCACGCGGACGTGCAGGTTGCCGGGCGTGGCGTGGACATCTTCGGTCGCGGCGCGCCCTGTGGCAGGGTAATCGCCCTCGCCGTTGATCGACAGACGCATGTTGTCCTCCACGCCGGCAGGGATGTCGACAGTGATAGACTTGCGTTCACGAACAACGCCGTCGCCGCCGCAGGTGCGGCATTCGGAGCTGCGCGGGACGCTGAAGCCCGTGCCGTTGCAGCTGCCGCAGGTGCTGCCGAAGGAGATGGGGCCGGCGTCAACGAAGCGCTCGCCGGTGCCGCCGCAAGCGCGGCAGGTTGTGCGCTTGGTGCCCGGGCGCAGGCCACTGCCTGAGCAGGTATGGCAGGAGACGAGCGGCATGATGTTGATGGTCTTGGTGGTGCCTTTGGCTGCTTCCATGAAGGAGATCGTCACCTGGACTTCGATGTCGTCGCCGCGCATGAACTGGGTGCCGCGCATGGGGCCGCGGCGGCCCGTGAAAGCCGTAAAGACGTCCTCGAAGCCCATGTCCGCGCCGAAGCCCCTGCCGAAACCGCCGAAGCCGAAGCCGCTGAATGGGCCGCCGAAGCCACTGAACGGGTGCTCACCGCCAGCACCGCCGGGGCCTGGGCCCGGACCGGCACTGGGGTCGAAGGCGGCGGGACCGAACTGGTCGAATTGCTTGCGCTTCTCCGGGTCGGAAAGGATCTCGTAGGCAGACTGGATCTCGGCGAACTTATCCTTGGCGCCAGGATCCTTGTTGGTATCCGGGTGGTACTTCTTGGCCAAGCCGTAGTAGGCCTTCTTGATCTCGGCTTGGGTCGCGGTCCTAGGCACGCCGAGGATGGCATAAGGGTCCTTGGGCGTAGCCATCAGCCGGTTCGTAGTATGGAAGAAGGCTTGCTGCGAAGTGTTAGCCTGGCTCCCCCCCCCCCCCGCTTTCTCGTCTTGTCCCTGTGTAATCACCCACCTTCTGCCTGGGAACAGGCGCTGCAGCACGCGAGACGGGCGCCGGCCGGCTGGGAGCAGGCCGTGATGCCATCGTGAAGGCCATGGTGGGGGCAGCCCTGCTGGCGCAGGTCTTATATCTCTGGCGACGACATATTTGGGCGGGCGAGAGCTGCCGCACTGGAAGGCCCGTCTTGGGAAGGAAAGTCGCCTTCATCTCGTCCGCAACTCGGCTACTTTTTTTCCGTCTCTTTTATCTTCGTTCGAGTTGTTGCTATCTGCGAATAGGCATGCCCCGGGGCCGCCCTCTACGTTGTTGTCTTCTCTTTTTTTCGCTCTTTTTCTTCGAGATTCTTCCCCTCGTTGCGTGCGTCTCCCTTCTGGTACCGCAGGAAACCGGGCGTTGTCTCTGGCGATTGGAACTATGCGGCGGTCGGTCGGTCAACTGGTCTCTGGGGGACGAAGGAAGGGGGGGGGGGAAGGGAAGCAGGGCGATGCCTTGTCGTGTGGGCAGTCGTCGTCGGCTCAAAAATCTCCAAAAAGTTGTCGGCAACTTTTTTTTGGCGGCATCTTGATTGAGGAAGCGGGAAAGCGGGCAGGGATGCCACCAAATGGTCTTGGCAGCCTCAGGCAACAAGAGCCCCTCCTTCTGCTTTTTCCTGCTTTATAAGGCTGCTCCACTTGCGCTGATGGGGTTGGCTAGAAACGCCCATAGATTTCTGTGGGTTCGCGTCTTGGCAGAGCGCGACCCGCGATCCCCAATTCTTTCTTTGGACTTTCCATGAAGCTGCGGGCCTGCGGCTTACGGCTTTGCTTCGGCCCCCGGCCAGAATCACCAAGACACAAAGTGCGTGCAGCATTCTCGTGCTCGTTTGTGGGACAATGCCTTGTTTTGGACTACCTTCCGTCCGAAAAACGCCATAAACTCCAACCAGACCCCAGTCACCACCCTATAGAATACTATATGTACAGGTAGATGTTCATAAAAACAAAACAAAAAAATAAAAACAAAAAAAAACAAAACGAACAGGTATCACCCATGAATTCGAGGTATCCGTGTCGAGTCCGTCCCAGGATGCAATGCAAGTGTATGTGTGCGTGTCCGAATGCGTGTGTGCCTTGTGTATGCTGCCTGACCGACCCAAAGTATTGTATGTGTGAGTATCTGTAAATAGTACCGTATGTACCAGTTTCGCTGTCCATAGAGAGATATACCCGAAAGCGTGTCTAGTAATCCCGGTCACGGGGCATGTACAAGAAGCGTCGCCTGCGGACCTTCATGTGCTCCTTGCGGACCTTGTGCAGGAACTCGACAATCACATCATTCTCCTGCAAGCCCATGGCGTTGAAGTGCTTTCTCACGGCGGCGTTGAGCTGGTCGCTGGTCTGCCGGCGGAACTCCTTGCGCCGCGCGATCGTCGGCGAGTACAGCCCGATGCTGCCGGGTTGTGTGAGCACCCACTGGTGGACGTCGCTCACGAAGGAGGTCGGCGTCTTGAGTCGATATGCCCGGCGGTAAGCGTGCAGGACGTCTCGCTCGAAGGCGGGCCACTGGAGCTGTTGCAGAGCTGTCAGCGGATGTCCAGTCGGAGCGCGAAGCTGCAAGCAAGTGGAAGAAAGGAGTGACTTGAGCAGATGCATACCCCAGGAACGTTATTCTCCTGATTGCCATTTGCATTGGTAGAAGCACTGGCCGTGGCCGCAGCGGACGCCGCCGCCGCAGCCGCCGCAGCAGCAGCAGCAGCAGCAGCGTTGGCAGCATTTGCGCTGGCGACCTCGCGCAGGCTGGCGCCCTGGCTGCTAGCTACCCGGCGCATCTTGCCATTGGAGCCGGCGCCGCCAACGTTCTTCTCTTTTGCAGCCGTCGAGTCGGCTTTAGAGTCGTCGTGGCCGCTCCGCGCGGCTTTGGGTGGCATTGCGGGCGATGGTTGAGGTCGACGGCGATGTCGGAGAGAAGGATAGCAGAAAATACGGGGAAAAACGAAAAAAATAAAGCGGATTAGTCGGAAGGATCGGTGTCGACGAGCTGGTTTAGCGGGAGCAGTAAATTGTATGCGTGCAGCGACAGCTCCAGCCGCTTGCTACGAGGAAGAAAGAACAATTCTGCGTCTCGGATGGTCGCGATGCGCTGTGGAAGGCGTAAGCATTGTGTGGGATAGGGGTCTGCACGGGGAGAGAGATTTGGGAAAGAGGAGCAGCAGCACACTTTTGGCCATGGCAGGCAAGGCAAGGCATAGAAGCGAAAGCCAAAACCCCAACGAGGCTGAAGAGGGTCTGACGACACAACAGGGTCATCTTTTGCCCATGATCCGTGCACTTCAACACCGCCTGCGCTGGGTCAAACTGGGTCTGCTGTGCAGTGCCCGGGTCGCGGGCCTGCGTTGTCTCCTGTCCGCCCTGGGCGCGAGCTCGGCCTTTTGCTGGCTTGTGCGTTGTTTCGCTTGCTGGGAGGAGGTGTGGCTGGGGCCATGGGTTGGTTGCGCGCCGCACCGTGGCACAAGAACCGCTGGCTTGGAACCCCGCACTGATCATTGTGCCTCGACGAACTCGTCTGAGATCCCAGTGAGTTGATCATCAGTACCAACAAGTGAGTCACTCGGGTTGCGGCCCGAGGCGACAGAACCGTTGATTCGAGGCTGAGCCCGGTTGTCTTAGGCCTCACATTGTGGTCGCAGCCAAAAGTTATTCCGTCCTATAAGCCAAGTCGCCTGGATTTCCCTCATCTGGTTCAGGTGAAAAGAAGTTAGGAACTTGGAAGCTTCAAAGTGAGAAGGAAGTGACCCGAAGCCTTAATTCACCCAGCCCACCCCTCCAAAGAGGGGCGACCTTGACAATCCGAACGATGAAGCAACGCTGATCTTCTGGAACGCGTTTCTTTCCCATAACGCTGATTCGTTGCGCAACGAGCCTGGGTTCATTAGGCAGTGGACACCAGCCTTACGACTCTCATTGATATGGGGTGAGAGTTTCAGCTGCAGTGGGCAAACTCCATCGCCAACGCTTATTCGCTTGCCCTCGACTGCAAGTTCTTTCTCTGCACAGCATGTATGAAAATCTCGCTGGGGTCGGGCCATAAGAAAAGCGCGTTTTCTTCTTGCTGCTGCTGCTGCTGCTGCTACTGCTGCTGTTGCAGATTTCAAATCGGAGTGCCCGTTCCTGGCTTGCCACGGCGTTGGGCAGCTCGCATGCCTTTTCAGGTAACCTCCATCGCAACCTATCTCCAGCTGAAGTCAGGAGTTCTCAGGAACTTCCAATGCAGGAGATGGCAATGTCGGCGATGGTTGGAAGGAATGCTAGTGCATGTATTCATTCTGTCGCCTGACCGCCCTCCACATCTGACCTGCGGCGCCATCTCAGACCCTGCATGCGTCTGGTACTGCAGAATTGCATCTCGTCCCTGGCTTGGGTTACCTACCCCGCATTGTGTTTGACGTAGGCGAGCGCTTGGTTCTCATATTGCCGAACAAAACACGATAATTCAGTGTCTGGTTTCCAAGAAACAGTGGATATTTGTTCGGACTTTACGGATCTTGGATTTCACGTGGATTTCATAGTTTTTTTTTTTTTTTGGGAGAAGGGGAGGAGGGGAGGGGGAAAATGGAGTTTCCCAGTAGACGTGTTGTAACGCTGGAGAAGCTGATTGAGCATCCTGAGTTGCCCCATCAATGTTGGCCTGCTCCAACGACCACCTATTGACTTCTTGATAGGGATGACAATCCAAGCTGACAATATTGTTGTTAAAGTAAGTGGTTGTGTAAGACATTAATTTCATGATCAATAAAAGCTTTCGATCCTATACGAAGGTTACCCGTTTTCTCTCCCTCGAAACTTTGGCTGTGCCGCAGCGCGGGATTACAGCACCTTTTCTGGAGAAGAGGGTGTGGACGAATATCCCCTTTGAGGGAGCGCACCCCAGGGCCCAACTCACCCTTTCGTCGACGTGCAGCAACAAGGCTGTCCACCAGGTCCTCAGTGGCGCTGTCTCATCGGTGGTTCCCTTTCGCCTCCCCCCCCCCCCATCCTCACTGTCCATCGACCGCTTTAGCGGAGCGGCGCCCACCACCACCACACCAAAATGCGCCGCGGCCATGGGACCTGCCGGTTGCTGATTGGGGGGCAGATGACATGCTTTTCGAAGGAGCTCTTGGTGTTGTTGGTTGAAGCTGGGGTTTGAAGTTGACGAACCACGACCGCCCTGCCCAACAACCCTTGTTGGCAGCCAAAACCGAGAACAAGAACACCTGGCTGATCATTCACACGGCATCCCCACATATCCGCGTCGATCCTGAAGTCCCTGGAGAGAATGGGGGCCGTCTTGGTAACTTACCGATCGTGACGACATCGCCTCGTTAGAGGTCGTGGAAGCAAACCTGACTTGATCTTACTCTACTGCGACACCTCACGGCTGCCAAGGCGGCTAAGGCATCGGTTATTGAGCGTGTGCCGTCTCATGGAGAGAGCATTTCCCGAGCCCATATCCGAAGATTGCAAGCATACTCTATACAAGCGCAGGTGTGGTTGCGTGCTCTCGAAATGCCCAGCAACAATGTCATCGGAAATCTCGACATGACCACGAGACCCAGCCGGTAGGGCCAGGTATTGTGGGTTACAGATCGTGCCAGGCTGGCGGTAACAATCAGGTCTGGAGTGTGGGGGTCACACAGGCAGAGGGCGTGGCGTTTTAAATGAGAAGCATGCGTTGGCCATGGCCTTCCTGTTGAGAAGGTTTTAGACTGACCTTGACGGCCTATCGGGCGTTGATCAGCCGTTCATGGGTCGAAGCTCTCCAATCCAATCATGGAATTCTTTGATGAATCACTGCCATGTGCTTGGAGTCCTTGGAGAGGAAGATTGTCTCGAATGGTGCCAATCAAATAGATCCCGTTCGACAAGATCGCTGATCACTATTTGCAATTCCCGGTTCGCTATCGGCAAGGCTGGAGATGAAATGTTCGATGAGTCGGGCTGTCTGGCGGTCTTCCTTGGTGAACTGTTGTTCTTGGCTGCGACAGTGACGGAAGAACATGGGTGGTGAACACGCCCGTCGACAATGGCATTGTTTTCCAGCCAATCAGAAAAACGCAAATTTTTCCCCACATTTTCTCTGCGCAAGCCAACCCAAGGGGACAGGGGATGATCCCTGTAACTGCCATCAGATGGCATCCCACGCCTACCTCCTACTTTTCATCCTGGGGATCGTAGCATGGGGGTCGTCAATGTCAGGGACATGTTTTCAGCTCAAACGGACTATCTGAGTGCCACAGTAACGCTCTATGGTCTATACGAAGACATCTCTTCTGTTTGAGTGAGGCTGGAAGAAGATAGTTCTCTGTGACCTCCTCTAGGCCAGAAAAAGGAGGGCATGCACAGGAAAGCGATATTGCAGGCGGGGTCATGGGACTGGAAATGAAGCGAGGGGCGGCCAACAAGCCGGTGAGCTCACACAACTCAGCAACCAGTGGATTCTCAAAGTAAAATCACGAGAAAGCATTTAGCAGCGCGTCGCGAAGATATATCGGAGTGGTTCCCATCGCGACTAGTTCTGCACCACTGGCCGGCAGTTGCACGGAGTAGGGTGGACGCCTCCGGAAACGAAGCCTCCCCATTTATGCCCTCTGGACTCCTCAACACTGCTGATGATGTGAACCTGATAGATTACAAAAACCCAGATATGGGCCTGCTCCGAAACCGTAGGTCGGACGTTTCCCCCCCTCCCCCTCTCCCCTCCCCCCCCTTCCTCCCCGGCCATGTGTGTCCCCCCGCCCGGAGCAGGTGGAAGTGAGAATCACCCCGGGGTGCCTGGGGAAGTTTGGCCACGCCACACTCCAGCAAACAACCGACCAAGATGCGGAAATCTGGGGCCATTTTGCGCCGTGCGAGATTGATGTATGTAGCGTATGGATACGCTAGGGAGCTGAATGTTTTGTATTGTACGGTTTGCTCCACAAGCATGTTTCTTTCATAGTCCAAAAGGTCGATGGCCAGCCGTCTTCACTTCGCCCCTCGACTGATGAACGCCGATTCCGGGGGGAGCTCAATCTCATACAGTCGCAGCTAAGAGCTGTGATTCTTACAGACGCTATAGCCTATCTCTAGCTCTCGTCCGATATCCGCAGTGGGCCCAGTGTGCCGTCTCAGGCCCGGGCCGTGATCTGGTTCGTCGGCTCCTCTGGCCGGAAACCGGCGTAAGATACCGGGTTAATTCGACTTAAGGCTGTAACTTAACCCGGCACCCCCTGCTGAAAGGCATACTGACCGCTAGAAGGAACAGAAATGACGATCGGACGCTATCTTCATTTCACAGCAAAGCCTTTTCATCCTTCCGCTTCATCTGGTCCGCTTGGGAAACGAGATGAACAGGCACAGCCGCATGCTGGTCGTGGGTTGGGGAAGGCAACAGATCGCCATCCAGCGGGAGGTACAAACATGGTTTATTAGGTACCTGTACTTTCCCACATTAGTAATCCGTGAATCGAGGATTGGGGGTCGGGGTGGAGAACTAGCGCGGTCCAGCTTCTCAACCGAACCCTGCACACAGCAAGCGATTCAAAATCGGTCACGGCAGCACCATCTCCTGACACCGTTCGCTTGGCTGGCCCCCTGCGAAATAAGACCCCCACTCTCCCGTTCGCCGTTCACGGATCTGTTCAAGCGTCCGCGGCCAGGCCCAGTCTTGCCGTTGGAAAGGCTGGAGCATTGGAACACCATCTCACGACCCACGGATCGCCAAGGTAAGGTACCTCTATAGTCTATGTAGGGTCGCGTGTAGTCGCAGTGGTGGTGATGCTGTATGGTCTAGGAGGGTCGGTAGGCCGGGAAGAACAGCGAGCGAGCAGCCGGACTATGACGACGGCAAACTGCTGCGGCGATGGGATCGAAACAGCAGACGGAGACATCAGCAGGTGGTTACGCATTCCTCCTACCAAGACTGCATATGCTACACACGTGCACACGTGAGCCGTGTCTGGGAGTCTGGGATGGAAGTCTTGGATGGAAGTTTGGAAGCTGTAGAAGCTTAATATTTTTTTTTTGGACTGCGATGCCGTCACGGCGTTCCAATGCGCCGGCGTCGCCGTGCCGTGTTTGCTTGCGCTCTGCAGAGCCTGAAAAGATCAGCGAACAGGCGCCATGCCAGCGATGAGCATCCAGCTGCCGGGCCTCGATCCGCGAGAATGGATACAACCAGCCATGGTTTCGCCCCTGCCCTCATGTGTCTTTGCCTAGATTTACACCAATGTCGAGATACACTCCAGAGCCATGAAAGTTTGCCGCCGCCTGGTTTGAACGGATCATATCTGACATATGGAGGGCGCAGATATTGTCCGTGCAGTCAAGGCCGGACAGAGCAGAGCAAATCTGGAACTAGCCGCACTACAAAGGCATTGGACCTCTACCTCCGTCTCATCGTCTTAAGAGACAGTCGTCCAAACCACGCGTCTCTGTTATAATAAGTCAATATACGCCGAGGCAAGATTGCAAATTATAGAACAGAGCACCATAATGCCTCATGGCAGCAGTGGTTAATGCTCCTTAATTGACCAAACTGGATGTCTGGCCGGCGAGCGCGAGGTTTTTTTTTTTTTTTCCTGCCTCGACGCGCCTCTCCTGCCTTCCATTTCTTGCCCGTTGCGGCGGGGTGCCCCACCCAAGGTTCGTAGCGCTGTCACTGTGGGTTCTGGTGGCTCCCAGGGCGCATGCGAGGCCAAGGTTGGTGCCCACTGGGCCCGCTAGAGTCCGTCCAGCCAACCTAGGCATCTGTCCATCCACCATCGAGTTGCCTGCAGGTGCTCGACCCACCCCTCCCCACCGAAGTCCAGGTGTTGCACCCGGAAAACCCCCCGCTTTGCTGCTCCAACTTTTCGACTTCCTGGCTTTCAGGTCTGTAGTGTGTGGCTCTCCACCGAGCCCGGTCACTGGCCGCCTGTCTCTGTGTGGTCGCAGACACACAGACTCGCAGTTCTCTGCTGGCTCCTCTCGGCAGTATCCCTCCATTCAATCCAATGCATTGAGCTGCGCCGTTCCAGCAATAGCCAACCGCCTTCTCTTCATTTTCCCGCAAGGAAGCATTTGACGCTGTGTCTCTGAATTTTTCTCTTTTTCTCTCTTTTCTGCTGATGCCCTGCGCCCGGGCCGAGCAGCAGCAGAAGATTGGACTCAGTCACGGCCAGATCCAGGTCCATCTCAACTCTTCCCTCCCTGGTCTCGACCCTAGTTCCAGGTCGCCCTTCCAGACGAAGTGAGACTCGCCCACACACTCACACGACTGACACCGCCGCCACCACCGCCTTGTTCCAGTCCGAATTCCAATCCCCAAACCAATTGTTTTGCCGACCAGGCGGCTTGATCTCTCTCACACACAACCACATACAACCAAGTACAGTACTTACAGTGGTGCCGGTTTTTTTGGTTTTTTTTTGGTTTTTTTTGGTTTTTTAACCTTTTACCTGAACCGTTCGTCGGGACTCGACACGGGACCCGCCGGGCTGCGCACGACGTCGGCTCTCTCCTGATCCGATCTGTAGTGCTGCCTACTAGGTGCTGCTGGTGCTGCTGGCTGCTTCTGGCGGATTGGCTGCTCATGACACCGTGAGCCTGCTCATTCGAACCTGGTCTGGTGAGGTTGATTGTCGACTACGAATCCCATACCAAGCCCAAACGGACATCTTTCGGCGCCCGTGAAAAACAACTTCGAAATAAGCTGCGGCCACCCCCTACCTGTTGTTGGACTGATCAGCGTGCCACCATCCTCCACATTCTTTGCTCGACAGAGAACACTTGCCTGAAGCTTACCGCCCTACCGATTCCTATTTCTATTCCTATTATTACCCTTACCGACTTTATTTACATACACTTACCTTACTTACCGAGTTTTTTTTTCTTTTTTTTTTTCCTTTTCTGTTAAACCTCCTCATCCGCACCCCGCTCTCTCTTTGAGCAAGGACCTCAGCCACACACCAACTCCTCCATCTTCAATATCAGCAGAAACATCCATCCTACAAATACAACCGGTACGATTGTCTCTGTCTCTCCGCTGAGCGATCCATTCGTGCCCACGTCAAGTCGCGGACACCTGCCGACGGAGATTTTTGCTTTTTGTTTTGTATTTTTACGCCGAACTACAGAGCTACAGCATCGAAAAGCCCCGCCGCGTCTCCCAGGTCCCTCCATCCCGGATCGTGTCACCTGGTCGTGAAACCAGTCTGTGCCGCTGACTGCCGATGGGCTAGGCGGGGGCATCATGGCTTCGATTCTTACGTCCCCGCCACGAGACACCACTGGTTCGCTGCCTGACTCGCAGCCAGTGCAGCTTCCCACACTGCAACAATTGACCCCTCCTGAGATCAAGCCCGAGATCAAGCAGGAGAATGAACAGGAGAAGAACAGCCGTCCTCGGAGCGCGTCTGACGACAAGGATGTCGACAACCTCGAGCTAGACGACGCCGAAGGTGAGGAGGGCGAGCATGGAGGAGACCAGGCCCATTCCTCGAACTCGGACGGCCCTGCGAGAAAGAGGAGAAGGAGCCGAAAGGGTCTGGACAAAAAGTTTGAGTGCCCCGAGAAGGGCTGCGGGAAAAGCTACTCGAGAGCCGAGCATCTGTACGTGGATCCCCCTCCCCCCCCCGGGTGAAGTCGAAGGAGTTCTGCGCCCAAGTCTCTGGCTGACACCGTCACAGTTATCGTCATCAGCTCAATCACAATCCAAAACAAGTGTACAGATGTGGAATTGGCGATTGCCAGAGGACCTTCGTCCGGCTGGACCTGTGCAACCGGCACAAGGACCGCCACAATGCCAAGGGCTCAGCCTTGAATCGCAAAGACTCAATGATGAGCCAGGCTGCAGCACCAGTTACTCCGGTCACCGATACCAGACCGCCTACTTTCCCACCGGCGCCTGGATCAGCGTCTCCTGAAGTGAATCGTCCTGGGACAGCATACCCCAAGCCGAGATCTATGAGCTTACAATATCCGACGACGAAGGACGGCCTGGCCACGCCCTACAGCCCCATGACGAGCACGCCACCAGCATATCCGAACGGGACCCAAAACGGTGTCGACTACATGCGTCACGATCCGAACTACACACACATCCCTCCGGGTCAGGCTCATCATTCCCCAGCTGCCCCCCGACCGCCGGCGATCCAGACGAATGTTGGTCCTTACAGCGTCATGTCTCCAGTTTCGGCACAACCTGGCTATCATACGCAGCCTCACAACACTCCGCAGTCTGCCAACGGCATGTCATTTGTGCCTTCCCAGAACTTCCCTGCCTTCCAGCTTCCTCCGTCAGACTTTGCCGCAAACTCTCATCCTTCGCCTGCTTCCGTGGCCCCTCAGCATCGGGATGAGCAGCAGCAGACGTCGTACGCATCGCAGCAGTCGACGACCGAGTTTGGCGATCAGCAGCCTCAGCAGCAGGCGAGCGACATGATGCTGTTGGACCAGATCGGGATGCAGCAGACCATGCCGGTATTCCAGGTTGACGGTATCATCAATAAGTCCCCTTATGTGGCCATGCCGGATGATTTTATGGCATTCTTATTTAGCCAGGGCGGCGAGTCTCCCATGACTGGCATGCCGATGCAGGGCTACAACAAGTGAGTGTTATCCCTCGAGATTTCGTGTGTCTAGTGCTAACTTCGTTGCAGCTACGGGGACTTTGGCAACTACGGCATGGGCTACTACAACGATTCGAACCAGCTTGGATATTATCCTCAACCGGCGGGGCCGCAGCAGGTTATGTCGGTTACGAACCTGCTTGACCAGAATCTGCCGGAGATGGTTATCTCAGAAGACAAGGCGCTCGAGGTGTACGAACTGATCAAGGAGCGGTTCCACGACAATGGCAGGACCCCAGTGGAGCGGCAACGCGAGAGCATCCTCGAGGGCGACCGCAACGACGACAACCACCCGTTGAGCCGTAAGATGATGCAGCAGTACATCGCCGCTTACTGGCTGCACTTCAGCGACCAAGTACCGATTCTCCACAAGCCGACCTTCTCGCCGGATAAGACGCCGAACCTGCTGCTGATTGCCATCATGACGATCGGCGCCGCGTGCCTGGACAAGGTGCAAGGGCAAAAGGGGGCCAAGGCAGGTACGCCGCTGGCCAACTTCCTGGCATGGCATCTGCGGTGGGAGATGTTCCAGGACCCGAACTGCCGGCCGCCAGCCAAGCTCTGGGTCTTCCAGACGCTGCTGCTGCTCGAGTTGTACGAGAAGATGTACTCGACGAGAGAGCTGCACGAGCGGGCGCACATTCACCACGCGACGACGATTACCCTCATGCGCCGTGGACGAGCACTTATCGGAAAGTCGGCACTCGACTCGCCGCCGAACCCTCGCGACGCGCAGAACGGATCCAGGCAAGGCTCGGCTGCGGGTGCTACTACGCCGGAGGAATGGTGGAACCATTGGATCATGAACGAGGCGACTCGGCGGGCGGCATTTGCGGCGTTCGTTATCGACTCGATTCACGCGACTATGTTCGGCCATTCGACGGTCATGGTGGCCCACGAGATGCGGTTGCCGCTGCCGTGTGACGACAAGCTGTGGAAGGCGACCAGCAGCGCGGAGGTGGCGAGGATAGAATCCAACCTCATGTCGATGGGCTGTAAGCCGATCTCGTTCCTCGAGGGCCTGAAGAGGACGCTCAGCAACCAGGAAGTGCAAACGAACGCTTTTGGCCGCATGATTCTGATGGCCGGCCTGCTCAGCGTCAGCTGGCACATGAACCAGCGCGATTTGCAGGTCAACTCGCTCGGCGGCGGGGTGAGCCAGGCGCTCGGAGGGCGCGACAAATGGCGCGGCACGCTAACGCGGGCGTTCGACTCGTGGAAGAGCGACTTCGACAAGGCGCTGATGAAGCAGCGCAGCGAATTATCGGCCGATCCATATAACTACGACCTGCAGAGCCGCAACGAGGCCAACGTCGTCTTCGAGAGCCGCATCGTCCTGCACCACCTCGCTCACATGGCCATGCACGTCGACATCGTCGACTGCCAGATCTTTGCGCGCGCCAAGCGCCTGTTGGGGCGGACTATTGGTCCGCAGGACCTCAACAGCGCGCAGCGCCGTATGAAGGATGCGTGGGCGCCGACGGCCAAGGCCCGCGACGCGACATATTATGCCCTCAAGTTCCTCCAGTCGGTGCTCTGCCCGGAGCAGTCAGACACTCCTGGAGTATCATATCGTACTGACGGCGAGCTGTACTCCGCCAGCAGCGACGTGCTGCTCAACCGGCCGTGGGTCCTGTATTTCGCGGCGCTGGTTGTCTGGTGCTACGGGTACGCGCTGGAGGGGGCTAGTCCCGGTATTCCCCTGCCCACGACGCAGCAGGAGAAGGTGCAGGGCATGCGAGAGTACTTGGCTAAGTATGGCAGCGTGCAGTCGCCGGAGGAGTTGAAGAATATGCAAGGAATTAGCCATAATACGCCGCTGTTAATGGTGCTCAAGGACACGTTTGACGCGACGAGGTGGGAGCTCCTGCATGAGGGCGCCACGCTGCTGAATAATTGTATTCAGTTGAATATGGGGCAGCCGGTGGCTTGATGAATTTTAGGAAAAGGAGAAGGGAGAATGGGGTTCATTTGACTTATCGTCATTATCATCATCTTCATCATCATCATCATCATCATCATCATACCATGATTTTCTTACCATAACATCATCGATGGATTTCCTTTATCTGGTTTCTCTCGGGATGAGTATACTACTATACCTCTCTACCTCTCTACCATGAACGGGAATTCGGGGTTGTGGTTTTTTTTTAAAAAAAAAGAAGGAAAGGGGGGGGGGGGAGGGAGAGAGCCTATTAGGTTGGGAAGGAAGGGAAGGAAGAAAAGGGGGTGAAGGACACCAAATAACAATTTGGAATCTATGACACTGACACCAAGAGTTCAGTACACATGCACACACACACACAAAAAAAAAGGAATGTGTTCTCATCCTGGGAGGCAACGGTGATGGTTGATGAAGGGTATCTTCATGCGATGGGAGCAATTACTTCACACTCTAACACTACATATATCCATGGATGGCGAGGGGGGCGGGGCGGCGGTTTTTTTGTTAACATTTTCTCTTTGTAACTGGGCATGCTGGGCACTACCTGCTCGTGATGCTTTGCTCGTTCATAGTATTTTAGCTTGATCATCATTTTCTCTTCTTATTTTTGCTTTCATCTTATCATTTACTTGCTTTTTTTTTTACACGTATACCCCTCGTTTTTTTTTTTGAGTTGCTATTGGGTTTTAAGTATATGTATGTATGTATGTATGGATGTAGGGGAGAGTTGAACATGAAACAGTAGAATGAGGCTCCGGATTTCCGTGAGGATGGCGCCATCTTGCCAGCTGCGAGGTGACACAGCAGACGGATGGGATCGTCGTTTGCGACGTCATCGGTTGTAGAGGAGAGATATTTGGGATGAATGGAGACGGAGGGGGCTGTCACCGTTTTATCGTGAGGTTGCCTGCGGTGGTGATATCATGGGCATTTGACATTCGCTACAGAGTGAGCACCAGACAAAGGGTTAAACTACCGTTACAATACAACCGTGATCGTCTGGCTGACTTGACGCTTTGTTAAGCTATTTTTGATGGTAATGCAACGTAAAGTAATAGATCATATATTATACTTCTGACCTGCAGAATATCTTGCAGTATCCCCGTCTTAAAGAATGGCCCGCAATGACTGGCGATTAAAAGAGCAAACGTGGGGCTTCCAATCCCCAGCGTAGAGAAAGTAAAAACAGTACCCCACTGGATTAGTGGAGGGGCAGGCTCAAAGTGCAGACCAGGTCCCGGTCCCCAATGTAACTGTGGGTACCCCCAGATCAAACCTTCCATCCCGTGTGCCATCGATTGATTCCAGCTTCTCTTGCATCATTCTTTAGCTTCAGTCAATCGTATCCGCCTGGCTTGGTTTACCTTCCGCTCACCTCGCCAATTTAAAAACAGAACGATTTGATCGTGGTTTGAGAACTAAACAACGACCAGTTGCTTCTCGAAGGACAACTTTGCTGCCGCAATTGCGAGAGAGGCAGACTTCTGAAGCTGCTGAGATAATCAGATTTTCGGGCATCAGTCATCAGTCTCAGCGCTCGGTTTCTCAGGCGGTCCTTTTCCCCTGCTCTCCCTGCTCTTGGGCGGCTCTCTTACCGTTGTGTAACGCTCGGTTGGTATATCAGCACTGACCGACGAAGGCCAGCCTTGCCTGAGTGAGACTGAGACTCGACCTCTCAGTATTACCTCAGCTACCGAGTAAGCACCGGAGACATAGAGAATCTGTCGGAGAATACCCTCCTAACTCCGATCTCGACCCTCCTGGCCTTCAGAGACAGAACTTCTCGATTAGGTGTTTGAAGGCCCCACCCGACTAAGTGGATTCAGAAGCGTCCAAGTTCCCGTCATCACTTCCATCGCTCATAGCAGCATCACATCACAAAAAAAAAAAAAGCCAAGGCAAACAGCAACCATCCCTCGCCAACGCTGCCACGTTGCAGACGTGGAGTCACGCCAGCGCCAACGGTAGCAATAGCAACATCAACAACAGCGGAAAAGAACTGCTTCAGTATCCTACCGAGCCATCCGGCTCGGCCACACCTCTCACACGATGCTGCTCACCCAACTCCCCCCCGAAACAATCCACAACATCCTCCGCCACGTCGACCCCGACGACCTACCCAACGTCGCCCAAACCTGTCGGGCGCTATACAACTTTGTCGTTGACAACAATCCGCTGTGTCGAGAGATTTATCTTCGAGAGTTTGACGCCTTCTCCAATGGAACGGCAGCAAGACAATCCGAGAGTTCTGGGTCTGAACAGCAGCAGCAGCAGCAGCAGCAGCAGATAAATTACGCCCGCGAACTAGCCGATTTGTACAAGCTCAAACGTCTGTGCTCGCCAACGTCGAAGATCGAGGATGAGAAGCGCAAGGCGGAGCTGCCGTTTGTGAGGGATGTGGTGGTGAGGTTTTTGAAGAGGGCCGTGCAAACGCAGTATGGGGGGGATAGCACCACAGTCAGGGAGTCGAGGAGCAGCAGGTCCAAGACCTACCCCGTGTCGAAGAATGCGGAGTGGTTAACAACGCTGTTTGCGTCGAGTACCGCGAGGGAGGCGTTCCTGTGTCGGTCGTTTTTGTGGGAGCGGGCCAGGGCGCTAGCCGTGGAGGGGAAGAGGCCGGTGAGGGGGGAGAGGAAAAGTGAGGGGGAAGTCAGTGAGAAGAAGGAAGATGGGGAGGAGAAGGATAACGGCGAGGGGAGCAGCTCCAGCCAGGAGAGTATGACCAGGACGGGGAGTAACGAGATGAGCCCCAACTGCACCTGCAGAAGGCGAAGCGCGAGGAATAAGTCGCCCAAGGTCCTTCGTCGCAGTGAAGACCCCGAGGTCCAGGCTGTGTATCAGGCCAGTGCCCACCTACACTGCTTGTATGGGTGCAGCCTGGCATCGGCTGTCGCGCCGGCCGTGTCCATCCCGATCTGTGTGCATGGGAGGGTCGTGGGCCGACGTATTGGTGCCAGCGGCGGGCGCGGCTTATACGCCCTGGCATGCTCCAAGGTCTACGATCTGCGCGAGTACACCCCTGGCACTAGATGGGGCCCCTTTCTGGAGCAGGATGATCTGACAGAGGGCCCGAAGGTGGACTGGGAGAAGGTCGAGGCGATCTTGATTGTACTGGGGACGAACATTCGGCATAAGGGGTTGGAGGGGTGGCCGATATTCCAGAACTTTTGGGGGAAGCCTTTTGCGGGGGTTTGGCCCGGGAGTTATATCCCCTGGTGGAAGGGTAAAGATAAGGAGGAGGATCGGAGGGAGCTGGAGAGGACGGATCCGTATGGGGTTAGTGGGAGTTGGTTGAGGGTTGTTTGTTTCTTGGGTAGGTCCTTATCTTGTCTCCAAGCGAGGGGTAAACCTGTGCTGACGACGTCCAGACTACAGCGATTTCTTCGCTTTCAACTTCCCCTGGCGAGATAACCTCCCGAACGACGTCCCCAGGCCCCCGATCGGCGTAGGCGAAGCCATGCGCCTCATCCTAATGCGCACGCGCGTCTCGCGCATCGAACCCCCCGGCCCCTCCGATCACCCCGACTACCCTGTCGTGCACTTCGTCGGCTTCTCCCGCGCGCTGGACGGCAGCTGGGACGACAATGCCGACGCCGACCTGCGCGGCACGGTGCGTATGACTCCCGAGGGCGAGGTCTGGTGGACGTCATACAGCATCTATAACGGAGAGGAGCGCTGGAAGAGTGAGGGGATCCAGTTGGGCGGGATCAGGTCGGCCCGCGGGGTGGTCGGGAATTGGTTTGATAAGGACTATGACCCCAACGGGCCGTGCGGGCCGACGGCGTGGTGGAAGGTGTCGGATCGAGTGGCCAAGGGGGAGGAGTTGCAGGGGACGTTTTTGGAGGATTTGTTGCCTATTAGTATGTTTCTTTCCTTGCCTGGGTTTGGTGGGGGGCAGTGGGCTAACAATTGCAGTAGTAGATGATGCTATGGCGGAGTATGAGCACGAAGGGCACGAGGGAGATCCGGATTTTGAGGATGAGGTGTTCCTGGAGCATGGGATTGATATTGGTTTGCACTGGGGGTTTGATGATGGCTTTGGAGAGGACTTTGATGATACGTTTGGGGATGAGGAGCACGCATGGGATTTGGGGTATTTTGATCATGGGTCTTTTTTCGATTATATGGGAGGGGATTTAGGGGATGAAGAGGATGGGCATGAGCATGAGGAGGATGAGGAGGACGAGGATGAGGGAGATGGATGGTAAAGTGAGGTTGAAGTTCCATATGGGAGAGGGTAGTTCGGTATGGGGAAGGGAACCAAAAAAAAAAAAGAAAGAAGAAGAAGAAGAAGAGGTTTGGTGGGATAAAGGTTGTCTGGTATCGGTATGAGGTTGTGTATGGGTTGGCTGGGGTTAGGTTATGCGCTATGCTGATCATTAATATTATTCACCATATCACCATATGGGTTCGCTAAGTGTAGTACTTTTTTTAGTCTTTTTTTTTTTTTGGTACGGAACTCTGATGGATGAGGACCAATCATATACAAGTTTGCAAGGGAATATGCGTCTAAGCCCAGGTCGGGCTAAGTTTAAAGAGCCTACTATTGACCATGATATTGGACCCTAATCTTGATACAAAAGAGTTAACAGATCTATGGTCTTGTACATAGCACCTCTGGATATCCGACCTAGTCCATAATCATCCCCGTAATACCCTTCAACTGCGCCTCATCCTCCTAGAAAATCGACTCTTATGTACCAGCTGCCAACGTACACACCCTCCCAACTTCCGCTTCATCCGTAGCCCGCCCACATTTAACTCCGGCAAGCTCTTCCTAGGTCTACCCCTCAATTCCATCCTTTATTCAACCCCCTCTAAACCAAAACGCCTCACCTCAAAGCTTAGACGCCACATCCGGATCCGTATTAACCTTCCCATGCTCACAAACCATTAACACCGTCCCGTCCTCGACCCGTCTCATCGTGCCCCTCACCGTGCAAAGTCTCTTCCCTACCCCGACAATCTCGCACTCGACCAGCACCGTCGACCCCTCGGGCGCCGGTCTCAGGTACGTAACATTCAACGTCCTAGAAACGCCGAGGTAGCTCCAGAACCCCGGGCGTGCCACGAGGGCAAGGGGGATCGACGTGCAGAAGTCGAAGAGAGTGGCTGCACAGCCGCCGTGCAGGTTGCGTAGGCGGTTGCAGTGGGTTGGGTGGACGGTAAATTTGAAGGTTACGAGGGGGTAGGGACGAGTCGGGGGGGAGGCGGGCGTGATGGAGTGCAGGGTTAGGGAGGGGAGGAGGTGGGAGGACCAGTCCTTGCGTACACATGGTCAGTTAGGGGACCTCAGATGAGGGGAATGGAATGAAGGAGAAGTTAGAGGTTCAGCTTTCTTTTTAAAAAAAAAAAAAGTATAGTATTGGGGCTTGGAAAGATCAGGGTCGAGTGAGGAAGGGATACGTGATAGAATAAAGAGATCAGATGAAGAGGGTTAAGAGGGTTAGGAGTAGGGTTAAAGTACTCACATCGTCCTTTTTTTGCGCAAACTCCTCCAACAAAACTTTGATCCGCTCCTCATCCGACATCTTCAGAAACTTGTCGGCATGCTCGGCCGGCTTCGAGTCCTTGCGTTGAGCCATGACGTCTTCCTTCTCTGAGGAGTGTTGATATTTATCCGAAATGGTTCGTTGTCAGGGCAATGGGACGGGGTTATCAGGAGAGTGTGTTAAAGTGAGCAGATACATAAACTCTGGTAAGTTAGAATTCTCGATAAGAAAAAAAAATAAAACAACATGACAACTTCTGGAAATTGTAGGGCTAAGTAGCACTTACACCACACTCACGGCAGCGTCACCTCTAATCTGATACCTCGGATAGAAGGCCCAGGTACTACACAACAGCGCGGTGTCAGGGTTATAAGCGGTCTTCACGCCCGCTGCATATGGATTGGAATGTACCGCACAGTGGGGCAGACCCCAACCTCAAGTGTAACCCCGCTGCCCACTCACAGCTCACAGCAGCCGAGACCCCTGCCGCGCGCCAAATCCGGGGAACTGAGCCTCGGCAACTCGGTGCGCACACCCCCCCCCCTGTTTGGCGACTTTTTGACCCGGCGCACTCCCTTATCGATTGATAGAAGCTGAAGCCGCGCGATTCAGCTGCAATCAGCTTCCAGGTTCCCTTCCCTGGTCATCGCCGTCGCATCAACCTCTCAGTCAGCCCCTTAAGCGTCAACGTTCAACACATTAACATCGACGTCGACGACGACTTCGTCGTCTCGACACAGCACGACGTCCACATCACATCGCGATCGACCGGCCCTCCAACTTCTAGCGCGTATCGTCCGAACAAACTAAACAAATCGACTCGATGATCCCACCAAACAGCCCGACCTAGCCCAAACACACCGTCCACCACAAACAAAGTCCAAGTCCACACACCGACGCGCCGCAACCATGGAGTACATCCTCTCGCAACGCCTCTCCCTCGACGAAGGCAAACCCTCCCTCTTCGAGCTGCTCTCCGAACAACAACTCAACGCCCTACTCCCCCCAACAGTCCGCTACATCCTAACCCTCCTAACGCACCGCTACCCCCGTCATCTCCTGCGCATCCTGAACCGCTTCGACGAGCTATACGCCCTTTTTGCTCTCCTCATCGAGCGGCACTGGCTTCACACGCGCGGCGGGTCGTTTACGGAACACTTTTATGGACTCAAGAGGGAGAAAGCACTGGCGGAGGAGATCCCCCGGGCGAGTTCGGCCGCGCCGGGGGCAGTGAGCCAGGCGTTGAAACTTAGCAGCAGGGATATCTGGAAGAACCTGGCCGTGATCGTCGGGCTGCCGTACCTGAAGCGAAAATTGGACGAGGCGTACGAGGTAGATGCGCCGCGCGCGATGTTGGGGGCGGCGTATAACGCCCCTCCAGCGCCGGGGGCCCCGGCTAAAGAGAAGGCGGCGTATTGGTGGCGGATGTTTCTGAGGAGGGTTTACCCGACGCTGAACGCGGCGTATTACTTGTCGGTGTTGGGGTTCAATCTGGCGTATTTGTTTGATGGGAGCAAGTACCATCATCCGTTTTTGTGGATGATCGGGACGAGGGTAAGGCGGATGAATGCCGCGGATTACAAGGCAGTCGAGGAGCTGGAGGAGAGGATGAGGCAAAAGGGGGGGGCTAGGGGGAGCGTGGCTGCCAGGTTGGCGGGTGCTTTGTCACTCGCCCTGCCGGCGAGCATCTTTGCGCTGAAGTTCTTGGAGTGGTGGCACGCGAGCGATTTTGCGAAACAGCTTTCTCGCAGGGCAGCTGAGAGTCTGGACCTCCCCCCTCCGGTCGTGTCAGGCCTGTCGGATAAGAAACCCGTCAAGAAACTCAAGAAGGAAAAGGAGAAGGAAGACCCCCAACAAGGCGAAGGCTCCGAAAAGAAAGACGGCGAGGAGGGAGAAGAAGACCCCGAAGAAAAAGAGCGCCGTCTCCGCGAAAGAGCCCCCGTTTCGGCCTCCTCCTACCTCCCCATCTTCACGGTGCCGGTTCCCGCCTCGACAGACCTGTGCCCGATCTGCGAGAACGAGATCACCACGCCGACGGCCTGTCAGACGGGTATTGTATACTGCTATGCGTGCATCCACAAGTGGCTGGCGGGCACGCACCCGCGGCAGGAGAAGTTCATGGTTGGAAGGGAGGGCAAGTGGGAGAGTGGCGAGGGGAGGTGCCCAGTTACGGGGAGAAAGGTACTGGGAGGGGTTGAGGGGTTGAGGAGGATTATGGTCTAGGGGATTACCTAGTGTAGGGAGGTATGTATGTACATTGGTAATGGTATGGTACCAATATGTAGGGATTGATTATGCTGGTGTATTTTCCTATGGTAGAGATGGTAGTAATGATATCATGATAGATAGAGGATCACGATCTTATACCCTCTCTCTCTCTCTATCTCTCTCTCTCTCTCTCTTTCTCTTTCTCTTTCTCTCTCTCTATCTCTGTATTCCTCAATCTCTCAACTTGCGCAAATCAGTCCAATTCGACCACCGTAACAGGGTTCCCCAACACCCCCGAGTCGCGATACATAACCGCCGCGTTTACCAACAACCCTCCCTGTCTACTCCCCCCAAACCATCTCCTCACAATTGACAGAACGCCGTACCATACCACGGAGAGTGATTCGACCCACTTCATGCTAGGGATCAGGTCCCAAAGCAGTCCCTTCGCAGGACGGAGCATGAGTCGTTCATATTCCCGCTGGCACGCATCATACCAGACGACTTCGGTACCGTGGGCGGCGTGAACGTGTCCGAAGACGTGCAAACGGGGACGGACGCGCCAGAGTTCGCGCAGAAGAGAGGGGCAGCCTAAGGAGAGGTCGAGGTGGGTTGCCTAGGTTGTAATTAGCACTGTTGGGATGGGGGACGGGCTTGGGGAAGAAGATTGATGTTACTAGGTGAGTTTTAAGAGGAATGGTGATGGGAAAAAAAAATTAAAAAAAAAAAAAAAAGNGAGAGAGAGAGAGAGAAAGAGGGAGGGAGGGGAAGGAAGGGGGGAAGGGGG